AAAGTATACTCTAGGTGACTTATCCGATTCTCCTTCAATCCATACAGTCTCCGGATTTGATAAGGTCGCCATGCAAAAAGCCTGTATGCGATCCCGTGTATATTGGCTTCAACCTCCTCGTCGTAGGGATGGACTCATTTCCCTCTGGGGGGAGGGACAGAAGATGGGCGCAAAAAGGACGTCGTCGCCCTGAGGAGAGGGGTCGGAAAAATAGGTGCAAAAGGGACGTTGCTGTTAGTTCACGCGTTCAGGGTCTTCTCTATCGTCCGACATGTTTGAAATAAAAAGATGCCAAAAAAAGTGCCATAGACGAAGCGTAGGGGAAAATAGGGTTTCTGATGATTAACGTGATGAGGATGATGGTCGCTCTAATTGTGGCCTTCATTCCTACACATGGCAATGGGTAGGCGCGTGGGCGCATGGGCATGGTTGCTTCTTTTTTTCGTGCGTGGAACCGACCATCATTGGACGACTGAATTGAAAATTGAGTATTATAAAACTATAAGGGTGCGAGGACTCTATGCTGCATTTTTTTTTCACATCATCACAAAGGTAATGTATTGCTTGCCAGATGTCTTCGTAGGAGTGTCTTTGTGCCTACACCCTTTGTTCTGTCCCCTTCCTCCCACACCCATTCGGTTTCTATTTTCATACCCCTGTTTCTACGTATCTTACAGTCAAACAATGATTGCGGTCAGCCTGGCCCTCTCAGGACAGAATGCCTCAGGAAAAGATTGCGGTCGTGGGCCAGGATTGTCTTGCAAGCACGCCGTATATCTAATCGATAGTCTTTAAACAATAATTGCGGTTAGCCTGGTCCCTCTCAGCTTGAACTGGGGGTAAGATTGCGGTCGTGGACCAGGATTGTTGCTCCCGCTCTAGATATACCCTTCTCGCGCCATTGAATACAAAATGTCTCGTTGAACATGATTTCCTAATTTTTTTCTTTTGAGTTTTTTTTTTGCTTTCCATCGGGTTCTTACCGCGGCGTTTCCATCCAAAGACGAGTCAAAACGGAAGGCCTCAAAAAATAAAGCACAATGTCTATGTTTAAAACACAGGTGGCATTGTTCAACATGTAGTTTTCATAAGTAGACTGCGAGCACAACCGGAAACGTCAGACCAACTGACGGGGAGGAGGGAGGTGACTGTTACATGTAACATGTACATCTGAACTAGTGACCTGTGCTTACTTTTGTGAATCAAGTCGCGGCCCTCGAGTCCTGAACTGGTATATCGCAGTGATCAACCTCGCCCGTGCCAGCCCGCATGGGGCAGGTGAGCAAAGACCATGTGAATTTTCCTTTAAGGGAAGGAAAGGGCAGCACAGCGAAAGACAGTTACTGCGAAATGATACCTGGGCAACGGGTTGGCCAGAAAAATAGAGTAATAAGAGCCCTGCTGTTTAAAAAGCCCTCTGTTGTCGATTTCTTGAAATCGATCCGCGAGCCTAGGAAAGATATTACTTAGGCCATAGGCTCGACTTTCAGGCTAAACGAGTTGCATGGACTTCCTGCGGGAAATGACTTGCATGCTCAAAAAAGACTAGCAACCCAGGTTTTCGAGCAGATTCTCCCTTTAAATCCATTCTCGGTACCACCTCTCCTTCAATTGTCTCCATATTCCATCTCATTTTTCTGCATCGAGGCACACTTAAACGAATATTTGCTTTGTTTGTTCGTTCTTTATTGTATTTTTTTTTGTCGGTAACCTAATGATCCATTATGTTCAATATGTGCAATCCTTCCATGTCCAGGCCCAGCCTGCGTTTGCTTTACTTGGCTACCGCCTTTGTCTTGGTTTTCTTGGGTGTTGTGGTTACTTCGGCCTCTGTCGTATCAGCCTTCCTCTTCTGTAAATGCAACGGAAAGAAAAGATAGGAAAAAAAAATAAGATACGTGAGTCGGTTTGGTTTCAGGCATTCGCGACCAGTATATGCTAGATCAATGCAAGTGCTTGTTACCTTGCTTGCGGCGGCAGTGGGTTTGGCAGCAGCTTCCTTCTTGCCCTTTGGCGCCTTGGCCTCCTTTGCATCCTTTGCATCCTTACTCTTTTTGGTCTCCTTGGTCTCCTTAGTCTCCTTGGTTCCCTTGGTGACCTTGGGCGCAGCCTCACTTGGAGTAGCCGTCTTCTTACCAGCCTTCTTCTCCTTGGGAGCAGCAGCGGGGGCAGCCGTCGTCTCCGTTTTTGCCTCGTCAGAATCATCAGCCAACTCATCGACCTCCTGTCGTTACGGAGAAAGTATTAGCATTAGCCAACTTCATAAAGAATAGAGATACTAAACCAACTCTATGCATTTGGCGAAAGGTTTCTTACCTTGCTCTCTATGGGCTTGGTCTTGGGAGCAGCGTTCTTCGCGGCCTTAGGCTTGGCATCGCCCTTGGATTCCTTGGAGGCAGAGGCTTCCTTCTTCTCCTTCTTTTCCTTGGGCGTTGATTTCTCCTTCGCATCCTGTTTCTTGGTCGTTGTTAATGTCTCTACCTTCTCCTCTTTTGGTGCCTTCTCTTTGGGTACCTTCTCAGCCGCTTCCACCTTCTCCTTAGTAGCCTTGATCTTCTTTTCAACTGCAGATCCCTTGTCCTCTGAAGTTGTAGTCTTGGCTGTTTTAACCTTGGGTGTCTTAGAAGTCTTCGCTTCTGCGACAGTGGCGGCTCTCTTCTTCTTCTCCTTTGGCTCCTTCTCCTCAGCAGCCTTAGCAGGCTTCTCTTTCTTGGCATTGGCTTTGACTTTGGTTTCTTTTGCGCCCGCGCTCTCCTTCTCAACCCTCTTTGTTTCCCTGGCTTTCTTCTTCGCCTCCTTGATGGCCTCCTCCCTCTTCTTCTCATTCTTTGCATTCTCTACATCGGCCTTCGTCTGGTACTCGGTCTTCTCAGATTCCTTGACAGCTTCCCACTTGTCGACCAGCTTCTTGTAAATGTCTGCACGCGAAGCATCTGGATGTGCCTCCTTGATCGTCTTTTGGTGTTCTTTGACGTACATATCGAATGCGGATCGAACCTTCAGCACCTTGGCGGGATCGGTGCTCGACTTTTTGGGATTTGTGTTCTTTTTGGCTTCGGCATTCTTTTGCGCCAGCAGCTTCTTGGCCTCGGCCTTCTTCTTCTTGAGAGCTGCGGCCTTCTCGGCTTTAACTGCCAGTTTGGCCTTCTTGAGCTCGAGCTTCTTAGCTTTCCTCTCCTTAGCCTCCAGTGCAATCTAGAGATAATGGAAAGACAGTTTATAATGAGTATTGTATTCATTGGATTGTGATGAAAGATGTCTGTGCCGGTTCCATTTAATACCTTTTGTACACGAGGTACAAGTCCAGAATCTTCAGGTTTCTTCAAGAACACCATCAAACGCTCAATCACCGCATCCTATAATGATGGAAAATGAGAACAAAGGCACGACAAATCATGATCAGAAAGCAACCTCAGACCAGTGAACAAATATACGAGTACTGTCAATCATGCCTTGTCCCCTCGCCAACGGTACCTTGTCGCCGCCAGTCTCAAGGTTGAAGATATCGATGAGCTCGCGAAGACCATTGACTGTCCACTTTCCAAGTTTCTCTTCTGCGGCCTCTTCTTCTTTCTATGTGCGCGAGTTTACAACGACAAGGATACAAGGCTATGTCAGAGCATGAAACAATAATTCAGGACCGCAAATAGCGTCGCATTTAGAATTCACACTAGAGCATGCACGTTTCTACATACTTCTGTCATGTCAGCAAATCCATTGAACTCGCGCAGATTAGCCTTAAGGGTCTTGGGAACGCCGTTCTTGCCGAACAAAAAGCGATGGAGTCCACGAGCCGTCTCATCGATCGCCTTCAATCTGTCCAAGTTGGCACTCACTAGGTAGGCCAAAAGGGAAAATGATATGTGGACGTCAGGAAGACATTCAATTGAAAAGCGAAACGTTCGAACGTCATGACACCAGCGTAAACATCGACAGGGTGTAGTGATTACCTGTTAGGATCTCACCGAGCTTGATACCTTTGCCCTGAATCCAACAAGGAAGTGTAAATAAATAAATAAGTATAGATATAAAATGTAAAATATAAAATATAAAAAAAAACCCCGCATCAAGACATGTTTTATCAGTGCAAAAGCGACCCAAAGGCGAGTAAAAGTGTTCTTGAAAAACTTACCTCGGGAATAACAATGGGTTTTTCGACTCTCTCGGTGGTAGGGACAGCGAAACGTTCGACTTTTTTGCGCTCGCGAGGTCCAGTGACGGGAACTGGATGTTTATTGAATTTTTTTTTTCAATAGAGTGCGACACATGCGTTAATCGGATTTGTTTGTGTAAGTGCGCACAGGTGTTTTGGCAAGGCTCTTCCTGAGAATATAGAAATAAAAGCCGAACGCGTATTTGTTTGATAGAAGCGGTATTGCATAGCAGCCGAAAGATGTGTGTGTACATGTGTTGCTGAGTTCCCTCCTTGCCCTTTAAGGAGAAGGAAAGGGATGGCGGTCATAAAGAAAGCAAAGAAGACAGGGGGGAAGAGAGAAAGAGTTGCTGTTGGTGTGTGCACTTACGAGGCACAACAGGGTCGCGAGGGATATAGACTTCAGAGTCAGACGAATCAGCCGAGTCGGACATGGTTGTGCTGTGCTGTGCTGTGTGTTGTATAGCAGTGGTGGTGGTAGTTGATGAGTAGTTGAGTTGGAGCGTGCAAAAGTCCAATGGGCTGATGGTGGCAATGGACAGAGGTGTTTGGGGGGGAGAGGGTGATGTGAAAAAAGTGGAGGAAAGGAGTGAAAAAATCGATTTTTGCGGTTTTCGCGTTTTTCAGCAAATTTTTATTTTTTTGGTCGAAAAGTAAAAAAAATTCGTAAAATTTTTTTGGAGACGCGTCGCGTTTGAATCGATCATGCAACCATCGGGTCGTTTGTCGTTTGTCGATTGTCGCCAAGGCCTGTATATGTTTGCATATGCAAAAGAGCTGCTAGCCCATTATACATCATGTATCATCATAACTCCCTGAGATCCTGGTCTATAACCATATCCCACTAAAGCGTGGAATCCTCGGGGGAATGTGGACCATGTCTTTTCAGGTAACGCGACTCAGACAAGATCTCCCTTATCTCTGGATTCATTTAAAGAAAATGGACCTCCGACCGACTATCACTCGTTGTTGCTCACAAAGTTCATTCCGTAGTGCGGCACACAGCGACTGCGACTATCAATAGCACCAAAAATAAATTCCTTCGCACACACCATTGGCTATTTTTGACATTTAGGGATGGTACCCTAAATATGTATTCTCATCACTGGCCTATTCAAAGTGAACCGACTAACGCTTCAGCAAAGCCAGGGGCTGCATGACACACAGCACACCTGCTGTTGATCAAGAGACACGACTGCAGGGTTGAAAGTACCAGGTAGAACACAACAAATCTTACGACAGACAACGGAAAGGACGAGAACACCATAATGAAAGCAGCGACCCGTCGATATTCAAGAACGAAATCGAGAGACATAACCACTTCATGTGAGTGAACACCACAGAGCTAGACTCTGAAGATGATATTGGCCGTAAAAAAATGGAATTATCTATTTAACAACCCGGGTTGTCGCTCTTATTTGGCAACCCCTGCACAAATCCCATGTAAAACAAGACTCGTATCATTTGCGAATTTCAAGTCGAAACAACGCGGCGAGAGGTTGAGAACCATTCCTTCCTCCACCTGGCACCCCATGCAACCTTTTGCGACCTTGGGAGAAGCCTTCTTCATGACGGAAAACAGGGTTCTATCGATGACGAAATGGGAAACCAGTTACATTGTGGAGTCCTTTAAGAGACAGATGACGATCTAGCTTAAAGAGCCGGGGCCATGTACCATAAGGACTACTGGCATAATCGACATTTAAAAACGTTGGCCTTACATGGAGTTAGTATAGGGGTTGCCAAATAGATTGTCCCTAAAAAAATAATCTAAGAAGTTGATAAAAGATGAAAGTGCCGGGACTCGAACCCGGTTCTCAGGCTTGGAAGGCCGGAATGATACCCATATACTACACTTTCAAAGTGAGTGTGTGTTTGTACTCGGACTTGAACCGAGGACCGTCTGTGTGTTAGACAGACGTGATAACCAACTACACCATACAAACTTGCTGTTCTTATAAAGGCTTTGAACATAAAATCTTTATTTCTCAATTTAAAAGCCTATATTCTATAAGTGCATTATTCTCTATATGCATGCTATATTATGCCCAGGCGAGGAAGAGGAGAGGTTGTGCTCATGGGGATTTATGTTAATAAAAAAAAAAAAAAAAAAAAAGCGAGGAAGAGGAGAGGTGCATGTCGGAGGAGAAGAAGGACAAAGGAAAGCAACCTGCGAACGGCACCTCGCGCGAGGACTTTGACCCAACAGAAATATTTTTCTCACAAACAAACACACACACAGTTGCTGCCTTGTCTCTCATCACGTGGCCAACGGGGCCCGCCCAACCTCAGGCGCCCAGTACTGCGGACAATGGGGTACAAGTTGTTCCCAGCCTCGCTGCAATTGCTACCAGCAGAGATGCTGCACTCTCTCGCCTCGCAGACAGGTGTGCATTGAAAATCAAGGGCGCCCATGCTGCATACAATACCGAAAGCGCCGCCATCACCAGCGATTTACAACAAAAGGTCAACAGCGTGCACCGTGCTTCGCGCGCCAATCACAGGCGATACGAGATAGCCAGCCGTACCTCTGTCCGCAGCCTTTCACCACTCTTGGATCTTAACAGCGCGCAGTATCACACCGTCCTGGCTCGCCTACGAGGACGCGCACAGGCTGCCTTAGACTCTGCTGCTCGGCGCAGAAAAGCACTTTTGCAAGACATCAACTCACAACGCGCACGTGCATCGCAAGCGATACATGCCCAGTACGGTGCCCAGCAGGCACGGGAGCGCCGACGCCTGCGTAACAGCGAACGTCGACTACAGCGTCAACAACAACGAGAGTTGCGTCTACTGCCTCAACGCCAAACGTATCCATTGCTGCCTGTACACCAGCTGTCTGAGGAGGTGGGCACATTATATCCAGACAGAACCACAATTGGACCAGTCAGCTTATCACACGCTGAGGCAGTTGCTGTGTCACAGCTGCGAGAATCTCCTGTCGACAACACAGCACCGCGAGTCATCTCCTCCGATGGCTCTTTGATTAACACTGGTCAAGAAGACGTAGCCATGGCCTTTGGGGTCGTTGATCGATCGCAGCCCGTGGTCAGGTGTGTGCAGGGCCGCACAGACGGGTACGCTTCTTCAGCAAAAGCAGAACTCATGGGTCTCCTAGCTGCCATCCTATCTGCACCACCAGACCAAAACATTATTGTGGAGCTCGACAACCAAGCGGTCGTGCAACAATACCAGCAGCTTGTGCGTTCCCGTGCGGACACGTTACCTCGTAAGCGGTTCCGTAGTACGTACTCTGGACACTGGGCAGCACTACACAAAATTGTCCAGGATCGGTCTGGGTCGGTGGAGGTGAGGTGGGTCCGTGGGCACAGCACCAACACTGGCAACAATATTGCAGACACTGTGGCGACAGCCGCCGTCCGAGTCGAGTCAATGCCCTGGTCGGTTGATTTAAGCGAGCAGCAAGACATCCGCTTTTTTGCACATTGCCACGATCATCTTGTGGAACATGATCTGCGGCAGCTACTCAAGCAGCAGACGACAATCAGGCGTCATCAGGCCTGGACAACCCAACGTCGTGTCAAGAGAGCGATACCAGATCTTGCCGACGTGGAGTGGCGGTCCACCCTTGCCCATGTCCACGACAAGCGCTCTGTGCACACGTTCTTCAGCAGTGCTGCTGATACGTCCCAGAGGACACATCATATTAAGAAGCTGCATGGTATGCTGCCTACCCTGAATACCATGAAGGCTCGCCACCCGAGTCTATATCCTGACCGTGTCTGCTGCGTCTGCGATGTTCAGGACGAGGACAACCATCACCTGTGGACGTGCAGTGCTACTAGAGATGTCCACAAGGCGATCTGGCGCGAAGGGCTACAGCAGATTGATAAGTGGGGACGAGCTGCAACGACCGCATACAACAAGAACAGCAAGAAGCAGCAAGAGCGTGATAGGATCCGCGCTGGAGCCGCCGCTGCTGCACCGAAACCCATTCGATGGGTTTGTCCTAACAACGAGACCCACATCCGAGGTCTATCCTGTATCGCCGGGACCCGATCAATGCTCAAAGGCGACGAGTATTATGACCGCTCTCCGGATCTGACCTGGAGCATCAGCGATTTATGCCGTGGCATCACACCAGTCAGCCTTATCAAGGAGTGGGGCAGTCTATTTACCTCGCCATCGTCGATTGCGCGCCAGGTCATTCACAAGTTCGTCGGCTTTATTGAGGAGAAAGCTACGGAGCTGATCTGGAAACCACGCTGCAAGGCCACCATTGCTCGAGAGCGAGAATGGGGGATCACAGCCAAGATGAAACGAACTCCATACAAGGGACCGAGAGGGGACTGGAGTGATGGGTATGGATACATTAGCGACGATGACCAATGTCCGTGTGGTGCATTACTCGCTGACCATGTAAACGGGAGCTGCCCTGGCCCCGTGCTTGACCCAGACGCAGCGGATCGGACGCTGCTGGATTGCCTGCAAGGGAGGAGGCGGTTGACAACCATGGAGGGGATGGGGAAGATACCCTTCTTATAACAAGGTGTTTTCAGCTTTTAACACACTGATGAGGTGTGGCAATTGTTGCGCAGGCCCTAGGGGCAGGCCCGGGGAATGTGACCTGTCAACTGGCGACTGTGGATCGGTTCCGCTTTGGTGGTGAGGACAGCGATAGTAGATCTTTGCTAGTTAGTCTGATAGATTCGCAGAGTCAATTGACTCGAGAGACAAGTTGTTATAAAAAAAAAAAAAAAAGCTATATTATGCCCTACCCCTTATTGCAAGGTTCTCAATTGTTCACTAGCCCTAACGATTGTCAGCGTCGTGCGCACAGGATCAAGAAGCTGCACGGAATGTTGCCGACGCTTGCGTACATGAAGCAGTGGCGGCCGGATTTGTATAGCACAGATACCTGCAGACTTTGTGAGGTGGACAAAGAGGACACGCAGCATCTATGGCGCTGCGAAATGACGATGCAGCAGCAGCTGGACGGTTGGCAGGAAGCAATCGAGAAGGTCAACACGGATGGACGTAGAGCATGGAACAAAGAGCGCAAGCTGTGGGAGACGAAGCAAAAGCAAGCCAAGGAGCGAGGACAAGCCGCGAGAGGACAGGGACCAAGCTTCACACAGGTGACAGACAAGGCCATTTGGACAGCACTCAAGGACAAAATCAAGGGAGCTTCGGTGATCCGGCAAGCAAGCAACACACTCGGCCGTGTGGAGGACGAGACAAGGGACAACGATCAAGGGGCCTGGACGGTTCAAGATTTGTACCACGGACTGACACCAGCGGCTCTCACCAAGGACTGGGAGAGCCTATTCAAGACGACCACCTCGATCGCGAGGTACATGGTCGGCCGATCGTCAAGGCCATCGAGGAATTCGGACGGACAGAAATCTGGAACAAAAGATGCAAAGTCACCGTCGACTGGGAAAGAGAAAATGGGATCACTACCATGAGCAAACGCGCCCGGGGACGCAACTGTGTTGGAGAGCACAGACGTAGTGGTAGTGGTTTTGTTGGATCCTCCAGGAGACAATGACGTGCATTGGATGTGAAAGAGATCGAGGAACGAGCGGACAAGCGAGTGCTGCAAAGCTGCATGCAGCAGGTGGAGCTAAACGTGATGGAACGCACCGGCAACTGTAAATTTTTGATGATTGAGGAACGCGGCTAAAGGATGACCTTCGCGCACAACAGGCCAAGTAGGGAGCAGGGCTCAGTCACCGACCCCAGCGGGGTCGAGTTACCACTCATGCTGACTGGGATTGTGAAGGGGATTGGAGCTGCGAGTGACCAGCAGCGGTGCGGCAAAAGCCGTTTATTAGAACATTGAGCGCCCTTTACTATGCCTCTAGCAATAGGATTCCCTAGTCTAGAGTCCCTCACTAATAAATCCCACATATCCTCGTGGGTTCTAGTTATCAAAAAAAAAAAAAAAAAAAAAATTATTGCAAGGTTCTCAATTGCATGCTCTCCTTGGATCGTACCTTACCTCGTTTACACTCCATCGTCCGCCTCTTTAGTGCTACTTCGCTTGCGCTGCATCTAACTTTCCTGGACTCGTTTGCCCTCATTCCGTCTCCCTTTTCTTTGTCGATATCTCTTGATATCTTTTTTTTCTTTATTTTTTTATTCACAAGAATCCATCTGTGCGCATAGACGCGTGGTCCGCGAAAGCCCCTTTGGAGCCGCATATGCCTTTCACACACAGCAGAGCTGTATCCCCTACCAACTATGTTTACTTGAGGTGTCTTGGTTTCATAACACAGATCGCATGGCATCTTGGTATCTTTTGTTCTATCTTCCACTGCGTCGAACCTTCGCGACAATGAGCTTGCAATAAATCCAGGCGCTCTCCTGATTGAGTAGTTGCTTCGCCTAGTTGGGTGTGCAGTTGCATTTGTACTAAGACCTCCTTGTATTTAGCATTAATTCCATTCAGTAACGATTAACCTGTACTTTTCCCTGCTGCCCTACTCGTCTTATTTCCTTACCTTATCTTCCTGCTTTCGCTACTCTGCTCCATCCCGTTTCGCCCGTGAAAGAAGCATACATCTTCTCGACCTCACGCGGCTAAGGCAGATCACCTGGATGTCGCTCTGAGTATTTTTTTTAGAGCTTCTGGGGATCGTCTGGGGGCCTTGAAAGGCTCCCGATGAACTACAGTACGAAACTCCCGATTTTTTTTTTTCAAGGCGTATTATGAAATAGAATAAGCCTTGAACAGCACTGGCATTACACCACTGTATTGCTGTGCTTGCGCGGTTTCACATGAGATTGTTGGAGTCAAGAGGAGCGCTGTTTTGCACGTTTTATTACCTGTCGCTAACAGCGTATTCTATGGCGCCCATACCGCCGCCGATGATAATGACGAGCGGTGCAGGAATATCTAAATACCCAGCTGCCACGAATGCCACGCTTGCAATCACAGCATGGTATCCACTGCTCCCGCCCATCGAATTTGTCTGTATCCATAGCAACCAGGTTGCCGAAAAGACCAAGCCCAGCGCACAAGCATTCACACCCCGGAACACCATCTTCACGGACTTGTGCTCACGAACAAACTGCCAGAATGGGATGATCGCGTTTTTGAGGATAAGACCTGGGAAGAAGATGGCCAGGTAACAAAGAATCGCACCTGCAACACCGTTCTTGCCTGCGTTAACCATTGCGACCGCACCAAGAAAGCACGCAAAGTTGAAGTTGGGCCCAGGAAGGGACTGGATCAGGGCCAGACCGACCAGGAACTGTTGATCCGTCATCCAGCCAGAGTCAACGGTGTAGGTCTTGAGAAGGGGGATAATCACAGGTCCGCCGCCAAAGATAATGGATCCAACAAAGTAAAAAGTTGAGACGATGTAAGCGTATTCTGCTCTCGGGGGGACAGAGATGAGAGCTCGGACGAGAACTGCCGCGATCAAAAGAGCGAGGAACACCAAGAAGAAGACGAACCCCAATTTCTTGGAGTATGAGAATGCCTTTCGCGTTGTGCTGTCCATCTACAAAGAAAACAAGAGAAGTTGAGTCCGATAGAACGAGCACACAAAAGTTGAAGCATGAGTTGTATTAACTCACGGCTGGATAGACCGTGCGCTTTACCTTGATATCATCCATGGGCTCCTCAGGGATAACAATCTCAGCCTTACTGCCTCGGTTTCGAATCGACCCCTCAGTACTCAAACGCTTCTCAGCGCTTGCCCCGCCCTGTTCTCCTTCCGTAGCAGCTGATTCTTCCTGAGACGATTCTGATTCCTTTGCTGCATTTCCCTTCTCCAAATCATTTCCTTGCAGCTCTTCCTTGCTCTCTTGGTGTTCTTTCCTCTTTTCCTTACAATTGTTTAAGAACGGTGTCCAGAAGCCATCATAGATGTAACTGACAATACCTCCAGCGATCATCATGACGGGAAGGAGCCATGGTGCCGTGTACAGGGCCGAAACACTTCCGGCCACAAGCGCCAAAATCCTGGTCAATTTGTCGGTTGCCAAGGCAGTCGACATTCTGTAGGCAGCCAAGGCAACAAGGCCAATGGCTGCAGTGGCCAAACCTTGCTCGAGACGTGTCGCCCAGAGAGGAATTTCGTCCTTGATACTGCCGATCAGAATACCAGACACTGTCATCACAATTGCGCCGGGAATGCTAAAGCAACAGAAGCAAATGAAGGGTCGATTGCTTGAATTGGCCCTTAAAAGAACGCGGTGATACATCTACAATCTTTAAAGTTACCTCCAAAGAAGAAAGGAGACAACTGAACACAAGAAACCAGATCGGACGAGCGACAGACTGAATGCAAGTTCTGTACTGGCCGGGCCAGGAAGCGCCTGACAGATAGCAAAGAGCTCTGTGAACTGCTCACTGGAGAGCCATTGGCGTTTGGCAACAATCTCATCATAGAGAATGGCGATATGAGCCGATGGTCCTCCGAAGGTGGTGTATCCGAATTTGAAATAGGTGTTGAAGGTTTCGACTAGTCGGTCCTTGAGCGGAGGAAGGTTGTAGGGATTGGCAGACGAGGAGGAGGGAGTTATTGCGAATGGTGAGGTTATAGTCATGGTGGGATGTGGATCCGTCTTTAACGAATCGCGTTTAGATTAGATTAGAGTAAGAATAAGGGTAAGAGGTGGCACTGAAGTAGGGTCCAGAAGAGTACATTAAAGTGATAGATAATAGGAGAAGAGGATCGAGAGGAGGAGATAGAGACGAAGGCAGAGGGGAGGCCAGTGGTAAAGAGACCAGGGAACAGAGAAAGGACTGGATGCAGAGAGAGGGTATGAAAAGAGGCAAGGAGGGTGGTGTGGGTGAGGAAGGAGGAAAGAAGGAAAGAGGAAAAGAAAGACGGGTGTTTGTGTGCACGAACGAAGGCCTAACAGGGACAAGGTTCATTCGGTCAAGGCCGAATAGAATCTTCGGGGCAGGGTCCTCTCCTTCCTTCCCGTCTTTCCGAGAAGTTTCCTGGTATTCATGTGCTACTGCAGCATTGACCGATGACGCATGCCGTTACCCACTCCTGGGCTCGGGGTCCGATATTTGCTCCGGGGGTTGCAGTTGAGACCAGAAGAGAGGTGCCTTGCCCTGAAGAGCGAGCTCCGAAGGTTGTCCGGGAACGAACCTTGTGGAGATGAAAAAGACGCCACCATCTGTTTATCGCACGCGAGGTTGCCACCAATTCAGGAACACCCTTCCTTCACCCCACCCAACCAGAACTAGGCTGTGGCCATCATCATGCAGGCACCAAACACTCATCCCTCCGACTCTTCTTCAGCCTTCGATGCAGAACGATCCAGACTCATCACCGACATCAAACTCGTAAGGCGACTCAACCCTTCCACATCCTCAGCCCAACACATGATCGTTCTTTGGATCACTAACAGGTACGCTCTATTCCTTTCTCATAGGAGATGAGCCAGGTCATCACCAATGTCACTATCCTCAACAGGAACCTCGAGACCATCATCACCATCGGACAGGAGTTCGAGCAGCTCGCTCAGCTCTGGAAGCACTTTCACGCGTCTACCTTCCAGCTGGCAGAGGACGATATCTACCAGAGTCAACAAGACGCGCAGTAAATACCTCAGAGCGCGCGTCATGTTATAGCACACATACACAAATTCAAGCGACATGGCAGACGAACCCACGGGAATGGAGCGCATATCAGGATCACCTGGGGGATAACAGGGTTATCAAAAGCAGGGATCACGCTTTGCATTGCCAAGGACATTTGTCTTGAGGCGAAGAAATCCGCCTGAGGCGTGCATGCAATCGGAATGTCCCTTTACTTGCAGCTTCATCAGTCCATCACCAGCACAGCACAGTCCGCACGACCAATGTCATTTAACAATTGAATAAACTATCGTTGGTAGGAGGATCATCACTGTTTCTATTGCGCCAGAAGATGGGCTATGGAGTCAAAGAAAAGGAGATACGCGTCAGTTCTGATGCCACTAGTTCCACCAATTCTGAGCACAAAAGACAACTTACATCGGACGGGTGCTGCTACTGACGCCAGGTCTGCAACAACCACCTCGTGCAACCTCCTCTGGAACTCGTATCTAATCTTCAGCTGCTTCTTCTCGCCCAGGCATGGATCATAAAAGCCTAAAATATGTGTCTTCAATTGCGAACAAACAGTTTGAAAATACGTGTCAGTCGACTTCCTTACAATCCCGCAGACCTATAAAGAGACAGCTGGTTTCATCAAAAGCGTACCTTGGAGTGGCCTCCTGGCATAGTCAGCTGCGAATTGTTCACAAGCGCCTGCACAGCAATCGTCACATCGGTTACCAAACCAAGTTCGGGCGCGGCGTTCAGATTTCCATAAACCGCCTCCACAATGACCAGACCATCTTTCTCCTGCTCCTGTCTCGTCTTACGCATGGTCGACTCCCTCAGCAGCTCAATAGCCTCCTCTGCCTCCTTCTTCTGCGCCGCAATAAACTCCGCATGAGCCTTTCGCAGCTCCTGGATCTTTTGCGCCCGCTCTCGACTCCTCTTGGGCTTGACATAGGCCACATCCAACGCGGTGACAGCACAGATAGGGGCCACAACTGCCCAGAAGGCCAGCTTCGGGTTGAACTGTGCAGACAGCACAATAGGAACCGTCACGCTCTGTCCCAGTCTCTTGACCCTATCACAAAAGATAAAATAACTCATATCAGATTGGACCCTTTGTTTGAGGAAAACGCACGGTAGCTTTTAAGCGACTTACTTGAAATTGAAGGCGACACCTCCCGAGAGTCCCACTTCGACTGCAAGTCCGATTTTGGTATGCTCCGTCACCTTACGATCGCCTCCAATACTGGCATTAATACCAGCTGTCGTTGACAAATTTCCACCGACCCGAACCTTGGTCGAACTATCCAGTGTCCAGGTATGATCCACAGACAGGTGGGATTGCATAATACCGGTCTGCACTTCCACCTGATAGGCTCTGTTCTCATCCTGCGAGCTCATACCTAGGGCGAGGGACGAAAAGTCGCGCCGTCTTTCAAAGACGGGCCCCCATGATCCGATCGCCCATTCTCCAGTACGGTAGGTCATGTATCCGGTTGCGCCCTTCGTAATCCTTCTGCCGAATGTCAGAACAAGAGGCGCAGGTCCCTGAAAGTTACGGACTTGAGCGGTTCCGGTAATGAATGACAGGGGATCAATAGAGTAGGTGCCCTTGAAGACACCGATCCTGGGATTGAGTAGCGACGATCCAAGCTATGAAGTGAATCGAATAAACAAGTTGAAAAGTCAACAATATGCATCCTGTACTGTACACTGCTTCACGGAAAATACACCTCAAGCGATTGGAGCCGTACCTCAACATTTAACTTTTCTGAAAAAGTGTGCCTGATTGTTCCAACAACGTTTCCGCCGCCCATACCAGACCTGGCTGTCATCTGTCCTCCCACAATGAGCTGAGTCCTGGGACCGAATTGCGTCTAGACAAGGTATCGCAAACATGTACATCCTTGAGGCTAGCATACATAGTTGCATTATCCAGTAGCATGGAACAGACCGAAGAAGCAATTCTGCGTACCTCGAACGAGTTCTTCATATAAAGCTGCATGATCTCTGTCCTCTTCAATGCGCTCAAGAACCCACCGCTGCTCCTCTTGGCATAGCTGGTGCCTCCAAAGGGTGACAGAGCCTCCTGATTGTTGAACACTCTGGTCGCATTGATGTTGATCGTGAAGTCGTTCTTCGATCGGATCAAACTCTCGAGCTCCATTTCTTTTTTCTCCCGCGCCAAGCGTGCATACTCCTCGCGCAGCTATTGGTCGTAAGGTCCATGCCAAAGCGTTAGGATTGAGTCAAAAATACGTCTCTTCGTTATTCAAGGGACCGCAGACTCACCTCTTGAGGAGTCTTGATCCTGTGGCCAACCTCCCATTTGGTATTTAGTCCTTCCTCACCATACTCGTCGTACGCAGTTCGCAGCTGAGGGTTGCTCAAGACTAGGGGTATCGTAAACGTAGGGTTGCACTTAAATCAGTCGTTGTCCCTTCCCATAAAGTGGTAGTTGAAAGGGGAGCTGTATATTACCTTCAAAGGCCTTGTTAATGACATGAAACTTTGTCTCTGCTGCTTGTTTCAATGCGGGATCACTATGCTTGTCCGGATGGAAGATCCTGCTCAAGCGCTTATACGAGTCCTTAATGTCGTCTTCCGAAGCCTGAATATGTCATATCGATACAGAAAAATGTCGTTCGTGAGAGACATGCCCATTGATGCTCAACGACTCTATCCACTTTGCTGTGTGCATGCACGTCTTACGGTTTTCGATAGGTTCAGGACGGCATAGTAATCCAGCTGTGGGGGTTTCATGTTCTCAAGGTCAACAAGATCATCCGTGTCATAATTGCCGCCTGTAGGATCCGAGGGCATCGCCCTGTCTTCATAAGGGTCGTCCATGGCTGTGGTCCAGTTTTCACAGCTTGCTGAATCCTGGTCCTGATGATGAACGAAAGAAAAATGCTATAATGTGGAGAACCGGACCCACGGATCGGACGGAACCTTCACTTTTCACAGGAACAATTTCCCTTTTTTGGACGGACGTAGCGCGTTTTTTTTTTCTGCTCCCATCACTTTTACCAACATGCAGACCTTGGAATCAACATCGTCTTCGACTCGACTTGCACGCAGGACACAGCGACCCAGCCCCACTTATGGCACCAATGACAAGAGGCAGGACTCGACTCAACACCAGCAGACCAGGAGTGCGACATACAACGGATCCTTGGCGCAAGAAAGCGCGGCCGAGAGTCTCGCTGAGCGAGTATACTCGTGGAGTATCAACGAGCTCGATTATCGACCCCACGGCAATGGCACAAAACCACGGAGCCAGGCGAGAACTCTACTTCACGTTGCGCACCCAAAAGATGAGGAAAAGTTCTGTCCGCAGGCTCTTGAAAGGTAAGGTTTCTAGTGTTTAAAATCCGCGTTGTTGCATCTCGCTTTCTCAGCGGGGCAGCGCATACCGTACTGACATGCGCGTCTATTTTTGAATGGATACTAGTCTCTGCAATGGACCCTGCGCACCGATGTTCAAGTACCTTATAGAGAATGTCAGATCTCGTTCGTAGGTGTCAATTGCAGCTGGAGGTGCTCAGACTCATGAACGATTTGATTCTGCTCATCTTCCTAATATGTGATCTTTGCTTTTTGCGAATAATGAAAGGGCGATCAACACATCCGATCGAGGCAAGTCAGATCGGACTCAAAGGATGGCGCGCCAGGGGACTCCAAGGCACGTAGAGCGACAGGTGAAATTGCTTCAATGCCGCGATCTCACTCTTGCTATCGTTCAAAAACGTAAGTCATAAGTTCTTGCCTGACAGACTGTGCCGGTCGGAGAGAATTGAACTTTACAGAAACACCACTAAATCATAATTGTCGATAAATCATCTGTAGAGAGAGAAATTGCAGAGACTAAGGAGCGCATCAAACAACGGAGGCAACTACAATCGATCAAAAAGATTCACCACCAACAGAGCGAGCATAGCATTCACGTTCTTCAAGAATATCAGGGACGCTTCCAGCAGCTGTCTCATGTAACGGCGGGAAGTCGGCCATTTTCACACAAGGAGGATGATACGAAGCACTATATGCTAAAGGTATGTTACTTCATTTTTTGAAAAGCAGTATTTAATGACTAACTAATACATGAGCACTTTAGCTGATCCAGCTATGTATTTCTGCAACCCAGACTACTCTAGAAAAGGCCATCGGGGAGGTTTTAAGGATCATAAAGATGGTCGCTATTGAGTATGGAGGCAAACCAGCGAATATTCAAACGATGGAACAGATCATCTCTGAAGGCAACACTCTAACGAATCTCGGGATTTACTCACGTGTGTGTAATGTATTAGCGGCACGACATTGAGTCCAGGCCAAGTAGCAGGGAGTGCAAGGGTCCAGGATTTTTATAATATTCTTCAGAAAACGAACGACGGCGCGAAGTACTTTCTGGGGATCATGAACGACCTGAAGCAGAACAGCCTGCTACTGCTCCAATCCGCACGACAAGAACAGTCCGGACAAGCTCAACAGCGAGAAATGACTTCTGAGTCTGCAGATTTGCTGCAGGTAAGACCAACAATCCGTCAACATTTCCACAACCCCTTCGCCAACCACCAAAAAGCCAACGAAACTAAACCTGTATTTACTTTGGCTTTTCGATTCTCTAAATATGTAGCTGTTCCGCAACCACCACACCGAAAGAATTGTCGAGATAGAATCCGTGCTCAACACAATTGCCGACTATGAACAGGAACGTGGGGAGCTCTACTCGAGGATGCGGTTTCAGGCCCAGAGATGGGAGCAAGAAAAACGACAGGCACCATTCCTGCAGGAGCTCGAGGAGAGCAAGGCCCAACTTCGAGGACTGGGAACCGCGCTCGAGTTCATTCAGGCGGAACAGGAAAATCTGGTCGAGCGTGTCATTTCTGTGGACGAGCAGCATTCAGTTCTGGAAGGCATGACCAAGGCAGCCAGAGCTGCGGACCAAAAGATGGTAATATGGGAGATGCAGAGCAGGGCTATGAAGGACGAATATATATTTATATATATATTATTAGGCCTACTTCCTAACCCATGTATCTTTTCGGTCTTTAAACAGATACATACCCAGCGCCTTGTACAAAAACTTATTGAAATGGTGAAGATCAACCAGAGAAACGTCCCTCAGACGGCCCATGATATTGCCGGCGAGATCTTTCGACCCATCCATCATGGACTGGAGCAGCTTGCCAGCTTTGCAGAGGATCAGACCTGTACCATGGAGAATGATGCCAAAATCTTTCATGATCTGACTGCACAAAGCCAACAAACCTATGCGGAGACTCATACTCGCGTTTTGCAGGCCCCATCAACAACCTTATTCAATTGGCAGCAGGAGCTGGGGACTAGCAAGCAGAGGCAAGGCGTTGGATCCGAGGTCTGGCGCGAGATCACTGCAGCGAGCGCGTTATCAGCAGATCAGTATATACTACAGCTCATAGGAGTGCAGCGACAAGCGGCAGTTCAGCACCTGTCGATCGCTAAGGCCAAAGAGGTGAACGATCGCTTGGAGCAGACTAAGAGCGATACCATATGTACTATGAAGGCCTTTGTGAAAACCCTCCCGGAAGAAAGCCAGGTCTATGAAGAGGATAAGGACGTGGGCGTGGAGGCCCTGTCGTCCAAGTTTGAGTGCGATGCCAGGGCTATTGCTCGGTCGGTCGTGAACTTTGAAAAAAGTCATCATTCTGCATTCCAGAGCGATCTCAACGACATTACTGCAGGTGCAGAGGCTGGTGAAGTCGTCATACAAAGAGTCCTCAGTTTGAAAGAGGACCACAGCAGAATCAGGGAGCGTCTGACAATCACGAAAAAGGCCTCAATACTACCACTCAGCAAGAGGATGCGATATGTGCAATAAAATGAGCATAGATCTCCTATGGTTTTTTTTTTCGCGCAATGACATTTTTTTTATTCATTGGCAATAACCATATCGAGTCGTTCAAGAATCGGCTCCAGATAATACCGCCGCGAGAGGAGCGAACTCTTTGACTTGCTATTGACAAATGGAAAAAAATATATAGCCGTATATTAGATGGCTACAATGTCAATGCCACAAACACAGAAATAAACGCCAAAATGCCATGAATTGACGTACCAATGTCTCAGCACCTGGCGTAGTTTCTTGACAAGCGGGACAGCTCTGGCGTGCAGAGAATCATCTTCCATGAGCCAGTATGATAGACTCTTTAGACATGCGAGGTACTCCATGTGATTGCACAGTATTTCCGGCGTGCCCTTCTTGCTCGTCTATTTCGTCGCATGCGCATGTAATAAACGTAAGGTTGCATTAATTCACACGATCTTGAAGTCCGAATGCGACATGACAGAGGAGGGGAAGAAGGGGCTCCAATGGGCGCAGCAAGTACCTGCAGGTCAAGTACATAATCCAAAATGGCTGTGAACGTTGGCTGGAGCATTTCCTGAACCTTCAGCACCCCAGACGCGTCGAATACTCCTTTGTCCACCTCCTCAAAGTCTTCAGAAATGCTGACCAGATATGAGACCGTCTGCTCCAACACTTCCAAAGCCAACGGAAATAAAAATTCCATCCGTATGTTGCGCTCCTTCTTCTCCTTCGGGTTGGTTGTCTTAGGTTTTGGCGGCGGCGGTGGAGCTGTAATCTGGTTTCCGAGCTCATCCATCAACATGCGCAGCTCCACGCAAGTCAGTTGCAGCACCAGAGCTGTGTACTTCTTGTCCATCTCCTTATCCGACAGTCCAAGCATCTCCATAGAAGACACCAGTGAGGCGGGTGTCGTCCTCTTCTTGGGAAAGACCTTGGTAACAGGCCAACTACTACGGAACATCCAGGTCATCCCCATTCTCTGCGCAAGAAGCCCATTCGCTATCAGAGCTTCGTCCCGCGTTTCTTGTTCTACAATATTGCAAAAAAAAAAAAAAAAAAAAAAAAAAAACTCGGTCAGTTCAAAAGCATTCTCTCAAAAGCATACCGCTCGTACGAGAAACATGCTATGTGAATCCAGTCACCTTGCTTTGTGCTGGTGCTCAAGATCTGAAGAAGTCCTGACTTCAAGGCCCTAGACCAGTGATATGTCTCATTGGGGCAGTCGCGAGCATTCTGTATCATGTACTCCTCTGGCAGGCAATGCATAGTGTTATTGATCATCTTCAGCAACTCTGGTTTGTGCTTTTCATTCACATTGCTGAACGGCTCCGCCATCTTGCCCATGATCTTTGGTACCCAATCCTTGGTGAATTTCTGTACGCTGAAGGGGTCTTGCTCATAGCCATCGTAAATGGAGATAGGTGCCACGCGGAAGATGTGCTCGGCATATTCATGCGCCTTATCCGTATCTAAATTGAATATGAGAAACAAAAACAAAAACAATGCGCAAGACTATCAGTCCTTTGCCCCTACGGCGGGACAAGAGTAGCAAAGACTATGTAATCTTCTTACTCTTCCGATCAAATCCAGCATATATGTAGTCGAACATAGCCATCACCAGGTCGACGTTGGTCACAGCCCACCTTGTTTCAGGATAAACTGCCATCTTGGCCATGATCTCAATAATTTTCTTGGTATTTTCGGTCTCGTCACTAGTTCAGGTTCCATATGGCAATTGTTCGTTAGCATCCAATCGCACAAGCCTGATAATCTCGGTCGTTACAGCTGGGGATCACATACCGCCACTTACGTTGGCGAAACAACCTTTATCATTGCTGGAAGTCGGTCCACGAGCTCTTTTCTGATAATCAGATCTCTGTGTCTCGAAAGGTAGTACAGGATGTCGCAAGCGATTCCCCTGATCCCTTCTGGTCCCACCTCTGTGTCTGGATGCACAACGTCCTCCTCTATAAACTCATAAAGAAACAAAAGAAACACAGCGTCGTCAGATCCTGATGCTGGATATGCTCGATTGTCGCAAGACATAATTCTTCGTCTCTGAGTATTCCTTTACTTGCTGTCAGCATCTTGTCCAAAAACTTGAAGTCCATCCTATCGCAGAACCTTTTTAAAGTGGGAAGGTCGTCCTCAGAGTTCTTCAACCGTAGCCCAATCATCATGAGACCGATCAGCTTCTGTTCATTCGAGTTGCCTGGTTCGAGTAGCTTTAGGTTGGACTCCAGATCTGACACGCCCATCATAGGCATGCCCGTATTCGCCGACGTGGACATTCTACTTGTTGCGATCAGTTACGAGGTTGGAGTTGAGACTTGCTTGGTTTGGTGGCAAATGAACACAGAAATAAAATGTGACTTTCAAAAGTCGTTCTTTCATTCCTAAGTTGGGTTTACACAAGCTATGATACATACAAGTTGAAGAAATATGTGGGTACGCTGCCGCTACTATCTAGGCATCAGAGTTTTGAATCCAGCCGGCTTCCACGAAAAAATCGTAGATCTTTCCCGTCTTGTTCACATCGATCTTAATCAGCTCGCGCGCCTGTCGTCGCTTCAATCCACCGAGCCGTGTGTGCTCCTTCAGAAGCTGCTCCTTGATGATCATATACGACTTGGGGAAGATTCGCAAGGTCGAGCACAGCGCTTGCTCGGGCACAGTCAACAAATGGATGCCCTCTGCGTTCTGGATGTTCAATGGGTTGGCAGGCTTGCGAACCACAGGTGCCGTCTTGGTTGCTGCAGTAGATCCACGTGGTGAGGAAGTCTTGAGAACAGTAGAAAATAGTCCATGATTAACTAAATGAAATAGTAACCGTGAAGGAATTGACAGAAAAAAAGTAACACAAGAACATTTAAGTACTTACATCTTCGATATTGCCTCGTGAAGGGGGTGGACGTGCTCTTCGGTCGTTGAGGGTTGAGCCGGACATGAGGTGGCGGAGACTTGACTATAAGGACCAAGAGCAATAAGAGGTAATTCTTTAGCAATATGTACCCTTTTAATTTCTCGCAAAAGTGCTTTCCAAACGCAATGCCCCTTACCCTATTCGCCTTCTCTCTGATGTACTCCTGTCCGGCAGCAGGTGTTGTCAGTCCATTGGCCCTGAACTCCTGCAGCTCTGCGATACGTTCTCGTAGATGCATTTCCTTCAAGAGACCGTCCACAAGCTTGTCATAATCCTCCGGTGTCTGAAGCTGTGCAAACACTCGTACACTATTAAGCAGTTCCCGTTCCTTCGGTGTTCGTTTTTTCTCTGCGGCTTGATTCTATTGCAACAAAAGAAAAGGATGCATAAGAAGAGTATTCACTGGAGAGATATCGCCTAGACAATATCAACAAGCTGCGTGCCAAATCACTACCTTTTTATATTCCAGGAAGCCTCTCTCAAACACAAATTTCCTTCGCTCCAGTCTTTTGTTAAGCTTGGCATTGTAGATTTCGAGCACCATCAGCTTCAAGTCTATGCAAGCGGAGAAGAAATATACGCGGCTGTTAAAAATCGATAAACTTTCCTGTCAGCCATACCACTGTGATGAGGGGCGCCATAAAGGACATACCGACTTCTTCGGGCGTGTCTTCTTCACTAAAGATCATATCCTTGACCGTCTGCTCTGCCTCGTTCTCGTATTCAGTTTCAAATTCGAGGCGTCCTGGCATATATCCTGCAATCTCATGATTCGCCGGTTGACTCGTCATCGGTTTCTGTGCCTTGACAGGTGCTATAAATTAAACATAGTAATATTAATGACACTTGACTTGGCATTATTAATATGCTCCCAGGAATAATAAAGATGTTGCACGAACCTGGTATCCTGTTCACTCTCATTGCCAAACGCTGCCTCTTTCGAGCCGCCACTGCTTCAGGATCCATGTCGAATTTTTTATGCATGTCCTACATTTTCGTGAAAAATCAAAGCGCGTGAGGTCAACAGGGATGAGAGTAAAAGCAATAAACGCACGCAAAGGCCGCGACATTGAACTCACTGGTAAGGGCCAGGTTTCACTGCTGACGTATACTTGAAGATAATGGGCCTCGCATTCGTCCCTAGTTTTTGATCCGACATGGTCTGCGATGTCCTGCCAGTTTCCGATACCGAAGGTTTCTGCTCCCTCAATCAACAGCAATTCCTCGTCTGCACCCCAATCCACGTCAAATATAGGGAAAGAGTGTTGTTCCTATAGAATGAAGAAACCATAAAAAGGGTTAGTACGGATACTTTGCGATGCATAGTAACCAAGGTATATAATGAGAAATTTAGAGCAAATATACAACGAGTTCAGACGTACCATCACCCGGTAATCATGCCAGTTCTTATGCTTGCCCAGCTCGGCGCCATTGCAAAAGCACCTGACGCAGAGGTCAAAGTCACTGCAGACCGCACATCGTATCCGTACCGTGTCCGTGATGTTCTGGCTGCATGGATCGCAATGATATTTAACACCCGCCTCGGCTATATCATAGAAAAACCGCAGGTAGCCAATGAATCACATGTTAGCATAATGTTCGCAACACGCTCCTGCCATAGTTGTATCCTCTGAGGGCAAGGTGTCTTGGACAAATATGGGGTCAGGGATGTGTGATGGGATGCTAGGTGAATCCATCGGATGATACATCTCGATGAGACGCATCTACTCATGCCATTACATCAGCCAAGTTTCCTGGCATCACCCTCTTACCTATATCCTTTTCGGCATCGTTGGCTGTACGTTTGCGATGAGTGACGGTCATAGCGGCAGAAATATACGATGGAGCCGCAAGCCTAACGCGTCTCTCTCCTGTTATGGCAATAGACGTAGGATTTAGTCGAAGGATGTGATGAGGTCCGAGAGGGAGCGAATGGAACGTTAATTGTCGTGATTGTCTGATGCCGGCCTGGCTGCCCTTGTAGAGTCGTTCTTTTCCACTTGGGTCGATTTCAGTTGCTGCTTCCTGCAATGCTGGGTAGGCATGTCCAAATTTGGATGATTATACTACCATACGATTTTCTGTTGTTCTATACGTCATCGTAGTCCGTTGCGCGGATGTCTACCGTTAAAAGAATGAGCCAAATACAAAGCACTCCCGTTCCTTCAACCCTCAACCCAACCATCATCCACCATCACCTGAATTACCATGGGAGCTGAATACATCATCTTTGGTCGCGCCATCCCTACATACCAGGTACATCCCGACTTTGCCTTTCCCTCTTGCTGCTCCTCTTCACCCTCTTTATATCTTTCTTTGCGAATCTCGATCATCGGAAAACAACGATCTATGGCGGACAAACACGGATCGTCCTACACTGCTCGAATATACCCATGATCGCGCAGGACCGTAATCTTACTATGCCTGGAATCGCCCAACCGCTCTCGACTTATCTATGTCTCAGCAAAGAATGACTTTCTTAAGCTGGATCTGAACTACAAACCAAGCCAGCTCCACCTTCACTCATTCCTTTAGTAGCCTTATATCTTAAGGACAGAGCTCACTTGGCACACCTGGATCTGTAGGATGAATGCTCTTGGGAATTAGTACAAACAGTTGAAGCACAATAATCAGTGTCATCTCGCTACATCAGTAGCACAATGAGTTTACAGATATCCAATGCTGCGATGGATCATTCTCTCCCCCCTCAGTCATGGTCCCAGCCCACTTTCAGAAACGTACCTTGTCGGTTCATATTCATGAAACTAACGTTCCTCGGCCTTTTTTTTTTTTTTATGGTGCATCGGTTAGTTGGCCATAGCCACCTACGCCCTTGTCGGTGTCCCACTCGCCGCCAAGAAGCTGACCGCTAAGAAGGAGGTCCCCACCAATGTCATCCCCGCCTCTTCCCAGGACGAGGAGGCTTTCATCCGCGAGTTCATCAAGGCCGCTGAGGAGGACCAGCCCAAGAACGTGTAAACGCAGATCAGAGCATTAATCTCTTGCACAATCTTCCTGTACCTTTCTCTTTGCCTCTTAACCCACCTCCCCTCCACTCCATACACTTTCCTTGCCATGCAAATAAAAAAGCAGCTGCGATGCAGTTTTCTGAATATCAATGCCGCCAATTTAAAAAAATTCAATATGCATTGTATTGTTCGCTTCATAATATCTCTATAGCTCCTTCCGAAAAAAAGTGACTTCTTTGTCTCTATACTTGCTCCGAAAGTGAGGATGCTGCCTTTGATAACTCAGATTCAGGGATCTTTCGTGAGTTCTTGTTCTTTCTTCTCTTCTTCGACAATGGCGCATCAGGATCCCCGGCCAAGCGAGCCGCCTCCTTTTCCTCACGCGCCTTCTTCAATTCGCGCCAATCCGTCGTGTGCTTCCTCAACTCCTCAGTGTTGAAAAGATCGGGGATGGCCTCAACAGTCTTTGATCCGAGCGTGTTAACATACTTTGCGAGATCCTCCTGCACCAGGTATTCGTTATCGTACACATAGACAAGGTTCGTCTTGCCTTCTTCAGGCATAATCGATGTCCACAAGTTTCCTGACCGATCGTATTCTGCAGCCAAGGGCTTTCCTTCAAGCTCGATAATCTTGAATAGTTCAACCTTCGCGGCATCCTCGTTCCACTGAAGAATCAATACCCTCGACTCTCTATATATGAATTAAGAGATCACAAAGTTAATGTCAAAATAAATATCAACGCAAGCTAGAACCCTACGACTGGATAAATTACTTACTTCTCAATAACAGCGGCAATGTGATTCTTGTTCTCGCTGATTGCGAAAGAAAAAACGGCCAGATCCTCCTCAGCGTCCACTTCTGCTGGCGGCATACCGAGAGCATCACGGATGTTGAACGTCTGGACCTCTGTGCCCTTTAAGAACTCCCACACACGGATCGTAGCATCACCGGCTCCAGAAAGAAGATACTTTTGGGATGCTCCAGGTAGCACTTTGACGTTAGTCACAAAGCTAAAAAAAAAAAAAAAAAAAAAAAGTGGGAATCGTAAAGATGGTACAGTCCAAAGTTAACCCCATGATACTGCGCCTATGTAACAAGGCCTCCAACATCCATTGATGCGCTTGCTTCTGCGCCTCACCTGGTATGTCCTAAGCAGTAGGTCTCGATGTTGTGACCCTTAGGGTATTGACTGACGCGAATGTGCTCATCGCGATCTGAGGTAATAATGTATTTGTTGTCTTTTGTCAATGCCTATGTTGCAAAAGTGCGATGTTAAGAAACGACGATAGACCGAAAAAGACACATTACAATCACCAGCAGAAAACATGATCCTTACAAGATCGGTGGCCATAGATACGTGTCCAAGGATGGGCTGCTCGCCCTCATCTTCGTCGTCTTCGACATCCTCTGTGTCTTCTGCCGTAGGCTTAACAGGTGCAACAACGTCGGGGATATCGCGGATCATGCTGTCAGGGATTATAAAGGTTGGGGTACAAATCAATTCTGTTAGTATTCCGGCTCAACCACTGTTCGCGCGACAGCTTTCCGGACCTAATTGCGCCTCCTTACTTGTAAACATCTCCAAACTTGTCTGCAGTAATAACATGCGATCCATCCTTGCTGAACTCAAGAGCGTTGGAGCGACGAATGAGAGCCCTATTGCCAGTAAAGCACAGATGTATAAACGTACGGACCTGTAACCATTGCAACATCATTCTCCACGCAAAAATAAAGGCGGAATCCGACTCTTGCATCGATTGCATACCTGGTTCCGAGACACTTCCATGACTCTGTATCCCATATCTTCATAACTTTGTCATCAGCTGCAGTGGCTAAGAAAGCGCCGTCAGGGCTGAAGGCAAGAACCTGTACTCGAGCCTTGTTTTCTTGAGCTGAATCCGGTGTGTTAGTGAGTGGCTGAACCTGCAGGCCATTCGACTCGCGCTCTTCCAGTTCAATTGTGCTAGCTAAAATGACGCCATTCCTACATAGAAATAAAAGATCATGTTGTTAGCAAGATAAGAAGATCCCGAGAGAGTTTGTCGCCTTCGCGCGTCATTGCCACTGTAAAAGTTGAAAGAAAAGAGATAGTTAACAAGTCATGGACTAAATAACGCACAACATACTTAGTGTCAACAACCTGAAGGTGCTCGCCAAAGGACAAGACAATAATGTCCTTGGTGGGGTGGTGAATAATATGGCTGAAGGGCAGCAACGGCATGGTGGAAGTGGGTTGATGTCTTGAAAGCAGCGATGCTTCATTTTCTTTTTTTCAGCTGTAAACAATTTTTAGAACTCATAGCAGTCACCGGACGTACTGATCTAGCTACAGTCGTCGAAGGCGAACGTCAGGCGAGCCATGCCTTCAGGTCCATTCGTAGCCATGGGATCATTGCCTCATGGTTAAGACATGTATGAGAACGGTAATTCATAATCCGCTTTCTTAATTCATAATGTTGTTGTCTTTTTTTTTTTTTTTTTTTTTTTTTTTTTTTGATAACTAGCGTGGTACTATCCTCTAGGGACCCCTACTGCTAGAGTCGTAAAGAAAAGTGGCATCTAATAAACAACTTTTGCTGCCAGGTCCCTTTCACAATTCTCGTCAGCATGAGTGGTGACTCGAAGAGCCCTGCCCCCTACTTGGCCTGCTGTGCACGAAGGTCATCCTCTAGCCAGTATTCACTGTCATCAAAAACTTGCATCCGCCTAGTCGCTCCATCAGAGTCAGCTCCAGCTGCTGGCAAAAGCCCTGTATTAGGCGTTTGTCCGCCTCTGCCCTGATCGCTTCCACGTCTGTTGCGGGTCGTTGTCTATGGGTTGATCCCATGAAATCACTTCTGCTACTGTTGTGCCCTCCAGCACAAGTGCGTCCTCTGGTGCTTTTGCTCACAGAAGTGATTCCACGCTCTCGCTCCCAGTCCACGGTGACTTTGCAACGTCTGTTCCCGATCTCAGTTCTTCCTAGCCGGGCCCTTTTTTTTGTCGTTTTTTTTTTTTTTTTTTTTTTTTTCCAATGGACAATCTTTGCCAGGGTTTATTGGTTATTTTATGGGGGTTACTATTTCTCGCTGGTCAGGATGTTCCTGTTTGTCCCGAACAATGGTAGGAGGCGCCATATAAATCCCGCGTATTTTCCCGCAAGCCTGCCTCGGTCGTCCTGTTCCTGCTAACTTGATATCTTGATCCTTTGGACTGGCTCTCTCCTGTGTGACTTGATTCGGCAAATATTCAACTTATGTTTCGATCCGGCATATATGTACGGCTTCCTTACGATGTTACTGCGGCCCTCGAGTGATTTCTGAAGTAAATTATTTAGTCTCCTCTCTCAATAGTCCCCCCCGTAACCTTAGTGCTGGAGAACGGCTCTGGCAAATCCGAGTGACAGTTCTGAAAAATCTCCTCGTAGCCCACGGTGGCGTGCGAACCTGAGCAGAATAGAACTGTTATGTTTTGGGCTCACAAGATATAATTGGGACAAAGAGAGGGATCAGAACCGGCCCCGTCCAGCTCAGTCTTTTAAGGCTGAGCTGAAGTGACTCGGTATTGCTCTGGTCTACTTGTTTTATTAAGAAGTGTCGTTCTAGCGGACTGACGACCCAAATATACGACAAGAACATTCTCTCAGGAGGGAGCCAATCCCCTGCTGCCAGCAATCCGAAAGGTAATTTATACACGGCCCCCCGTGCCGAAAAACAACCGCACCAAGCTGGATCCGAAACTAGGATCCACAGCACTGTTCTCTGGAAGCTTCGCGTGATACTATTTTTTTTTGTCGTTTTTTTTATAACATTTTTTGTCAACTTTTTTTGGTGGCAAATCACGTGATGTGTTAAAGCTGCCATGCTGCTATTTTATAGGAATATAGATGATATTAGTAAAGCAGGTCTTCGACTAAAAATGGTCTATTGGCCCAATGGAAAGGCGTCTGACTACGAATCAGGAGATTGCAGGTTCGACCCCTGCATAGATCAGCTTTTGCTTTCATAAATATTTTTCGTATCAAGAAGAAGGAGGGCATATCAGTGATAAGATGTCGGTGTAGGATAAGGTTGCCACTAGAAATGCGCTTATTTTTATTTCAATCGAATCGTAATCAGCGTTGAAGCTGGGCAAGTGCCCCAATGTACGTCTTCTTCGAATTGGGCGTTACGATTGACTATATCGCTATATCGTATCGTTCAAACATGAACCGTTTGACGGCGTTTGCTTCCTCGACATCCTACATTGCATCTACTATGGGCTATACACCACCTGCAGCATCTTCCTCTATATGAGACTATGAAGGGCCGTCATATTCTCATAGTTGTTGCTGTCTTTGTCAGAGATACCTTCCGCCATGGTACTGTAAAGTTGATCCAAAAAGGGTGGCCATTATATACGTATTGTACAACAGTGTACGTGTTTGCACATCACGCCTAAACATATTTTCACACAAAGATGAGAATTCGAAAGCGAAGTTGGAGATGGATCCTCAACTACAGCCCGTGAAGATGAGGATCCATCTCCAACGTCAAAACTGTCAATAAAGCCCTCTCACTCACTCGCAACCCATCAACCCCTCTCTACCCATCGTTCCCCCACCATGAGCTTCACACAGGCTTCCTTCTCCTCTTCGACCATGCACCAACATCAGCAAGTGCTCCCCCTTCAACATCCGTTGCTGTCGTTGCTCATGTTGTTGTCGCAGGTGCTCTTGATGGGTTTGGACAAGTGGATGGTGTCAAACAGTAGTCCATGTGTACATCTGAAATTTGCTTCGTACGCACTAACGCTATCGAAGTCGGCTGTACGTATTGTAGCTGGAGAATTGGTTTCGCAAAGGCCTTCCTCACTACGATTAAAGTTGGCTACTTCAAGAACTATGGTTTCGCAAACTGTCTAACATCGTGAACTCACGTTCCCCCACTCCCAAGCATAATTCTTTTGGGGCGTCGTTTTTTCCTTTATTTGGACCCAGGGCTAGCTGACTGGCTGGTCTATGCACCCACTCAAGGTTTCACACAGAGACAAGCGACGTGGATGTTCTATAGCGCTGTGATGGATATTCCAGTGCCCCAGTATCAGGCGCCAGCGTCATACCTGGCCATAGAAACAAACGGACGCCCGGATAAACGCGCCTCGGAATTTCCGGGGCGAAAGCATTGGCCGATGGGCTTGTTGTCTTGGAAACTTGTCCATCTTTCCCCTTGTTTTCTTTTGCCGTTTATGTTTGTAGTTCAGTTCTCCCGTTCAGGTCTTCTTGCCATCTGAATATGTCCTTTTCTTTCCGTGTGTCGTCTGCGTTGCTCTAATTAGCATTTCGGGGGAGGCGAGGAAGGCATCGGGCAGCGAGATGCACGGTGACATGCAGGCAGTGTAGTGTACATAGTGCGTCAAAGGAGGGGAGGAGGAATGGCTACCAATGATGTCATTAGAAAAATGTAGAAATGTGAAATTGTACATGTGGATGGACGTCAACTTTGGAAGGGCGTCTGCCGTTTTGTCACATACTGACTTAGCCCGGCCGTAGGCACAAACGCTTAATTTGTAGAAAGCATGCGGCGACAAATTATATAGTTATATGGTGGAATTGTCTACCTCGGATGGGCAACTTTTCGCCTAGCGACAAATAGAAATAAAAAAAACCCCTCAGCCTCAAAGAGGAAGATCGATGATTACCCGTCCGCGTCATATCTCCTCCCGTTGGTCTGTGTGGAACAAGCAAGCAAACAGCGAGGGCATCCACCCAGAAATCCCCCTCTCGTTAGTCCAAAGACGCTTAGGAAATCATAAGCAAGCACAGGTTAGCCAACATGGCTGCGCGGCCTCAATACCTTCGTTTCATTTCTCACTCGTTTTCTAAGAACGAAGGGAAAACAGATGGGAGCAAACAAAGCAGATGCACGCGTTCTTTTTTTCATTTACGGAGCCAATCTCGAGGCCGATTTCCATTCGCGCCCTCGATTCTCTAGTCTCCTTGATAATCATTTTGGAGCCACGTTTTCAAGCAGTGTTAGGGTAGAATGGATTTCTTTCGCCGTTTTTATTTATATTTTGACTACGGGAATGTCCACGTTTTATAAAAATAAACAACGTCATACAAGGAGATCATAAAATGGCAGGCTAACTTCCTAGGGACATCCCGAAGAAAGGGCGACGAAGGGCTCATAGACAAGACGACTTGGTAAAAGACGTTGAACTCGGTCCCTTGGAAACTGAATCTTCTGAATCTTAAAGTAGCAGGCTAGTAGCGGGACCTTGAAAGATAACGTCGCCAGTGGAACAAATGCAAAGAGCATCCCGTTCGCCCAGGATAGAGGAAAAGCCTGTGAGTAGATGTGGAGCAGGACAAAAAGACGGAAGGATGGGTGCAGACGTGATGAGAGAGGGAGAACAAATCAAGGGGCCGCTGGTTCGTGAGCAAGCATCGACATGCAGATCGCAGTCGTTGCAAACGGGTTTTATTTGCAGATGAGAGCCGTGATGGAAGCGAGAGTAGAGCTTGTGAATGACCGTGGACCAGTGCGAGCGAGATCCGATGAACTGGCCCCCCCTATGTGCTTTCATCTCCACTCATCCAAGGTCGCTGGTCGGTCAGTCGGTCAGTCGGGCAGTCGCGTCGTTTATTTTGCTCTGCATGTACGGAGTAAATGTGCATGAGCTCTGGTGTACAATGGACTCAGTCGTCCATGCTGTCCACCTGAGGTTTAGTCTCTCAAAGCACCATCGCTACATATTGTCAGATTGTCGGTTGCAGCAAAAGAGAGATACTTTGGGGCAGTGTGCCCCCATGTTGAGGAATGAAAAAAAAAAAAAAAAAAAAAAAAAAAAGTTGGCTAGGTACCGAGAGCGAAGTATGTGTGAATAGGAACAGGTTTTGCGAGGTGCGACGTTTCTTTTCATTTTGTCCATCTTGTTAGGTACTGTAGACCGTCTTTGTTGGTGACATGGGATGACAAGGAGGACCTTTCGGTCTCTTGGCTGAATCCCCAAGAAATTGCCAAAAAGATATGACTGGGTGAGTAGCGAGGCCATGTAGGGGATTTCGGATAGTTCTACATCGATTGCTGACTGTTGCTTTGCTTAGATACAAGGGTGGGCAAAGAGAACATGTCCATGCAATTTACAGGTGCAGGTGCAGGCGCAGGTGCAGATGCAGTGCAGCATGCCGCGCAACTTTGTTCTTTTATTTCTTATCCATCCAGGCCTGACAAATGCTTCGAGGCACGGAAGACAGGACAATGGCATTGCGAGGAAAGTGCGATGCGAGGATGCATGCAAGCAATTTTTTCTTTCGAGGATGATGGCCAAACACTAAACAGACAATAGACTGGCCTCGTAAACAGAATGGTGGCCCAAGGGAGCAGGGTGGAGAAAAATAATGAAAATGAGGAGATGAGGATTGCGGGTGTGGGGGACACTCGAATCGTACAAACAAACAAAAAAGGACCTGCTCTGCCAGTGCGCGCATATACACAGGGCTGCAATTAAAGAGAAGAGGGAGTGAATTGAATCGCCGGCCTATTCATTCTGGTATTGAGTACATCGAGTGAATACCCAGACTCAATCGGACTCTCTGCTGCCCTCCCCCCACCCTTTCGTCCTCGCTTATAAAAAGGGAGGGGTGCTGCTCCGGCTGCCGAACACGTATCCGATCAAACATCCGCCGGCCGTATCTCTTCTCTCTTCTCTTCGTTCTTCTCTTCGCTCTTCTTTTCGCTGTGGCCATTGCGCTCCCCTCCCTCACACGTCCTCGGCCCCCTCTTCCCGCAAGGCAGCCCTCCACATTCCGCATTCTTCGCACTCTCCATTCCTCACACCTCTATTCGAAACATAGCCCCACGCACGTCCACCCAGCACCGCTCTCTCTCTCTCCCCCTCCCTCCGCCGATACCCTCTTCATAGAACCATGGGCAACTCAGTATCGACGCTCTCGAGCAGGAAGTCGAGCTCCACCTACGATCTCTCTTCCCCCTCAAAACCCTCGCTCTTCCAGCGATCGAAATCCTCCCTCCAGTTCCGCAAGCGCTCAAAATCTTCTCTCTCCTTCTCCGACACCTCCAACAACAGCAGCCCCCCCAACAGCGTCCAGAACCAACCCTCCGATCACTATCAGCATCATCTTCAGCTCCAGGTCGTCCCCGACCGAAAAGGCTCCATCGATTCCTCCGATGGACATTCAGATTATTCCCTCCAGTCCGGTGCTTCAGACGGCACCAACTTTTTAGCTTCGGCGCCCAAACACAAGAACTCGCCTCTGAATCACCAAAAAGATAGTTCGACCGTCAGCTCCAGCACCTCCTCCGTCCCAAATTCGACCCTACCCGAATGGGCCTACCACAGCCGTCGATGCGATGATGGCCGGACCCGACACGCGGTCGAGAATGTACCCTACATGCTCCCGAATGACCTCACAGAATCCGACCGTCTCGACGCTCAGCACTATATTGTTCGGTTCATCTTCAAGGGCAACTACAATGTCGAGCTCGACCGCGAGAAGAACATCAAGATTCTGGATGTGGCCACGGGCACGGGGGTGTGGGCCTTGGAAATGGCACATGAATTCCCAAATGCGGACGTGTACGGAGTCGATATCTCGGCCATCTTCCCCACAGAGATCAAGCCGAAGAACTGCCACTTCCAGCTGTGTAATATTCTCGAGGGGTTGCCGTTTCCGGATAACCACTTTGACTTCATTTACCAGCGCCTGCTCGTCTACGCATTGTCGCCTGCCCAGCGTAAGCAGGTTAATGCCGAGGTAAGAAGAGTCAATATATGTGTTTATTTGTATGACAGGGAAATTATATATGTCTGCATCATTTGTGCGATGTTGCACACTGAGGGGGAAAAAAAATAAAAAAAATAAAAATGTGTGAGGCAGAGACGACACGGACGAACGATATGGGCGCAGAGTATCTTCATATGCTTTGCACGCATGTTTACGACAGAAAAAAAAACAACAACAATTTTGTGCAACAACAACTTGCTTACACACCCATGGTTACAACAAACAACACCAACATACACCTTTACACATACAGATAAAACGCGTTGTTTGTTATTTCCAACACATCCTAACGAATCCACTTATTGTTCATTTATAGCTCCTGCGAGTCCTGAAACCAGAGGGGTACCTCCAACTGGTGGAATCCGATGGTATTGTCTACAACCCTGGCCCAGAGACAGAGAAGATCAATCAGCTCTCTCTCGAGACCTCGCTCCGCCATGGAGTCGACCCACGCGAGGTCCAGCATATGAAATCCGGGCTCAAGCAAGCCGGCTACACTTCAGTGAACTCCTTCAATATTGCCCTGCCCGTCGGAAACTGGGGCGGTAAGGCCGGTGAACTCAGTCAGCAGAACATGCACGGTCTGGCAACGATTTGGTTGAAGGGCGAGATCGGAAAAATGGACCAGGAGAGCTGCGACCGGGTGTTGAAGCTTGCGGACGAGGAGATTGAGAAGATGCAGTCGTATTATAAGGTCTGGTTGGTCGTTGGACAGAAACCAACTGCTGCAGCAACGCAGCTGAAGGAGGCTAAGAAAGCTATGCAGGCAGTTGCAGCGGCTGCAGCTGCGAATAGTGGATTTACGTCCACGCCATCCTCTCTGGGTTCGCCGTCTGCAGAGACTCCGCTCCCACTACCACGACCATCGATGACAGCCTAAAAACCATCATTCCTTGTATCTTCTTTTTTTGCCCATGATACCATATTAGTAGAATAATCCTTTGGCCCTCGCCTTTTTGTATTTGTAGCCATGTAGTCATCCATTTTTTTCTTTTTGTCCGACTGTACATCTCCATGTATTTTCTCCGCCCATGGCTCTCTTGTCATTGTCAATAGTGTTATCGATAGACTACATAACTGGAGCGTCAAAAAAAAAAACCAACCAAAAAACCAAAAAAACTCTCCTTTTACAATGAACAATTTGGTTCCGGGAATGAGTGTTATGATTGCCTTTGAGTGTCCGCTCCTCAGGGATGAACGCGTCCTTCCCTGAGCCCCAACTTTTTGTAAGTAAACCTGTTCCATTTTTGAAAGAACAAAAAAAGTTCCCACCGGTCGCCTTCGTCGTTATCAAACGCAACTTTTCTGGCACCAGGATCTAGTAGACTCTCTTTTGTACAGAAACAATGGACGTGCATATTCTGTCTTTTTTTTTTTTTTTTTTTTTTTTGAACTCCCGCTCATTTTTACCTGTCTGTTCTTTTTATATTTGTCGCAATTGAGCCTCATATAAATAAAAAGCGCGACGACGACCAGGTCGGACCTTCTGATTTACTTCCTTATCTCGCGCTAAGGTAAAGTTGCAGCCTACAAACACTTATCTACTGCAAGGTCCCTAGGTACCCAGGTACGGGTACAGTTGACGTGCGTATCTTATTAAATGTTAATGCAATTTGTTCCGCAGAGAGCAATTCGAGCCAGGAACCAGGCAGGTCGTTATTCTCGTTGGCTGGAGAGAATGAGAGAGATGGGGCGTGGGTAATTTCCTATAACGAAGTCGACCGAAGGAGAAGTAGCTCTCTGTTAGAGATACCTACTTAGCCTAGACTACCAACAAGCTGAAAACTAAATGGGTTCAGTTTTGACTCCCCTCCCTGCCCTCAGGTCCATACTCCGGTCTTTGTCGGCTGTAGTTGAAAATTGCAGATCCAAGTCTCCTGTAGGCACAAACCTGTAGCTTAGGCCTGGACTCGCTCCTCCTTACGAAATGTAGATTAGGCAGTATTCGTTACTGTAGAAATCGGCAGTGGGCAAGATTCCATCTCTTCTTCGTTTTCTGCCTTTCTAATCGAGTCTTTACAACAACCAAAACAAATATTCATGACCTCGTCCCCACTGTACCTTCAAACCTCAAACCACGAAGGAAGGTGAGAGAACCTTGGGCCCGAAATAGTTCCATGGTCGCATGAGAGTAAAGTGGCCTGTGAGGAAGCATCAGAAAGGAGCAAATGGGAGGGAAGGAAATAAACGAGATTGACCCACTACTTTCCACAAAACCATAGTCAACCATAGACCTCATCCACTCATACCTCTCGTTCCATTCTTCTGTTCTATCGGCAGGTTAGGTAAAGTGGTGCGCCACGCCTTTTTTCCAGACAATACAAATACCATGCTGTCCAACCCTGACCTGACCCGACCTGACCTGACCTGACCCGACCTGACCTGACCTGACCCGACCTGACCCTTGCATGTGTGCTTCATCTATCCATCTTCCCCTTCTTCCTCTTCCACAAACACCTCGCCCACAAACAAAAATAATAAACAAATCTGCAGTTGCCGTAAGACATGTTTTTTTTCACAACAGTACCGCACAAACGGTATCCTTTCTCTCTCTTTATTTACTTGTAGCCCGGGGTGCGCCAACAAGGAGAGTTTTTTTTTATTTTCGCCAGAGCACAAGGGTCCAAGCTGTTAGACTAAAGCATGTAGTAAAGTCCACTTGTGGGTGTGTGTAGACTGTGTGCAGTAGGGTGTAAACATAGCAAAAATAAAATAAAATAAAATAAAATAACATAAAGAGCCTCGCCTCCATCTCGGCCTGTGCCTGGATTCGCCAGGTCATCTTTGCCAAGGAGGAGCGCAGGGTTTCCAGTTTTTCAATTTTCATTTTTTCATTTCCAGAACCTTGATTCTATTGTTCTCGTTAATACCATGGCGCTGTTGCTTAATGCAGCCTGCCGTAGGCTTCAGCGGATACAACCAACCAAGAAGAAGAAGACAGCCTTCGCCTGCATGAGCACACCAACCACCATCGACATATCGACCGATTTATTTTTTTTCTTTTCTTTTCTTTTCTTCTGTTCGGCTCTCCTGGATGTCGCATGGTAGACTCTACCTGTTGTTGGCATCTCATGTATCTGAAGAATTGCGCATGAACTCTCTTGCATCTGGAAAGATGTATGAACTCTGGTGTATGTTTACAGAACTGCGTGGCAAATAGATAAACAAACAAGCATGCAAGCAAAAAAACAAAACAAAACAAAAAAAACTCCAACGCCATAGACCCAAGGACATGAGCAATGCAAAAAAGTATTTAATTCAGAAATATGAAAAATATGTAACACAAAACAATCAGCTGTGCAGCACATTCGGCGTACCACCACCGATCGTGCGGCGCCATCCGCAAACCCTCCCAGAGACAACGGTTTCCATGCTTACTTGGCATCCTCCTCCCGCAAGGCCTGGAGCACACTCTCGGCCGACAATCCGTTCAGCGCATCCGATGATCCACTGTTCGTTCCAGTCGGCGACAATGCACTCACGCGGTTCTTGCGCCGCCTTTCTAGCTTGCGTCCAGATGCCTCGAATTCAGTTCCAGACACCGCCTTCCAATCTCCCTGATTCTCCTCCTCAGGCGTCGTGGCTGAAGCACCCGCTTCATCGCTTGCCAATGCCGTTGCCGGTGATGTTGTGGTCTCCTCATCCTTGATGGGCTCCAGTTCAACATGGGTATTCTGCTGTGTCTCGTCCACAGCCGCGCTGTCCTCCTTGTCCTTCTTTTCTTCCGTCCCCACATCCTCTACAGTGTCATCCGCATGTGATATACTCATCCTCAACGGCGACCGACTGCTTTTCTCTCCTCCTGCCGCATGTGTCAACCCCGTCGTATTCAACAGCCCCGGCGTCTGGGTCTGGGTCTCACCATCCTGTCCCTCCGCACCATCCGCAGCCTCCGCTCCATTCGCCACAGCCTTCTTCTTCGACACCACCCCAACAAACATCTCCGGGGCACTTACACCCCTTGCCAAAGAAAATTTCCCTCCACCCAATCGTCTCTGCAAATGAGCACCTGCCTTTAGTCCAGAAGCTCCAGCAGTTCCAGCAGCCTTCGGTCCAGACCCAACACCAACGCCCGATTCAGCATCCTGTTCCTTCAAGGGTTCACCACCGACCGCAATCAAAGGCACTCCAGCCGTAGCTGCTGCCAAATCCACGTGTCCATTTCCGTTTGAAAGTAGCGAGGCTCCCTTCAGATCACGACTCACTCGGTTTAAGGGTCCACCGCGACGACGGCCCAACGCCGAAGCCGGCGCGCGCGTTGTGACCGATCGCGAGAGGTTGCCCTCCTCGCGACTCATCCGGATCGGCTCAAAGATCTGGTGCGTCATCTTCAACATATCACGCATCATCCGTTGAGGGTGTTTATCGTGCAGTGTTACCGCCGTCTCCTCCAGTGGGCGCAAAAAGACGGGTCCCCAGCGGTGGGCAATAAACGTCGCAAATGTGTCGTCCGCAGATGTTTCCTTGATCAGGCTACAAATGAAAGGTTCAACAATTCACACGGTTAGTTCTGATCCTCAAAGGCTGGGAGAAGGAAGGTCGTTAAACAAGGAGGAAAAAAAAAAAAAAAAAAGCAGAGTGAGGATAAAACATACTTGCTGATAGATCTAACAACTTCATAGAGGGTATAGAATCGAGCCGACGAGAGCAGTGCAAGCAAGTTACGGATCGACGAAATCCGTGCATCGTTCCTGCCGTCATTCACATCATCCGAAACTATAGGCACCATAACACAAATGAAAGAGGGAACAATGTTACAATCAAGGACACCGGTTTACAGCGCAACAAGATGATGACACGGATCGTCCATAAATCGGTAGTCGCTATTCCCAATTCCGAGGAAATCCTGTTTCGGCGTGGCTTTAGGTTGTCGGTTTTTAATCCACCGGCAAAGAAAAAGATGATTCCTACCCTTACCACTGGAATAAATGATCTTCACAGTCTCGTAATCCTCGCCGTTCATCAATGACCCAGGGAGCTCCAAGAAGTACAGGCGCAACACGCCCACGACCGTTGCCACATCAAACAGTCGCAACAGCTTCTGTGTAATCTTGCCACCTATATAAAGCATATGAACAGTCGATGATTTCGTTAGCTTCGATCCTCCAAGGAGACCCCAGAGATACAAGATGAAGGACATGAAGAAAATGAAGAAAACTTACCATGGTTGATTTTGTTGCGAAGGATATGGATATCTGCCAGAGGCACTTCTGCTGTCCAGCAAGCCAATTTCTCTAAAGGAATAAGCAGTAACAGAGAAAAAAAAAAGTTAGCATACGAGCCCAGAGCACAACAAACAAAAGCACCATTCGAAACACCTTCAATCCTCGTCAACATACGTTCATCCGTAAGAGCAGCAGAGCTTTTCTTGATCCTGGTCAGACACTTCATCACTATCTGTGGAACCTTCTTGCGCGTGAAATTGCAATGCTTGTCAATGTTGACTCCAAAGATCTGGTCCAATCCTGTTCCGTGGTAAAAGTTATTGTAAAGCGTCGGCATTGGCACGAAAGCTCCTGTGCGGTACTGCTCAATCACATATTGGACGTCATTGGTTGGTCGAAGGGCCTCCTGGAAGATCAACAAGTGGTCGGCCACAGACTGCGTGATACTGATGATGTTCGAGAAGATTGCCGCAAAGTTCAGGAATGCTAACACGGATGAAGGGTGCAGTGTAGAGCAGATTGGGTTTTGGGGAGGGAAAGGCCATGAGTAGATGCACAGGCATTCAGATATTCAGCTACGGTCCCAAGTGTAGAGTCCAAGCTGGCGCTTACCGTTCTTGAAGGTGTTGATACGATCGTACTCGAATCGCTGTAGCAGGTCCATGTGGCCGAACTATGGGACAGGAAAAAAAAAAAAGAACAAAAGAAAGGCAGTCAGCACACCGCAATGCTCTTATCCCAAATGCAAGCTTGCCATTGCGGAACCAAAAAGAGATTGGCACTCACCAGTCCAACTTCGAGCTGGAGACGAGTGAGATCGGCTTTCTTGACTGCAGCCAAGTACGCCGCATCAGCTTTCTCGGCCTCCTGCTTCGTTTTCTTCACCAGCGACAACTCCTCCTCCTTTGGATCCTCCTCCAGCAACTCAAACATCTGATCCCGCCACTGATACCAGTTCGCCGGGCTCGCCAGGAACTTATTCCCGCGCTGTCCGATCAGCCTCAAGAACCCTTCATCCGAAAGCGACTGTCCAATATGCTCGGCCTCCTCGACCGTCCTCGCCTTCGTATTCTGTTGAATCCAATGTGCGATGGCTGAACCGGAACAACAATGGGAGTACGTTCCCATGATCGGCACCTTCACATCCTGGGATGGCACCTCGCTCCTCATCCGGTTCAGAAACTTGTTCAGTTCCACAATCGTAAACCGCTGCGATGCAAACTCATGCTGCCGATCCGCATCAGAGATTTCTCCCGAGGAATCGTTCCTGACCGCGTCCTCCTGTGCGATCTTGTTCGCCTCCATCTCGGCCTGGTCTGCAGCATTACACTTGGCGGCATAGGTCGCATGAGACCGGTCGAGTTCCAGCAGATGCTTATCAAACAGCTTCAGACGGTGCTCGATATCCTCGCGGCTCTGGTTGGTTGATTGGCGGGCATGGCTGCTGAACTTTACGAGAGGTTGGAGAACGAGTTCCCTAAGGTTGGAAGCAAGCGTCAGGTGGCCGTTACCGAGTTCGACGCTCTCAGTCTTGATCGTTTCGAAGGTCTTGCGCAGCGAAGCTCCGTCATCGCGTAAAAATCCGTCGAGCTATGTGATGGTTATCGATGGTGTGATTGTGGACATGAATAGGTCAGCATCATGTGTAGATGCGATCCGGGCGGGAACAGGCAGGTATGGGGCGCAACTGCAACAGTGTCCCTTTTTTTCTTTTCTTCTTTGCTGCGTGCTGTTCAAGACTCTTAAGTGCAGGACAAATGGACGCCTGAACAGAGTCTCTCCTTCCTTTCCCCCTCTCACCTAAACAAAAGTGAGGCGTGCCATTACTCTCCATTGCAAAAACCACAATGATGATGTCCCCATACCTTGAGTCGACGGTTCCCCATCTCGATCAGGGCATTTCCATAGCGCTGCTCGACCTCGATGCGTTCCCGGATGTAGGTCAAGATTTCCTGGTCCTCAACAGCGCCCTGGTCAATCTTTCCATGGAGCACATTCAGGCCCGTGACATAGTCGCCCCGCGAGTTCGACCAGAACGACTCTGAGAACTTTGTCTCCGAGAACCTGTTTGGCGGGAGTGATGCCATTGCTTGGTATTTTGGTGCTTGTAGTTGTTTGCTATAGTTGGTTTTCCGCCCACGATTGGATTGAACAAGAGAGAGAGTGACAGCAGCCCTGACGAAGGATGGGAGGGACAAGATGGGGACGAAAGGAAGTAAGAGGAAGGACGGATGGAGTAAAAGAAGAATGAAAGAAAAGAAAGGCGGAATGAGCGAGGGCGAAGATGAAAAGATAAAAAAAAAAAAGACTAGAAAGAGCCCGGGTCCAATGGGTATTTTTTCAGCCCTCTGTTCAGAACAAAATAGACAGACAATTGGCTTTCAAGTGGGCACCTGTCTGCGCCTTTTCAGCTCAGCAGAGAAAAGGGGCGGCAGGCACAGGGCGCACAGCAAGACAAAGGAGCGTGAGGAGATAAGGCTCTGGTTTAAGGAGGAATAAGAACGTGAGTGTGATAGAGCGGAGGAATGGAGTCTCGTTGGAGGGTAGCACTAATGCAATGATGCTCATAAAGTGGCCTCGGTGTGGCTGGCTGCCCAGGACATTGCGCCATGGATTGGGCAATGGATCTTGTGTACCATCTCTGCAAAAGAAGGCAGCGGGCTGTGTTTCCCCTGCCTCCTCTTCCTTCTCGGAGACTTTTCCATCGCTTCCTGTTGAAATCAGCTGGGCATGATGCTGGTGGATGTGGAAGTTGCGCACTGTGCGCACGGGTGTTTTTGCTTACTGTGTGCACGCCCAATGGTCCCATCCACGCACACATGTGCACCTGCAACATGCCAGTGAGAGCTCTTTTAAACCTTCAAATCACGAATTTACTCAAGCCATTCACACGACGACCGAAGAGACGACATGTAGACGAACAAAACCATTGAGTGAACGGCGTAATGGTTTAGTACCTTTGCTTTATTTCAAAACAACGTCGCTGAGAAAATATACCCAGGCGTCCCTCCATCACTCGTTGTCGTTATTACTGTCTGTTGAGTTGTGTATGGTTGATTTATCGACTGGCCTCCTGCACGGTCGAAAAGACGATTCCCTGTTCCTGCAGACGCTCGATCAGATCCGTCCTCGCAAACGCAACCGCAGGTGTCAGCACGCCGTTCGGCACCTTTTCCTTCTGCTTCAACAGCGTGTAGCACGCCTGCACCACCATCTTGGGCGTGGCCACATATCCTATACACATACAGTTGTTTCAAACCAATATACCAAAGCGACACATCGTTAATCCCTGAACGCTTACTGTCTTGTGGAATGCGAGTGAGCGAGCGAGTGAGTGCAGCGCCTAGCTCTGAGAAGAGTGTCGCTTACCTGGCTCGGGTCCACTGACACTGGTAACGATCGCAACATCCGGCTCCACCTTCTTCAACCCCTCCTCCCCTCCAACGCTTTCTCTTAACGCCCTGGAATACCCCTTCGCAAAGAACGTCTCTGAGAACGACGTCTCCGCCAACTGCTTACTCGACGGTCCCTCATGCCCAAACATCCCCATCGTAAACAACCTCGGATGCTTCAACAACAAGTTTCTGCCCCACTCATACCTCGCCAACGTTCCAAACATCGTCGACGCGAAAATCATCATTGCCAGCACCTTGAATGTCGGGATACAAATGTATGCTGAGAACTGAACGGGTGGAGATTGAACAGTGGCGAGGTCCTTGTCCTGGAGAACAAGTTGTTGAGAAAGCCGGATGACTGAGGGATCTGCAAAGAAGAAGGGCACGGTGTAGGCGGCGACTTTGTGGACCCAGTGGGGCTTGGGGTTCACGGGGAGTGTGGGGCCGATCTTTGGGACCGAAGGGCGGTTTGCGGCCTTGCGGAGCTGACGAAGTAATCCTGCACTTCCAAATCCATGCACAGCCTGCGCAGACACGACGACAAGTAGAAAAAAAAAACACAGCGTACGTTAATATCATGTTGCATCTCCTTCTGATATGTCATAGCGACAATGCAGTATGCGCGAAACACAATCACATACAGACTCATAGGTAGCATAATGCGCCGCAACTCCAGCTGAGCCAGCAACGTGCAACTTGAAGAACATCTCAATCGTCGACGGCAAGGCATCATGCGTCTTCTCCAACTGTTGCTTCGTGTAAAGGACTCCCATATCCGCCGGAATCGAGTCGAACCCACAGACATTGACAATCGACACCTGAGCCTCTTTGGCCTGCTCATGGTACTTGAACGCCATCCTCTCAAAGAACTCGGGTTCGCCCGTAATGTCGACATAGTGGGTCTTTTCATGGATGCACGCCAGCACCACTGCCTCGCCCAGGAACCGGAATGGGCCCGCTGTAGAGAGACAAATAAGCGCAAATGTTAGTTGGATGCCATCCAGAGCTATACGTGTTCCCACACAAGGCAAAACGACCGCTGGAACGCGTATTCTGTGTACCTGCAGCAATAACCGTTTTGGAGGCTCGACACATGGCCCTCATACTCGCCTCGTCTTTGACATCAGCCACCAGAATTACAGGCTGGATGCCCGAGGGATTCTCTGTGGAAGGCAAAGACGCGACCAGTTGCTCGAGTCTCTCTCTGGACCGGCCCGCGACAGCGACTCGGAGTTGTTGGCCAGGGAAGGCCTTGGGTGCGGTCTTGAGGACCTCGGCCACGATGAACTTGCCCGTGAATCCTGTTGCGCCAAAGATGGTCAAGTCGTATGTCTTTTCCATGGTGATGTAGAATGAGGACGTGTGTGTGTGTTGTGCGAGAGAAAGAGAGAGAATGGTATCTACACGTCACTTTGATTCCGCAACTAAGCTTTTCTCTCTCTCATTCTCTCATTCTCTCATTCTCTCATTCCATCACCTACTTTCGCTCTCTTTTGTCATTCTTGCCTCTTGCTTGCCTCTATTCATAAACCCTTCTCTAGTCATTCGCTTGTTCGCTGCCAGATGGGTGGAGAAATGATATTTGAACACACAGACAGTCGACCTGTGGGATATGAGATGCCCGAATACCAAAGCATCCTTGATGGTATCCGGCAGGCGACAGCACATCTCAAGCCGCCTGCACCGACCTCCGCCGCTTTGAAAGATGTGGATTTGGAGCGCTACGAATTGTGCTTGGATCTTGGGAAGCCCTATTTTATCCTCTTCCCTAAGAACCCCGACACTCACAAAGTCCTGTCCCGGATGCATGCACGTAGGATGTCCTCTTCCTTCAAAGCCCTATTGGACCCCTGGTTGGAGAAGCTGTCTAGGTCGTTCAGTTGCTTCTCGTTGGAGTATGGAGATGGCTATGACGGATACGGTTTGGAGTTTGAGCTTTATGAGCCCGACTATGGCAGTGCTTATGATGAAGATTGGAATCCGGACTACACAGCATGCAGCTCGGATGACTGCGGCATGTGTGGCAAGTGCGATTATTAAAAAGGCTTTCACCCGGCTCCAAAGGCTCCAACCCCTTATACCCCTTATACCCCTTATACGGAAAGTATATGGTTACTGAATAAACTCCTTCTCAATCCCTCTCAGGGACTCTCGCAGCAAACGGTTTACACATACCTGACATACCTGTAGCCCTTTTATAAAGCATGATGACAAAACTCTCCTTGCATTGGGTTGATTGTCTTTTCCACCTACCTTCCAATTCACAACGGAACAAAGAATGGCCGTCGAGACCTACACGATCCTCCCCACCAACAAATACAACCGCCCACCTCCACCATCGACAATAGCACTTCATGGCCTGGATCTCCTCAATCCCCCCATACAAATCCATAATCACCGGTTCTACCACCGCCCGACCAACACGACTTCTGATGTAATCCACAAACTGAAATCTTCTCTTGCCGAAGCACTCGAGTTGTATCCACCAGTTGCAGGAACTGTGCAAGCCAATGAGGAGGGCGAGCCGTACATCGCGATGGATGCCGAAAATATTTTGGGCACACCTTTTCTGGTCAACATGAAAGACACGCCGTATGCTGGCGATACGGAGGATTTATCTCCTCGAACTGTCATGTTGCTGCCTCCATCCTCAAGCACATTAGCAGTGAAAGTAACTCAGGTAAGGTAGAATGCTCTATACTATTATAATATTATACTATTATATACTCCATGCTATTGCCGCCACTCAACCTCAACATGGGCTTTTCTGTCAAAAAATAGTTTTCCTGCGGAACCATAGCCGTCGCCGCCTCCATACACCATCAGGTCGCGGATCTACGTGGCTTTCTCGATTTCCTTGAACTCTGGGCTCAGCTCGCTCGGGGCGAAGCTGTCGATTTTACAAAAATTCCAGATGATTGGTCTCATAATCCTGGTCGATTTTTCCCGGGTCTGATCAGTGAATCGACAGTACCCACGTCTCCGCCTCCTCCATTCATGGTCCTTCCTGCTCCCGCAACCGGGCCACCTCCATTTTTATTGGCACCATCAGAGATTACAAGATGGAAATTCACCAAAAGTTCCATGGAGCGCTTGAAAAGTGATTTCTCGCCTTCTGCTTCTGCTTCTGCTTCTTCCAAAGAACACAAGTCTGATCTGTGGATTTCATCGGGTGATGCACTTGCTGCTCTTCTCTGTGGTGTCATCACACGCGCTCGCAACAATGCAAATGTGGCAAGACTGCAGGGAAGATCTAGCTTAGAGTCACAGACCGAGGAAATTGCCATGGCCGCTAATGGTCGAGACAGATCTCCTCTAGACATGTCTGGACGATACTTTGGAAACTTCAACACCCTTTGGAGCGCCACCGTTTCTCGCGCCGATCTATCATCCCCCATTTGTGAGTCAGGTTCTCGTGTCGCTCTCGCAATTCGAAACGCTTTAAATCTTCAACTTTCGCCAGAAGCCATTGCCTACAAGATTTCATTTTTCGAAGCTCCCCAAAACACCCAACCTCCCGGTCGTATTGATTGGTTTGCAGATATCATATTGACCAATTGGTGTCAGTTCGACTTGCAAGGTCCAAAGTTGGATTTTGGTTGGGGAAAACCTTTTTGTGCAACGGCCGGCGGCGGTAGTGTCTATCCGCCTGGATATTGCATGATGACGCAGGAGAAGGATTCAGGAGATGTTTTTGTTATGATGACAGTGGAAAAGGAAGGTGCGGATGGGTTGAAAGCTGACTCATTGTTGAACAAGTATGCAACACCAGTCCCGGTTCATCCAAGTTGTTGATCGATCTCATAATAAACAGCAACTTCAAAAGAAAAAGAAAATAGCTTCTATAGGTGATATTTGTTGACGGTTCGTAAAAGTAAATTTGCGCAAACTTCGGCTTGCCGTTCAGTGCACGTTCCGGAAGAAGGCTTCCATAATGATGGTACACCTCTCCCTGGATGCGGAACGTGTAGATGCTACCTGCAGCACTTGCCAAGTTCCTGTCGGTCGTAGCGGCCATGGAGGTGAACGACATGGACATATTGTATCTCCGAATATTCAGCCTGAAGTCCTTGCTCTCCTTTGATTCTCCCGTGATCAGCTCCATCAACCGCGAGTTCCCCGGATAGCTTGGGTCAGGCTTAGGCGGGTCAATGCGGGGCAGCACAATGCGGCCCATCGAGCAGCAGAGCGTGAACTTTGGACTTTTCTTGGAAGTGCTTTTGCACCGCTCCTGCACCCACATCTTGGCCTTACAGTATCTGCATATGACTGTCTGTGTCAAGATCTGGACTGGCAGGTAAGTGAAGGATGGAGAAGCAAGAGCGAGTACAAGGCAGGAAAGTATTTTATTGCAGACTGAGGTTTGATTAGGGCAACTAGCTATGTCTTTTATACGTGAATAAAGCTTGATTCGGGATCCCAGCTCGGTAGCTTATGTCCTATAAGCTTCCGTGTTCGGAACTGGAACATAATGGAATTGACCAAGGTGGGCGCGGGCAATCGTCTGCTTGGAACGGGGAAGCAACGTTAACCCAGTTATGCTTTCCGTGTGGAGACGCGACGTGATTTGTGCTCGCGTAGCGGGGTAATCACAAGCCACTAGAGTCAATTGAAGTGAGCGCGAGTCTGTCCTCAAAATTCGTGACAGTCTGACCAGGATAGTGGCGGTTGTTCTTGACATCAACGCCTGCCACCAGATCTTCAGTGAAAGGCCGCCGTGCATCTAAATCGATTGCGCTATTCTGGCGATTGTAAGCAGTAATTATGTCAGTGCGCCTGGTGAGAGATATAAACTTATCCCATAAAAAAAAAAAAAAAAGGAAACCTACCTTTCGGGCGGGTTACTGGGATTCTCAGGGCAGTCCTTGAGATATTTTGGGGAAATTGAATGAGTATGAAAGAGATGTGGCTCCCCACACAACACACCGACTGATATTTATTTGTATAAAATCTAATAGTGAGCTGGGGTACACTTATTAAACTAAATAAAATACACTGGGTTCTGGTGAAATATGTGACAGTCCTTGAGATACGGTATTCGAGGTGCTCTCTAAACAAGATTTGATTTCATGCTATTCGAGTTCGGGGTCGGTGTATCAAGATATGGTAGTTACTTACTGATCCAATCGGTGATACTAGACGTGGAGATGCCCAAGAGAGTTGACACATCTTTGATATCCATGCCCATGATACAGAAGAGGACTATGGCGCTCCATCGAATACCCTCAGAGTAGACCATCCTGGATTGTTCGAGGACCTCGACTATGGACCCAACTGGAATAAAGGAGTGAGGATATACCATGGGCTTAACGGGGGTGTTATCTTGGTTGAGGATCTCTATTATGAAAGGCACAATACATGCTCGGGGTGCTCGGATAGGTCTTGCAGCAGGACTACAGTCGAAACGAGTTTCGACTGTACAGATTCGATAAATTCAGGATCAGGACCAATGTCGATGGGGGGGGGGTTTATTTATTCACAAGAATCCACCTGTGCGAATAGACGCGTGGCCCGCAAAAGTCCCTTTAGAGCTGCATCCCCTACCAACTATGTCGGCTTGAGGTGTCTTGGTTTCACAACATAGATCGCATGGCAAATCTAAGCTGTACCCCTACGTGACCCTGTCGCGTAATATACGTTTACTAGTCCAGACCCTCTTCGTACCAATGTCGATGTAAAATGCAACAAAGGCACGCTTCACACACGCTTGATTGCTCGTTATATCCATGTCATCGGTAGTCAATGCAAGAGGGATGCAGTGGTTGGGGAGGAGCAAAGGGGATGGCTTTGGGTGCTAAGGATCAAGCAGTGAATGTGTAAGGATGAAGGATGTTTGGCAGTGGGAGGGAGTTTATTTTGAGCAAAGTGAAAATCGTGTTGGCATCAAGAAAGAGTATTGCAAAAGGGCTATCCATCGAGATCTTAACATCAAAAAAAAAATGTGGCATATAGCCATATTACATGCTGCCACCGCGTGTATTTAATTAGATCCAGCGAGTCCTATCAATTTACTTAAGCCACCGAGTAATATATAATGTTCTCGGTGGATTAATATTAAAGATCCCTCTCTTGTTCTCATTGACTCCTGGTTCGCAAAAAGGCACAGCAAATCGATATGTTTGTCAAAGAAATAACACTGCAAATTGATATACTGAAGCTGCAGTCAGCGGTACGGCACCACTATCAGTGGACATTGCAGCATCGAACAAGGACCTACATCAAGGATTGGCGGTCGGTAGCATGGGCGCTCACGCTGCGGATCCTACACGATAATAACGCGCCAAAGCGCTTATACACCAGTCTGGAAGACTGTCGTTTGCGTTCGCACAGGATCAAGAAATTGCATGGTGATTTGCCGACATTGCAGCGATGAAGAAACGACATCCAGACACCTAACATATGGATATATGTCGTAAGTGTGAAAGGGAAGCAGAGACGAACGATCATCTTTGGCGTTGTTCAGCTGCCTTGTGCGACCAGCGACAAGAGTGGGGGGGATGCGGTGGAGGAGGCGGAGTCGAATGGATATCGTGCATGGCTCTGCCGCGCATGGAAGGCATCTAGAACTTTATGGCCTTTGCGGACCATGCACCTCGTGCTCATATGGATTTATGTTAATAATAATAAAAAAAATCAACCTTGGATAACTCATCGAACCACCACCAATATCATCCATCATACCTTAGAATAAACACTCATTGTGGTTGTTGCGGTGCAAAATGAGCAGGCGACATGGTGGCATGAAATATCTTTTCGGGCATGCGCAGTAGGCCTGGCGGTCGTGGTTTTTCTTTCACTTTTCGCACTTGGGCATGTTGTAGTGGTTTCAGAGTAGGATGGTGGTAGATGGCAGTGATAGAGACAGACAGAAAGAGAGAGAGTAGACGAGAGAGAAAGACAGGGAAAAGATATTTTTTATTATTCTTACTCTTGAATCCATCGAGCCTATGAGATAGAGAGGTCTACGTGACATGGCAGAGTATCCTCTTTCCAACTTTCAGCTTGTACGTAGATAAAGAGTCTTTGCCGGTACGTGGAAAGGTATGGATTAAAGATAATGTCACATTCTGGTGCCTTACACGTTGAATGAAATTGTACAGCGCAATGGTAGTTTACATTGTCATGTATGTGCAAAATAGTTATAAGTTCAAACAGTTAGTTACCCAAGTCCAGAAAGTCAGTTCATATTCCAGGGAACTAGTAGCGCTTTTATATTTGCAGATGGGGTGGGGTTTTACTTGAGCAAAATGTAAGATAGGGTGTAAGAGTGATTCTTTATTAACGACAATGGACTACAACTTCTCTCGTCATTGTAAATTAAAAAAATATGAGTTCCTTGAGGAACAAATCTTTGCAATAAAGTGGTTAACCTCAGCGACTCGCAGCTACAAGGCTACTCTACTGCTTACAACACCCCGTTCAATAAAAGTCGTCTGCGATGGATTTACCTCTCCCAATGTTTGAAATTCACATTAGCAGGCGCCTCATGAAACCTTTCCGCTCCACAAGACGACCCCACATAGTATGATTCAAGGCCCGAGGATCTATTCGTATTCAACTAAAAGTCGAAAAAGGCGGAAATCGTCGCGCTCTAGCACGGATTCTGACTTGGAGGCGTTCAGTCATAATCCAACGGACGATAGCTTTGGGCCATTGTGCTCATTATTATTATTTGAAAAACACGGGCATTTCATTTCACACGGCACGCGTTCGTTGCAATTAGCCGGCCCAAAGTTTGGTGGAGGTGCCAAATGTCGCGAGCAACTGGACAGACACCAGCATACCTCGGCCCTGGTAAAAAAAAAAAAACATACATCGGCAGGTCGTTTGCGCTACGACTCGTAGTATCCATACTATGCTGACATCCATTAACATATGTGTCTACATGTAAACTGTCGTTGAACACAGACAACAAAAGCAATCTACGCCGTCTAATGCAACTTCGACCGGCGCGTCTCATTCATTGAAGGCGAAAGGGCTTTCGGTCGGTATGTAGGTTTCTTTTCCCTTCAGCTACTCGCCTTTCGCGGTGTACTGTAGTCGATATCATGCACGCCAACCCCCAGGACGAGGAGCATGCAATACCAAGAGTTCTGTCAGCTGCGTTTGACATAGGAGATGTGAATCAAAGCCCAAGCGGTTTGAAGACTGATACGCGTTTCTGTCGACTGCAAGACACGAAAACGCGTCCATTTCAATCCCATGAGACCGATCGTCAATCCAGCATGTTTCTGTTTCCCATTTCCTCCGCATTGCAAAGCAAACTACTCCTTACAGGGTTTCTACACCTCTAACGCCTTCTTCTTTTGTCTCTTTTATTTTATACATTCTGATCCTCCTGATTGCCGATCTGTCAGGTCTGTCCTCCCAGGACAATGTGCGGGGAATAAAAAAATAGAGTAGATACCCTTACTCCGCAAAGCAGCCGCTCTGCTGTGTTTGTAATTTCTTTTATTTAGTGCTTGTAGTAATGAAAGGGAAATGATAAGTAGTAGCAAATCGAGTCGTTCTCTTGATGATCGACGTGTCAACCAAGGACGCGTTTCAAAGAAATAAAATAGTCAGTGCCATCAATTGGCCCTATTATCGGTTACCATGGTATTTGTAAACATCCTCAGTACAGATGCGTCCGTCCTTCCATCCCTCATCACAGTACACGTTCATTATCTCGTTCATGCAAAAAAAAAATATGTTTCTCTCAATGCTTTCGTAAGAGACCCAGGGCTACGGGCACCCGGGTCAAAAAAAAAAAAAAAAAAAAAAAAAAAAAAAGGCTGGTCACAGACTTTGGCCTATCGGCCTGCCAACAATGGACTGACCCGATCTTTTTCGCTTGCAATGTGGGGCGGGATCTCTGGTCCAGGCGGCGTACACTCTGTCGGAACAAACAAATAAAGAGAATAAAGAGAACAGAGCACAGCATCATCCTTCGTCGTCCTGCCTAAATTGTCAGAATGCCCTTTTCCTTTTTTCTGGGTTCACATGGGTACGTGTAGCGCCTCAGCATGGTACAGGAGTACAACAATCCAATGGCCTTCGGGTCCATTTCATTATGCATTGTGAAACAAAAGACAAAGCCAGGCCAGGTACTTTGCGCAACCTTTTGGTCTAAAGAACGATCGCGGATATGATGTTCGATGATGTACTATTATGTACTATTATGTACTATTATGTACTATTATTTTCTTTTTGAATAAATGAATGCTGTTTGTTATTTGTGCTGTTGTAGTAGTGGGGGGTTGTTCATGCAAAATGAGAAGAAAAGAAAAACGACGACTCTATTGTTATTGTATGCGATGCAAGAGAAAAAGGGAAGAGAGAAAAAGCGAACCAGAAAAATAAAGAGAAAGAGACCAAGACTAGAAAAGACTATGTAGACGATGTTGTACGCGGTAGGGAGGGGGGGAGGAGGGGGGACAAGTGAAGGGGTGATGATATATGCCATGCCAAATTTCCATTTCTCTTGGGGTTTCCATTTAGGACATGTTACCGCTGCTGCTGTTGGGATTGCCGTTGCTGCCGTTGTTGCTTCCATTCATCCCATAAGCGGTACCATATATGCTTGATCCAGGGTAACCAGTCGTATACGAAGAAGGCCCATAGCTCGACTCCATCCGCTGTGAATGGAACGAGTAACTAGGCCCTCCACTGGTATCGTATCCAAAATCGAGAGGTGCTGGCATGTGGGCCATCGTCGTTGCTGAACCTGCTGTGCTCGTGAATGGCAGCATGTGTGATTGCGTCGGGCTGTTGAGCGCCGTCACGGGCTCCGACATGTATCCTGCGACTCCAGATGGTACTGCATTCCTCATGGTTGGCGTCGTCACTGCTGAGGCCGATCCGATCTGCGTGGGTGGGGGTCTGCGCTTGTAAGGACCACGCTTGACACCCTTTTTGCGTACTTTGCGGGTCGAGTCAACACAGGTCTCTGTTAGACCGTACTTGATGCATCGTGCGCATGGTCGTCCTTCGTCGCACTTCTTGCATGCCTTTTGGCAGTTCACTATTGTAAGGAGGAAAAAGGACGAGTTTATTAGCACGACATGTCTTTCAATGACGAGATGGGCCTAGGAAGCATCTTTTCATGCTATCAAGAAATTCAATAAAGTACTAGTAAATAGAAAATGCCCCTTTGCGACAGGAACAAAGGAAATGACACACCCACACCCGGGGGTACCAAACCCTCTCATGCACCTCCCCTTCTCATTACTGCCAGTTCCCGTTCCAAGAGGGTAATACGCTCCATAGGATGTAAAGCAAAGCAAGGCATGTAGAGTTCTTTGTGGATCGTTGGTTGTGCTGGTTTTTTCTTCTTCAGATAGTCATCCTCTTTCTTGTTGCGATCCAGTCAGTAGTCGAGGAACTGACATGTGATGCAGGGGATATTGCCAACGGCTACCTCCTCTTCTCGCTCTCAACACTCATTCTCAATCTCAATGTCGCTCTTAACATTCACTTCTTTTTTTGTACGGTGAATGGGGATGACCTGTCCCCGTCCCCTGAGAGTCCAGGCTAATATACGTTCACCACCCAGTATCTCTATCGCTTACACAGCAACAGACCAGAGCATTATCTGTCTGCGTTTGAAAATATCGCCATCAGATAATACAAATGAAAAAATGAAAAATAGAATAGAGATATGTAGGTATAGAGCCGACTCTTTTTGCAATGAGGTGATCCCCTTTTGAGTTGAGTGAATCACACAATAAGAAAGACCTGCTGATAAATATAGAGAGAATTTTTTTTTTCCCAGGATTGAATAATCTCTTGAATAGAGTCGAGGGTTCATTCTCAGCCAGTACGAGAAAACGAAATCCTCAATCAAACCAGCGTCATGTCCCACACCCACGTTGTTGCTCAATAAACATCTTTTTTTTTTGTTTGTTTGTGGCGATACATTGTTGGTGAGTACACCAGCCCATAAATAATCAGCAATTCAATCGTAATAACGAACCCAACAGGGACGAGTACATTATGATTCAAGGAGGACGAAAGAACAAGACTTACCGCATGCATTCTTGACCTGGCGACGCTTGGGTTTTTGTGAGAGCTGGGCCTCATTCAATTGCTGGTACTCGTGCGTCGGTGACCCCGGCATGGAGCTGTAGGGAGTCGAGTGGTTCGAGTGATAAGGCGTACTCTGGGTCGAGCTGAATGCAGACGAACCAAGCAGCTGACGGTACTGTGCGTACTGCGAATCAGATAGCGGAGGCACCAAGGCTGCATATTGGGATTGTTGATGCTGACGCATCGGCGAAGGTGCGGTCGAACTGAACTGGACATGGGCTGCATTACCACCAACATTAGCGCCGCCATGATGGGGCTGCGACTGCTGCGGTTGCTGCTGCTGCTGCTGCTGCTGCTGAGACGCATAAGGTGGCGAAGAATTGTAATAGTTGTTCGAGTTCAGATCACTGGAATGACTGGTCTGGTGTGAGTACGAGTGCTGCTGTTGCTGTTGTTGTTGACTCTGGTATGCGTAGGATTGATGCTGAACATAGGGACTATTGCTTCCACTGTTACTGTTGCTGTTCACATTGCTGTTCACATTGCTGTTCAGGTGCGAGTTGCCACCATTGGGATGGTACTGCATATTGTTCAGCGTAGGCGATGATGGAGCGCTGGAGAAGGCACTGGTGTTGAGGTGTGTATTAGGGACCACGGGCGTGGTAGTGCCGCTTGGAACAGCTGTGGAGGCCGAGGAGACTGCGGGGTTCTGGTGCATGTTCATGGCCATGATGTGCCTGCTGAGGTTGTAGTTGCCTGAGGAAGCCAGGTTCGAGAATGAAGCCATGGGGCCATTCGAGGACGAAGACGAAGAAGGGGAGGAGTAAGACTGGTGCGACTGTTGGCCATACTGGTGGTTCGAAGAGTAGCTCGACCCTTGTTGCTGTTGCTGCTGCTGGCAGAACGGAGGCGGAGGGTGGTATGGCTGGGAGACATTGGGCAACGGAGTTAGCTCACCCTTGGCCTGGGACTCTTGTTGCTGCTGGCTGTAGAACGAAGGCTGAGGGTGGTAGGGCTGCGAGACGCTGGGCAGCTGCGACAGCGGCTCGGTCTTGATGTAGGGCTCCTGCTTGACAGGAGGCAGCTGCTGAGGCATGCTCATGCTGGGCATATGTGGTGTGTCGATTAAATCGGATCTGTGTTTGGTCAGGAGTAGAAGTAGAGCAGCGGTGGAGCAGAGGTAAGGAAGCAAGAAGTGAATGAGTGGATGAGTACAAGGGGGAGGAGATCCAAAGAGACAAGCTTCGCAACCTTGTTTGCTGATTCGAATCCGCAAAGGCTGATCAGTTCACATTCACTCACCTGTTGGCTGCAGAAGGAAGAGAAGGAGGAGGCGGAGGGGGATCAGCGATCGGCGATCAGTGCAGTGGTCGTCAGTAGGCGGAGGAGTGACAAAGGTTAAGAGGGAGGAGGAAGCAAATAGCGGCGGCGGAAGGCAGTTTTTTGGTGGCCAAAAGAAGAAGAAGAAGAAAAGGAAGGAAGGGAAGGGAAGGGAAGGAAAAAGAAGAGGGAGAGGGGTGTCTGACTATGACAAAAGGGCTATATATATTTTTTATGAATGTATACACATAGACTGAATGCCACTGCAGTGGTGAGTATTCAGTATGTGATTGAATGGGAGAGAGAGAGAAAGAGAGAGAGCGAGCGAGACCAAGCAGAGTAAAGCAGGGCAGATACAAGGGCAAGGCAAGGCAAAGCAAAAGCAGCTGAAAGATGCCCTTTTTTGTTCCTCTGGGCCCCGAGGGCCGTCTGATTGATCTGCCATGTCTTACTTCCTTCCCGTCACCCTCTCCCCTCCTCGACTAGCGCTCTCTCTTGCCCCCGCTCTCTCGCCCTCGCCCTCTCGCTCGCTGCCTGTCCCTCTTCTCAACCGTCTTCCTTCCCATCAGAGCGTCAATCCGATTCCTTGTGGCACCATCATTTTTCAGGGACAGGCAGCAGTCCATTGGACGACAGTATCAGCTATGACAAAACTCCATGTGGCCCACAACAAAATAGCCGTTGAACAGCTGTGTGGGTAGACATGTGCCCACTAAAAGTCATAGCTCTGCGTACCCTGTCATATATACCCTATCAAACAAGGCCCTTAATAGTAAGCACACGTACATACATGCTGCTCCCCTATTTTCCCCCTCAATTGGTCCCACCGTACTCCAGCTCGACTGACTCCATCGGTTCAATTCGATACATCTTTCAGGGGGAAACGTGATTACCCAGTAAAGATCATCCCCCATTCTTCATTCCCCATTCAACTTCCCACTCCACTTTTCTCATTTTCTGTCTTCCTTCCTTGTTATCAACCAGTACACCCACTCCTTCTGCTTCGTCCGGTCTGTTTCCTTCCCTCCTGCAGCTGCTGCAGCCCAATTGAACTCAAAAAAGTAACAAGGACATCCAAATATACACATTATATACCACTGACCAACACACATGAGTTTCCTAGGCCTGTAGGTTATTTTTATATCCCCTCCACACACGCACACCACACAACCTTTTTCTCTTGACGCTGGAATGCTCAATGATGCTGATGATGATGACGACGACAGGGTCCTAAGTCTTTGGTTCGACGATAATTATATCTCCAGGGAGCCAGGAACAACAATCAGAGCCGATTTATCTTTACAGGATGAGCAATTCGGCCACGCGCGATAAAAAAGAAAAGCACAATGCCATTACCATCCATGGCTCTGTACAGCGGCAATTTACAGAGCCGAACAAGAAGGGGCGCCAGGGTACTCACATATCATGGATCAGCAGCCAGTAAAAAAAAAAAAGCGGCGGTAACAGAGCAGAATAGCAATGAAGAGCCTCAACGAACAGGACAGGACACATATACAAGGACAAACTGATCGACCCATGGAGATGTCAAAAGGATGTTGCGAAAAAAGGACTGGAGCTCTGACTGACTGACTGACTGACCCGGTCCGATCCAATTGCTTTCTTTCGACGCTTTGTTGTGCTGTGTAGATCGTCCGGCAAGACCAAGGTGCCAAAGAAATCAGGCAATGTCTCGTCTCTTCAGAAGCAATACTTGCTAAAGGAATACGCAGAGCAGACCCTCGGCTCCGGGAACTTGCGTCTGGCCGTTCATCTGCCTGAAGGCGAAGACCTCAACGAATGGCTCGCAGTCAACAGTAAGCGACAATAATCGACCCTTTGTGCAGGAGGTGCATGTGGATGAGTGCCGACCAACAACAGCTGACCCAATCGTTACTGCAAAGCCCATTCTGACTACAAACCTTTCTTTTTACCCTTATTGTAATGCGTGATATTTTTGACCCTCCTGCCCTGCCTCCCCTCTTTTTGCCCCTAACTCCTGAACCCCTGGCATCATCCCCTGATGACTGATGACGATGACAATGGACATACTCTTTCTCCAGCGGTCGACTTTTTCAACCAGATCAACATGTTGTACGGGACCATCACGGAATTCTGCACGCCCCAGGATTGCCCCGTAATGAACGCAGGCCCTAAATACGAATACCATTGGAAGGACGATACGCAGTTCAAGAAACCAGCCCGTGTCAGTGCCCCCGTCTATGTCGATCATCTCATGTCCTGGGTTCAGTCCCAACTCGACAACGAGACCATCTTTCCTAGCAAAATTGGTACCGTGCATTCTCGATTCGCACCTATGCTTCGCCCGTCTTCATACTGCGAAGACTCTTTACTCAACACACTTTACTTGTTCTCCATTCCTCTCCACATTGGATGATGAATCAATCCCCCTCCCATAGGAGTGGACTTTCCTCCGGATTTCAAGACGGTGATCAACGACATATTTCGCCGACTGTTCCGTGTCTACGCCCATATCTACTCGATCCATTTCTCCGTGATCGTCTCCTTGGGCGAAGAAGCCCATCTGAACACGAGCTTCAAGCACTTTATCCTCTTTGTCAAGGAATTCAATCTCATCGACCCAAAGGAACTCGCTCCACTCTCGGATCTCATCGAGTCCCTCGTCGCACAGCTTAAGAACTAACCCCCGAGTCCGGGTCACTTTTTTTTTTTTTTTTTTGATCCTTACATTGAATCGTGTACATATACATACGAAAAAGCGTCCTTATTCTTATCCTTTCAATACATTTTCCGTAATACTGCAAATAGTCCCTTCTGACATTATGATCAACATGTGGAAGAGATCTTGTCGATCGAGAAAAGAAGGGAAAAAAAAAGTTGTTTTTGCGCAAGCAGTTTTTAATACTCCAGCTTCCTTTGTTCTTTTCCTGGGGGCCAAAAAAAAAAAAGAATTACTCTCTTTTTAAGCGGCAGCAACAGGCTTGACCTGCTTCTTGGCCTGAGTACCCTCACGGAAACCGTTCTTGAAGCGGCGGTTGACCTGGGAGAGGTAGCGCATGCGACCGGTTCCGGTCGTCTTTCTGCGCGTGGCCTTCTCGCTCCAGTTGTCTGTTTGATTGTTGAGTAAAATAAAAAAAAAAAAGGAAAAGGAGATTGTAACTCTGTCAGTAAAGCTATCATAAAGTCAAGAGAGCATCGGGGAATGTAGGTGTTCAAGGAAGAGGGAGACGTTCGTGGACCGTCGCTGCTGTTGTTGTATAGTGCAAAAGGCGCGTGTCGTGCTTGAACCAAATCCTTGAGATTGTTCACAGTTTTCATTCCCTGTCATCCGTCCTTATGCAGCGTCGCGACAATTCCACAAAAGGCCGTGTAGTCCATCTTTGACGCACTGAAAGTCGTAATAACCATGCTGCTTGAATGCTGCCGAAAATCAAATCAAACGCCCAGTTTGCTTGCCGCCAGTATTTTTTTTTCCCTTTTGGATATCACATATCCTGTCAACTGATCCTGCAACAAACTGACCGATCCTTTCGAGTCAATTGATTACTATGCTGCTTCCTTTTTTCTTTTCTTCTTTTTGCCGATTATTTTCTCCATGTAACAATTGTTCGCCTCAAAGGGAAATGAAAAGAAAGAAATCGCCGGTGAAGAGGCGCAAAAAAGGATCGGAAGATGATGCTTACAAGAGCGGAGCTTGGCAGCGGGGTAGCCGCACTGAGCGCAGGTCTTCTTCTGGTTGTGGAAGGAACGGCGTCCACAGCTAAACATTAGTTAGTTACAAAAGGGAACAAGAAACAGGAGAGATCTATCGTCAGTCGCACTGATCCTGAAGCCAAGTCAAGCTCCTGGAAGGACTTGCAAAAAAAAAAAAAAGACGTACCGACGGCACAAGGTGTGAGACTTGGTGTGGCGTTTACCAAACGAAGAGGTACCCTTAGTCTAAAGGCCGTTCGTAACAGAAAGATAATAAGAGGTGGGGGTGTGAGTTTGCTGTGAGTACTTCTTCAAACTGACGAGGCGCGATCCTGTGGAGAGGAGACGAGTTCCATCACAGTGCTGAAAACATCAACTGCTGCTGCTGCCGCAATCGATTCCCGAGATGGTCGTACTTGTTGATCCTGGGCGAACGTTGCGAAAGGTCGGCGAGGTGTTTGGAGGCGGTGGCGATCGAGTTCGACGATCATTTGCTGTTGTCAAAAAGATCCTGCTCAGGGTTTCCACCTGTTTTGTACACCAAAAAGTGCTGAGATCCCTGGTGATGCCGATTTCAACTCTACAGAGCATCCCTGCGCTCCGCATCATAATCCGTAGCTCATAGGGACTCCATGATGTTGGGTTCGACATAGTTCCCCCTCCAAGTTGATCGATTCACTCTACTCTGGCAAGAGCGCGTCCTGAAGCGATTGTCGATGAACATCATGATTCCCTCCGAACAATAATTCCTCTGGGGTTTGATACATGACGGATTGTTCGATCCAGGTTGGTGGTGTCTGTTTATACTGATATGTTGGATGGATGGATAACAGTTCCTGATCCTGAGATGGATGGTTCTCGCCCCCTCCTTGCTCCTTCACATATAGCGTTCACTTAGAGACCATTTCGAGTAATTGATTTTTTGGAAAGGAAGGACCCCGCAATTGCTGGTTGAGCAGATCATAAAAGATCGATTTTCTACACGTGACCTCTAGGCTCCTAGGCCTTGTCTGTATATCTGGGGTTTGCAATAGAAAAGTATCTTCATTTATGGATACCATGAGTTCATTTTCAATGAAAAAAAGATGTATTGGTTTTATGATATGCTACATGCTACATAGTGAGAAAAAGAAAAAATGCCAAAAAATAAACGAGCACGAGGGGAGGGGAGGGCCTTCTAAAAATGCCACTCCTTTTCTTTTTTTTAAAAACGTTCCTTCATACGAGCAGCCTTGGTTCGCAACGTCGAATAGACCTTGCCTGGTGGAGAACCCAGAATCAAAGCAACGATCGCATCCCTCGCAGTCTTGATGTTCTGGAATGATCCCAGAATATGGATACGACTACCACAAGAGGAAGACGGACGTGAACATAAAACAATAAAATAGAAATGTGTTCGTTAATCAAATAGAAACATCGAAAAGGACACAGTATATCGCTATATAGCAAATACCGAGCAATAGAGACAAGAAGGAGGGATACTCACGTTTCTGCGAGGACGATACGGGTCTTGCTGGCGTTCTCAATCGTAAATTTGGTCTTTCCGTCCTTTCCTGCAATACGACCAATCGCACGGGACAGATGGTCACCATGCAATGTCTTCACATCCTTGATCTCGAACGAGTCCAAGTACAAGTCATCCAATCTCAGCAATGCAGTAGCATCCTAAATCGTATGAATAAACAAACATACAAAAAGAGACTTGGTATAAGAACAATCAAATGCCTCTCTCCAGTAACTCAATTGCAAGTTCCAGAAATGTGTCCAGAAAATGTAAAATGGCGTCCAAAACTTACATCGATATCAAAGCCCAACGCGAACGCTCTAATAAAGTCAGCTCCCTTTTGCAATGCACCGGTATCATCAGTATGTTTTGACGTCTACAAAACAAAAACCAAATAAACGGAATTCCTGTCAGTTCGTTTGCCTCCGTCGCAATTGATTCAGCATTGAGTATCTTGAACAGTGTCCCTTGCGTGTGCGACGAGACGAAAGTTACCCTGATCTCAACAGACTTGCTCTTGACGTTCATGCGGACCTGAAGTTTGAGATGGTCGACCAAGGGTGAATAGATCTTCATCCACTCGTTCTTCAAGGGTGTCATCCTGTGAGGCGGGATGGCGATCTTACGCTGCTGCACCGTTGAGTTGCTCTAGAAAATGTGATAGCGATAACAAAAATCCGTAATCAGGACTGGTTGATGAGTCGCCAATCCCGGTTCAATTACATCCGCGAAGCATTCACTCTGACAATCCTGTATTGCCGCCCGTTGCTACTGAGGCCGACATAGTGACGATGATGATCGGAGGGAAACGAGGCTTCGACTTACAGCCATCTGGTTAGCCTTCAGGGCTGTGAACTTTGGTTTCTCTGCGGTCTCCATATCCATATCCTCAGTCTCGGCAGCAGCATGCCCAGTAGTGTTTCCATGTTCTGGAAGGGTATCGGCAGAGATCAACACATCGTCCTCATCCTCTTCGATATCATTGTGGTGCGCCGAGGGCTTCTCGACGGGCTTGGGACCCTTGTAGGAGGCCAGCGAGGACATTCTGTAATGGACTGGCTTATTGGTTATGGAAGGCGGTGAATGTGATGGGAGACACGAGGCGAAAGTTAAAGAGGAAGTACGTGATGCCGCAGAAGTTGGTTCGGTAGCGCTTGAGTCCCGGAAAGTTGAGTGTTGCAGGAGAGGGTTGATGCTGGCATGCCAAAACAAAAAAAAAAAAAGTGAAAGTTGGAGGCAAAAAAACACAAAAAGCCACCTCGAAAGTGACTGCAACAAGGGTACCTTACAAATGGGAAGTATGCAGCGCTGACCAATTCAACTCTCAAACCCACAACTGCTTCGCCATGCTCCTTCTTTCAAGAAGCCTTCTCTGGCATGCACGAACAATACCTGTACCATCGCCCAATGCACGCCTCACATCCATTACCACTCGCTTCTTTTCACTATCCGCCATTCGGCATTCCAAAGATGCGCCTTGTAAGCAGACACTGCATGAAAAAAAAAGCCAAAATATCTGCACTGCGACCAGAACTAACGCTCTGCGATTTCTCCCTGGTAGCTGATAGCAGACCAGTCGTCATCTCTGGTCCCTCCGGGAGTGGGAAATCCACACTGATTAGTAAACTCTTTTATGAATACCCCTCCACCTTTGGCTTCAGTGTCTCACGTAAGTTCTTCATCCCCACCCTACGCGCAGTGAATTGAACTTCTTCCTCTATAGCCTCCTAACATCAATCGGAACCTCTTTTTTTTGAACAGATACCACCAGACTCCCTCGTCCTGGCGAGCAAGATGGAATCGCCTACCACTTTATCTCTCCCTCGACCATGTCTGAGCTGATCTCTCAACAAGACCCACGCTTCTTTCTCGAACACGCCGTCTTCTCTGGCAACCATTATGGCACCAGCAAAAAAGCTGTCCAGGACGTGATCAATAGCGGAAAAATCTGTATCCTCGACATTGATCTACAGGGTGTCCGAAGCGTTCGAGAGTCGGGTTTGGACGCGAGATATGTGTTTGTTCGGCCAAGGGGTTTGGAAGTTCTGGAGAGGAGACTGAGGGGGAGGGGGACCGAGACAGAAGAGGCGATCAGGAAGAGGCTGGAGATTGCGAGGGCAGAATGGACCGAGGGGTTAGAGGGAGGGATGTTTGATTGCGTGGTTGTGAATGGTGAACTCGAGGAGGCGTACAGGGATCTGAGGGATTATATCTTCTCGCCAAGGCGGTCATAGCTGTGAAAGTACCATGCTCCAATGGTTCCTGAGAAATAAAATCAACGTTGGCGCTGCGGCGGTGACTGTCCTGTGCTCTTTTTTTTGACGTACATGTACCTTTTACTATTTATGCGCTGTTGTCCTGGCTCTGCTCCACTCTTCTTCCCACACACACTCACTCTTCTTCACCTTGTCTTCATCGATGTCAGCACCCACGACCCACCGACTCATCAAGGAGAATCAGATGTCTGGCATTGCCATTCAGGATTGGTCTGTGCTCTCCTACAAGACCTCGATTCTCAACTCTCAGGAAATCGACGTGTACGTCCTTGCTTTTTTTATTTTATTTTATATCGCACTCCCCGCTACTCTTTTGCAAGCAAGGCCTTTGTCCAAACCCACAACAAAGAAATAAAGGAAAAAACAGCAAACAACAACTAACACTGGGTACATAACCGAATGAAATAAACTACAGGGCGACGGCAGATCTGGGTATTCCAATCCCAGAGATGATCTTTGGAAACAACTATCTTTCAGTCGAGCACAAGTCTGGCTTCAAACTCGAGTTCAAGGCCCTACCTGCGCTGGCTATGGTCGATCAATCCACAAAGACCAGCGAACTCATCAAAGTCTCCTACGCACGCGAGTGGTTCGATAAGCGCAGGTACATACAAAAAACAACAACAACAAAAACGCAGGGGTTCTTAAGCACCAACGCAAATGAAACCCACTACTTTTTATTTATTGCGAGCCAAAGTTGCGAAACCCCCCCCCCCCCCCCCCGTTTCTGACTAAAAGATTCTTTATTACTGTTCTCCACGCACGCGTGAACTGATCGACTTGTGTTTTCGATTTAGCATGGCGAACCAAGAACATATTACGGACGTGGTCAAGCCGTACGATTGGACATATTCGACCAAGTATGCGGGTACGAACCTGAGTAGTCCAGAGCACCCACAAATGCAATTCGTCGAGACGAAGGATAAGAGCGAGTGTATCGATATCGAACAGCTCAAACGACCAGATCCAATTCTGTTTTATGATGAAAACATCCTTTTTGAGGACGAGCTCGCCGATAACGGAACCGCCGTCTTGACCACCAAAGTGGTAAGTTTTTTTTTTTAACTTTTTATTTTCCTCCCAGTTCTACGTTTTTTTCTTTGGTCAAAGCTGGTCTTGATTATTTTTGCCTAAAAGTGTTTGTTCTCGTTTTGTTGACTCCTTTCCTTTCCTTTCTTCTTCTTTGTTATATTAGCGAGTGATGCCATCGTGTTTCCTGATTCTGTTACGCTTCTTCTTACGCGTTGACGACGTGCTCTTCCGGATTCACGATACCAGGATCTACCACCGTTTCGGAATCAACACTGTCATCCGAGAATGCTCCACCCGAGAATCTTCTTACCGGGATACTCGCGCCGTACGTTTACTTCATATCTCCTTCTGCTCTCTCTCACTTCATATTTGTCATTGGATAAGGATAAGAATAAGGAAACTGACTCTTTACCATTTGGATTCGACGACTGACATGTCCATTGACATACATGCTCTTATGTTATTGATGATGGCGCATATAGAAAATTCCAAGGTCGAAGGGCGAAGATTTATCACTGCTATTGGATTCGAATTGGGTCTCATCCCAGCTTCCAGAGCTGTCTTCACGGGTCGAAGTAGCACAGTTGGAGCTAGAATAAAGAAAACAAACATCACGCATTTGGAACAGACACAATTCGTTCAGAAATGCATTGTTCTGCCATATGTACATACCTCTTTATTATTGTAATTTGCAAGTAAAAAACAGAACAAAAAAAAAACAGCAACTTTTTTTTTTTTTTTTGCAAAGTTGAGATTGACGCTGTTCATTTGGAAGCAGCAGCCTGGACTTTCTTATAAAAGGCCTCTGCAAAGTCCGCAACGGTCTGCCCGTTAGAGAGATCGGTCACGTCAGCGGGATAGCGATTAAAGGCAAAGGGCTGGCGCATATGTTGGCTTGCTTGTTCCGAAGGAAGTAATCTCAAAGACATCCGTTCCTGGGCCAAAAGAAGTTCTTCCCATTCAAAGAGCAGAGGGTCCGTCTTTTGAGCAAAGGGGTTGAAGTCGATCACGTAGATGCGTTCACGGTTCCGGGTGATGTATACGTCGAACGTGTCTTTGTTTGCAGAGCAAATTGCAGGATAGAAAGACGACGTTTTAGGTTAATGGCCGCCATATAGAGAAATGAAAGGAAACAATGGCAGAAAGACTTACAGTCGGGATCTGGAAAATTGCTGCTGATTTTCTGTTCGAAAAAGTTGATAATCTTTTGCTCAATTTCATCCTGGATGCCCTTCAAGAACTCGTAGTATGTCATATCTCTCTGCGAAATACCTAATTACATACAATCGTAAAGAGCAAAAGACCATGGATATCAGGCCTCCTCTTTTCTCACCGTACAAGTTTGCTCCGCAATATATATATATAAAGGCTTCGAAGTACCCACGCACTTACCAATCAACTTATTATCCCTGACAAAGCACCGAAACTCCATCGAGGGTGCCAAATCAAACCACTTTCTCAGCACCAACTCCACCGTCTCCGGCCTCTTCCTCACCCCTCCCCCACCGCCGACATTTTCTCCATCCTTGGTAAGGGCCTTATCCGAACAATCCTCGTACGCATGCGCAAGATCATGCGCAACAAAGTCGGACGATTTGAGGAGAAGAAAGATATCCTGGGGTGTGTGGCATTTGAGCGTATTGGTCGTCGCGATCCAGGAGGCATCTCTGGGAGAGGACCAATTGAGTTTCGGAAAGACCTCACCGCCGAGATCAGAGATGGAGTTACAGATCTGCCGTTCCAAGCCGGGAAAGTGAGGCATTTGTGCCTGTCATGGATAGTGATAATGGTAATAAAAATAAAAAACAAGAGAATAGGAGGTGAGAAAAAAGGAGGATGGAGGATGGATAAGAAGAGGAGGGATGAAATGTGTCGAGACGGCAGATGATATGTTATTCTCTGTAGCCATCCATAGTGCTGCACAGTGTCTATCTATAGTGCTGCATAGTGTCAATCCATGAGAGTTGAGAAACGGGCAAAGGAACTGTATATATTACCTCTTCACCCGCACCGTCGTCCCCATCATCATCATCGTTGCTGTCGCTATCATGTTCCTGCGCCTGGCGGAACGTTTCCTCCTGAAGCTTCTTGAACCGATCCATATCACTGATCCCGTTTCCTTCATATTCATCTTCACTTTCACTGTCGCTCAACGCCATCGTAATCCCGCTAAATTTGCAGTACGAAACAAAAAGCAGATCAGATCAGACAAAGAACTCGCAAGAAAAACAAACATAGAAGCATCGAACAGTTTAGCATGAAAACATAAAACCCTACGTCTGTCCAGGAATAAAGACCCCGTCCGCATTGAGATATTCGATAAAATCCTCTGGCAAGGGTATGATCTTGGATTTGATCGTGATGCCGCGAAACGACGGATACCAGGATGAAAAAGCGCAGTTCTCGAGTCGTTGATGTGTCAACAGTGGGAACACAAGCGGCGTTGTTGTCGTACCAGCAGTATCTCCTTGCGACTGTTGCTCCTGCTGGACGAGTTCATCCTCGGGTCTGTAAATACTCATGGCGGTCGGTGATGGCAACGAAGTGATGCACAAACCCTTCACTCGGTTGTTTGGAGCAAAAAAGATTTTCATGTCACAAGAAATCATTTGCCACCAATTTTCAGCATGTAGCGCAAACAGCTTGGTATGGTATGGTCCCAAAGAGGACATGTTTTATTTTCTTTATACAAAGTCTTCATCCTCCTTTTCATTGCCGACAAAGGGACATGGACTGCGACAGCTGCATGTACTTCTTCATCGACATCTCCATCGTAAATGGTAGATTGTAGCCCTTGAGCACATATGACCATCAAATATAGAAGATAAAAAATATAAAGGAAAAAGAAAAAGAAAAAGAAAACCAATTGATGGATGAGAGCGACAGACAGAGAGGATTGGATATGTTACAAGTTATCATGTTACAAAGGGGTAAAGAAAAGAGACAGAGTGATAAAGTAAAGAAAGGCAACAAATAACTTGTGAGCTAGGATAGGGGGTTGATATAAACGGGCGAAGCATTAAAGCATGAAAACACGAGAAAAAAAGGGATATGGATACAGTTTTGTTGAAAGGCTAGAACGACACTGGCGCATTGTCCGACGATCCTTCTTTTTTGCCGTGGTTAATGTTGCTGTTTACGGCTGGACCACTGTTGCTGTAATCGTCGCGTCCCTGACCGCCGTAATAGTCGCCCGGTCGTCGACCATACCCTCCTCCTCCAAGACCTCCTGATCCTCCAGGTCCATTCGGTCCTCGACTCGGCCCATAGAACCCACCATTGTTGCCAGATGATCCAAGACCACTACTACCTCCAGGCGCGCCAGGCCCAAAATAGTCCCCGCGTCGGTCGAATCGATCACGACGCTCACGTTCTCGGTCTCTTTCAAGGTCCCGCTCGCGATCTCGGTCCCTGTCGCGATCTCTGTCTCGTGGGGGAGGAGGAGGGAGACCGCCACGTGGGCCACGGTAGCCTCCGTAGCCTGGAGATTCCACGCCACCGTTCCCTCCATAGCTCCACTCGTCTCCATTCATGGATCGATGTCGTGCACGCTCTTCTGCTTTGTAGTATTCGCGCGGGCCCGAGGGTGGCGATGGTCCTGTTGGAGAAGAAAGATGTCCAGGACGCTTAAATGATGACGAGTCCTCGTTATATCCGTAGTGACTGTTTGTACTGGAGTATCCACCATCGAATGGCGAAGACGGCATGCCCCCCGAAGTCAAAGAATGTTGCTTCTCTCTTGTAGGCGAGTTTAGTGATCCTGTAGGTGGCCGTTCAAGTCTGTCCGAGGGAGACCCAAAATATCGGGGAGACGATAGACGTGTGTCCCCCGACCTCGAGTCCAAACCTCGATGATCAGCACGGTAATTTCCACCCGTCGTCATGGACGCGGGCGCCGATGGGGGCGAGTGACCCCGTTGACTTCTGGGAGTTCTCCATCCTGCGGACCCTTGGCTCGTTGGCGGCGATGTTCCAAGCTTGGCTGCTGGACTCTTAAGATCAGAATTGACGGCCTGGGTCTCTTTCGGGCTCGTATTATTGAACTGAGGCCGCTGAGTAACAGGCGTTTTTCCCGGAGATTTCATCGCTGCAGAAGATCCTCCAATGGTTTGAAGCTGTGCATCGGATGGCGATGAGTTACGTGGTGGTGAGGAAGTCAAGTTCAACTTTGAGAATGGTGTTGGTCCCGCGGAAAGAGAAATAGGACTGAAGGGCTGAACTGGAAAGTAGTCGGCCGAGGACTGCGAGGCATCTTGGGCACGGGACGACAGCCCAATCAATGGTGTTGGCAAACTGGTGCCGACCTGGAAATAATCCCCTCTTGAAGTTGATTCCTGCTCCACAATCGCCTTTGACTGAGCCTGCGGCTCTTCGCTCATTTCCACATCCGCATTAACGTCCACAGATTCGGTTTGCAAATTACTCGACGTCTTCTTCGCAGCACTGCCGACGACATCCTCGCCTGTGCCGGTGTTCCTGTCCTCGCTCTTCGATGTCTTTGGCGCTTCGAAACTAGGTGTGCCTGCAACACGCTGTGAAGCCTCCTGGCGTTTTTTCTGGTACTCTTGAAGGGACAACTTGACCTTGGGAATGGTCAACGCGGCCCCCATCGTCGTCTCGGATGGTTCGCCGACACGCATGGCAGCCACGTCCAAGGTTTGGGACACTGATATCGGAGTGTCTTGGATCAGACATGGCTCACTCATCTCGACATCTACAATGTCTGCTGTCTTAGATGCAGAAGAGATATCCATTGCTGTTGCGGCAGGTGCTACTTCACTTAGATCCTCAGACGGGGCAGGGGAGTTAGAGGCTAGTCGCTTTGCATGATAGGTCTCCAGGCTGAGCTTTTGAGGCGTCCGCGGTCTGTCCACAGGCTTGGGTCCAGCTACGGCCACAGGTGTTTCCTGAGCAACTGCAACTGATGTGATGATAATTGGCTGCTGAATGGGCGTCGGTCGAGATACAGATTTGGTCTCAGCTCTTGGTTCGTGGAAATTCTCCTGTTGGTGGTTAGTTGCTGTCGAACTCGTCTCCGGCTTGACATCATCGCGAAAAAGATTGAGAACATCTCCCTCGATCATGGAGGGCTGCTTGTATTCCAAGGGCGGGCTGGTTTTGGAAGAGATCGTGCAGGCAGACTGCTCCTTAGATCCACTGCCGGATTCTGTTCCAGGCAAAGGCACCGTAGACGTGAAAGTATCGATCGCATCCATGGGTTGGTTCAAATCGATAGTAGGCTCATCCTCCTCCAGCTTAAGATCAAAAACTTCCTCAGCCTTCTTTCTCATCTCCTCAGCCTTTTCGCGTGCTTCCTCCTCTGCCAGCGCCCTCTGCTTCAAGTATATCATTTTCCAGATCTTTTTACAGGGAAGCACAGAGGGCTTCAACGAAGATGTTGGGAGAGTTTCCTTTGGAAGATTCTTTTCGCGCAATATCCGCCGACCATTCTTGTGGTTCGTCTCCTCCTCCTCATCGCTGGTGTTCCCGACAATGCTCACGAAACCGCCCTCCACGGAGCTCGCGCCTGATAGGTTCTGCACTTCTTCGAGAGTGTCTAATGGTTGTGTAGTCGAGTGTCCTTCCGAAACAGGGTCTGCATTGCTGTGCTCAGCCATGCGCTTGCCGCGCGATGCTGCTGCATAGGGCTGCTTTTTCCCGGGCTGAATATGTACTTTCTTCGAGAGCTTGCTGGAGGAGTCTTTCATGTCAGAATCTGATGCTGCCGAAGACTGGGAAAATGTATCAGCTTCCATCTGCTCGCGGTCTCGTTTGCCTAATTGAAAGAGATTAAGAAAGCAACGAAATTTGGTTAGCAGGCTGTTGCAAAGTCGCTCGTACATATTTTGACATTCATCGAGTCTTCCTTACCTTGCGACTGAATCGTTTGAACCCTCTTGTTGTTAATGGGTGCTGTTCGATCCAGGGAGAAGGGGTCCTTGCGCAAGGCCGCATTGTTCGAGTCGGAATCGATGCCACTGTCGCCGATCGAGATATCGTCGTCCTCTATGTTGCTGGTCTTTTTCCGAGGCGACTCTGCTCTTTGGCCAGCGTCTGCTGGCCGACTTTTGTCGCGTGGACGAGTCTTGGGTGAGGTGATCCCTGCTCGTTTCTGCTGCGAGGCGGTCGAGTCCTTTGCGCTAGGTTCCGTAGACTTTTGCTTTGCGTTGCCTGTTGACGATGCGTCTCGGTCCTCCATCTTCTTGATTAGCATCAGTGCCTGCTTCATTTCTCGCGGTGACATTTCCTGACTGGCAGTGGTAGAGCGTTTGGACGGCGAAACCTGTCTCTCTGTATTGGTCAGCTTCCGCCGCCGATGATCGTCTGATTCTGAATCCGAGTCCATGTCCTGCTCGACTCGAATAGGTCGCTGCTGCGGATGGCCTTCATGCTTCGACTTCTTAGATGAATTTTCAAGCTTGAATGCTTTGGGCGACTTGCGTCGCGGACTGTTCTCAGCGACAGAGAGCTCCTCGTCGCTCGTGTCCTGATCCGCAGATCGCTTCCCTTCAGACCGTTCCCGCTGGCTCCCATATCGTTGCCGCAAGCTGTCAGCGGTTGCCTTTTTGGGTCGACTCCCTTTTGTCATAGCAGTCGAGTCATGATCGCGCGTACCCGATTCTGACACGCCATCCTTGAGCATTTGATGAAGGACGCATGTTTCTTTGTTTTCACAAGCACAATCCGTTTGAGCAAGCAGCGTTGATGCAACTAAATGCTTTGCCTTGCGGACCTCCTTCAAACTCCTCCTTGCGGCGCTATCTTTGGGCTTTTCTGTCGAGATCTTGATGGACTGGAGTGCGAGATGATCCTTGTTCCAGTTCCAATCAAGCATAATTTCCTGACCCTTGCCGATTGGGACTTTGGCAAACAGCCCCAGATGGACCGTCTGGTCCTGGACGCCCGGGACAACGATGCTCTTTACTTCTGTATTTGGGAAACACGACCTCCGGACGAAACGAGCATCGTTACCACTCCTTCTTGCGTCAACGACCAAGTTCAAGTGTGGGTGGAAGAGAACGAAGGGCTTAGGGGTCGCCAAGATGGAATACTGATTAATCGGGTCCGCCTTGTAAGCCGACTTGAGGGAAACCTCGCCCTTGAACTCCATCATGAATCGTCCTGCGCCAATGTTGCTCTCTGCAAAGAGTCCATACTGCGGCGCCGGCGAGTGGGATGACTTTGAAGGCAAGATGTGCTTGACGACCGTCTTCATGAGTGGTCTTGCCAACGACTCTCGTTCCATTGATACCACATTGGACGGGTCGGTAGGTGGGGCTGAAGATGTTGAACATGGTTGTGAACCGAATGTGTTCGTACTAGACATCTCTGGACTTTCCGGTATTGATGGTGTTGAAGAGCCAGCGGCAGCGGCAGCGGCAGCATTGGAGGCGACGAGCTCTTGCAGCTTGACTCCCGAGGTCAGTGAGAGGGACCGCTTTCTTGATTGTGCTTGACGAAATTGTGCAATCACCTGCCGAAAGAGATCCTGTGCAGCCTTTGACGTGACTATATTAGTCTCAATAGGCGAGAACTCGAATTGGTATGCATCCAGAGCATCTTCTTGGCCGTCGCTTTCCATGTCGAAGTCGTCGTCTTCGTTTGTGACTGAGGACATCCTGGAACCATTCGCTTGCCCGGTTGACTTGTGTTTGCTGGAAGACTGGTGATGTGAAGAGGATGTTGAGGTGCTGGTGTTTTGCGATTGTGGGTACTGCGGCGCCTGCTTGTTGCCACTGGAGCTTTTGCTCTTTTTGCCATTGACGTCTACTACGCTAGACGAGTTCTTGCCTTGGTAACCGTTGGTCCCGCTGTTACCAGTCGTGCCTTGAAGTGCGCCGATTTCCTTTGTGGTCGAGGACGAAGGGCCGGAGATGACACTTTGCTCAGCGATGCCGCTGCCTGCTGAGCCAAACTGCTTCCGGGGTCTCCCTACGTTTGGTTTTCTCCGTGAGGGGGACTTTTCTCGCTTACGCTCGGGAGTACCGATCCGCCTCCGCTGAATCTCATTAGCTCTCTTCCGATCTACAGGACGAGGACTGCAGAGTTCGCAGAGATACTTGTCTGGCACGTTGGACTGGAAGATTCCAACACAGACAGCATGTTGCCAGACAAAACAGCGCTCGCACTGGATGGTGAATCCGTCGTCATCGGTATAGTTACAGATGCAACGGATAATACCTGCATCTTCATCGTCTTCCTCGTTTTCGCCTGATTCTTCATCCTCGTCCGCGATGTTGAGATTGCTGTGGCTGTTGCTGTGATTACTATTTGTACTGCTGCTGGCGTTGCTGTTCGCAAGGCGATTGATGGCCTTGTTGGCAAGGTTTGTGATGGATGGCGAGGGTGCCGTTGAGCTCAATTTGGCGGACATTATGTTGTTGCTTGTGGTTTGGGTGGAGTTCCTTGCTGGGGAGACTGTGAGAAGTGGCTGTTTGAGTGGATGGTGCGATGGTGGGGCGATCGAGGTCCTCCTGAGATGGAGATCGTGGAAGTTGGACTGGAGGACTCCTTCTTTAATGTGCCTTTGATCGCGCGGGTTTCATGGTACAGTCAAGTAGAGATCTGAGTTGAGATTGAACAAAATAAAATGTGGGCGTTAATAAGTTCTATTTGATCGCACTTTCAGGTAAGCAAGAGGCGAGGCTCCAGCAGGGTCGAGAGAAAGACAGTGGGGGCTGAATCCATCCAAGCAAGACACACAGGATAGTATGACGCACCTTTATGTTGCTGTAATGTTAGCTTTGGGCTTGAGAAGGGGGAGGGAGGAGATTGATGAGGAGTGAAGTCGAGGGCGATGAAGGGGTATGTGTATGAGAACGAAACTAGGAGGGGCAGAAGAAAAGAAAGAGAGAGAGAAAATAAGCGAAAAAGGGAAAAAGGGAAAACGTCAGCAGTCTGTCAGCGCAATGGTAAAGGAGAGGCTGAAGGAAGGGAGGGAAGAGGGAGGGAATGTAAGTGAGGAAGTGACTGAGAAAAAGAAAAAGAGAGAGAGGGAGAGAGTGAGAGTGAGTGAGAGCGAGAAAGAGAAAGAGAAAGAGGGAAGGGAATGGGGGAGGAGAGAAGAGCCTTTGATGAGCAGATGAGAATCCCCTGTTGCTGTGACAAAAAGCGATTCAAACAATAGATTGCAGTAATGCATATAACGCAACATAATAGAAAGGACACAAGAACAGAAGACAGCCAGTGTCCCCTCCCTTCTTCCCTCCTTCCCTCCTTTCCTTTCAGATACGAATTCGAAATACGAAATGCGAGTGAGAGTGGGAGTGAGAGTGAGAGTAAGAGTGAGAGCACCAAATATGAGAGCATTTTGCTGATGCTGAACATCAGCATCACTGTGGCTGAGAGGAGAAGAGATGGCGCAAAGGAAGGAATCGATGGATGCAACTGCATTCAAAAGACAGAAGAAGAAGAGGAGTAAGGAGTGAAGCAAGCAAGCAAGCGAAGCAAAGCATGTTTGTCTGTGTTAAAAAGATGAGCAACCAACAATACCAACAACACCAACAACAACAAAGAGGTCATGCGACTGATCCCATGGCAGCAGTGGTTGCAGACTAACGCAGCACCAGTGATTGGTTTTTATTGGAAAAAAGAAAGAAAAAAAAAATAAGCGAGATCTGTAGGTAATACTCACAAAAGCGAAGAAGACGAATAGTTTAAACAACGACCGGCAGAAGGATGGAGTGAAGGAAAAGAATGAATGAAGGATGGATGGATGGATGGATGGATGGATGGATGGATGGATGGATGGATGGATGGATGGACGGATGGATGGATGAAGGGAAATGGAAGGAAAATAAGGAATTGGGAGGGGAGGAGGAGCGAGTGCTGGGTTGAGTGACTAAAAAGGGAGGGAAAGAAAGGATGTGGAGGAAGAGACCGCCTTTTTTTGCTGTGGGCTGTGGCCAGAGAGAGAGAGAGAGAGAGAGAGAGAGAGAGAAGAGAGGGGAACGGGCCCCACATGCAGCATGCAGCAGCGAGGACGAAAGAGAGAGAAGGGCGGCAAAGTGAAAATGCGGAAATGTGGGACAACGAGAGAGAAGGGGGGAGAAAGAGCTGAGAAATGCGTTCAAAGTTACGGCCAGGCATGTGACTGCGACGGCGATTTATTTTATTTATTTTTTTTCTTTTTCCCTCGCTCTCTTGGTCTACGGTGCACACTCCGCATGAAAGGGAAAAGGGAAAAGGGAAAAGGGAAGAGGAAAGGGAAAGAGTTTCCTGTTTGTGTTCGACTTTCTTTCTTTTTGACTCACACCTCCTATCCTCTTTATTTCCCTTCCCTTCCCTTTTCTTCTCTTCCCTTCCCCCACTCCTTTTTGCCCTCCTCTTCCTTACTTCCTGCCACTTACATTCACTTGAGCACTCTGCTTCTTGCATCCTCTTCATCTCCCTTCCTTCTTTTTACACCAGACAAGTGGCAGCCTACAGGTGATAGGGACAGAGACACTTCACTTCACTTCACTTCACTTCCCGGGAATATATCTTCAACCATGGCTCCAACCATCATCGAATCCAGAAAACCACAGTATCTGACTGCAGAGTGCATCAGCTGCAACACCCCCGTCGAGTTCCTGATGCCACAGACCACAGGAGAGACCATTTACATCGAGTGCTATGCCTGCAAACAGGTCCTCAGTATCGATATCCAATACCCTCAAAAGGGTGCCGCCGCCTCTGCTTCCACCGGAACAAAAAGTGCACCCAACAGCAGCAGCTCCTCCGCCAACAACAAGACAACTTCTAAGCCAAAGAAGACAGGCGCAGGCACAGGTAAGATATTGACTGGAATCCATTGCGAAGACATCCTCCATTGTACAGAAACGACCAAGCAGTATATATGCCATAACTAACAACAAAAACAAAAAACACTTTTTACTACAGATGCTAGTCCCCTCGAAACCGAGCTCTACGATATCCTGGGCGTGCCTGTGGATGCTACTCCTGCTCAGATCAAGAAGAACTACAGGGCCCTGGCCTTGCAAAACCACCCCGACAAGAATCCAGACCCCGACTCACATGAAAAGGTGAATAACATGCGATTACGACACATGTCATTACGGTAACCTTTCTCTTCATCCCCTTCAGCCAACCCGCCAACCAAGAGACGACTGTAACTGGGATGGACCATTGGAACATGGCAATGTCATCAAGTCAAGACTATGGACTCGCGGATAGCAGCATCGGCATTCAATGGATATTAAAGAAGATGCCTTATTCGATCATCGAGCATGTCCTCTAATATCTTGTTCCTTTTCTCACTTTTCTGATAATAGTTCCAAAAGATCTCGGAGGCGTATCAGGTTCTGTCCGACCCAAAGCTGCGATCCGATTACAACATGTATGGTCATAATAAGGAAGTCTCTCCAGAAGGTGGTTTCGGTAAGCAGTTGCGGTGGCGAAATGACGCCAAGACAAAAAAAAAAAAAAAAAAAAAAAAAGAATAGTAATAATTGAACAGTGTTATCCCTCCAGTGTCGCAAGACCGTTAATATTAACCCGTGGGCTCTATTGTTATTCTCTTAGTGAATCCGGAGGCATTCTTCAAGCAGCAATTTGGAGGAGATCGCTTTGTCGACATTATCGGAGAAATCTCGATCGGACGCGATATGCGCGACGCCCTGAATGAGCCTGAGGATGAGGAAGCAGCAGATTTGACGCCGGAGGAGAAGGCAAAGCGAGAGGCGACCGTCACCGAGTCGAAGGACAAGGCCAGGGATGAGGCGCGTCAGGCAAGAGTTGACAAGCTGGTCAAGAATTTGGTTCACAAGCTTAGCATCTATACAGACGGACCCTGCGACTACCAGGCCGCCAAGGCGTACCAAGAGATGATTCGTTTGGAAGCTGAGGAGCTGAAGGCTGAGAGCTATGGTGTCGAACTGCTGCATGCAATCGGTTTCACCTACACACTGAAGGCCAAGCAGTACCTTGGTAAGAACGAGATGCTAGGCTTGGGCAGCTGGTTCCACGGCGTCCGCGAGAAGGGCCATATTTTGTCTGAAACTGTGTCGACTCTTCGTGCAGCGATGGACCTGCAGCAGAGCTTTAGTCAGCTGCAAGAGGCCGAGAAGGAAGAGATGGATGAGGCAGCCAAGAAGGCCCTTGAGGAGGCTGCTGCGTCAAAAGGTCTCCGTGCTCTTTGGAAGGGATCCAAGCTTGAGGTTGAAGGTAAGAAGACCGCAATGATATCTTTGCAGGATGCCTAAAGGGAACAAAGGACAGTTGGGCTGATGTTAATTGTTTTTTATAATTAGGTGTTCTGCGTGATGTCTGTGACAAGGTTCTGGGCGATCCTTCAGTACCCAAGCCAATACTACTGAAGCGCGCCAGTGCTCTCAAGATCATCGGAGCTGTATTTGAGGGCGTCAAGCCTGACAAGCCTACAACGCCTTAAAAGCAAGGATACAGCGATGCAAAAAAAAAAAAAAGAGACGGACATGGGGCCCCATAGATATCCCTCCGCGGAGCATAATGAAGCAAAGGCATTTGATAAGCGGAGCTCTACAAAAAAATAAAAAAATAAAAAAATAAAGCAACAGCTGTTGGTTCACAATCGTTGCCTTTTCTTTCAGTTCTGTTGCAAGGGTCTTGAAGTCGCTAGGTACATGTTCTGCGCTGCAAATGCTGTGCAAGAATGTGCTGGACATCCATCACACACATCGTATCATATAACTTTGTCGGTGTTCAATTCAGCGGCGAATTGAACGAACGAATTAAACGCAATCGACCTGCCCTTCTTTTTTATCGTCAAAAGCTGGTGAAGGCGGTTTCGATATTGCTCGTTTCCTTCAATTGTTTTTTGCACATTTTTGCTTCTTGAAGCGCAGCATTTTCCTTTGAACCTTGGCTGTGTCCAAAAGATCTTCGAGGCATGAGCTGTCCCATGCCATGTGGCATCTGTGCGGCTCACAATTTTATTATTTGGCTGCATGGTGTATGTTGTTGTTGTTATATTCGAGGAAGTGGTTCCCTTTGCCAATGCTCGTAAGAAAGAGGGAGAGGAACGACGATTGTGTTGTTGCTTCCACGTCACTTTTGTCCTATTTCTCGTCAAAAGCGAATCGCTGTTTGCCATCATCCCGTTCAAGTGCCCTGAATCTCTCCTCCATTCAGCTGGGTCCTTGTTCCTGTCCTCCCTTGTCCTCCCTTCCCAAAAGAGGAATCGGGTCACACCCTCACACCCTCTCCATTCAACACTCCTCATCCCACACCTCTAATCTCTGCACTTCCCCACACTCTGAAAACCGCAACCACTTTCCCCTTTCTTTCCTTCGCTATTACCCCTCTCTCTCTCTCTCTCTCTCTCTCTCTCTCTCTCTCTCTCGCTCTCTCTCTCTCTCTCTTCCTCTTTCTCGCTCTCTTTCTCTCACATTTCCGATATGAATGCACTCATCGCCCTTGCAGTCTGGTGCCAACCCCACGGTCCAGTCACGATCCTCACCACACAGCATCGACGACCAACTTCATCCTCTCTCTGCAACGGCAAACGCCCCGTCAAAGATAGCTCCACACAACCCAGCACCAGCACCAGCAACAGTAGTAGCAACGGCCATTTAGATGCCGGCAACGATACCCCACACAAATCACCATCCGTTCCACAGCAGAATGAAGCCCATTCAAAAGACTCTGTATCAGCAGCACAACCTCCCAAAGATATCTCAAGTTCCAACTCCTCGCTCGACACCCAGGCACGTCCGACCTCTGCTTCCCCCCCAACCTCAACAACCGATACAACAGCCACGACAGCAACCTCCGTCTCCTCGAACTCACACACTCTGGAACCCAAGAAATCGAGGCGATCTCTACATCAGCAATCACCTAGTACTAATTCGGGCCCCAGTCCTGTCGGTGGACGCCCTTCGTCAGCACACCCAGCCTTATCGCCCCCAAGCAACGCCAGCAGCAATTCGTGTGAATGTCAATTCAGTGTGCCTAGTGGGGAAAAGTCGCTCCACTCGGTCGATCCTTTCAACAAGGAGTTGTCGTATATCAGTCAGCCTGCTCCCGTGGATGCGAGTTTGTTTGCACCTATCCGTATTGCCTGCATTCGATCGTATGTTTTCTCTCTCTGCAGCCTTGCTACCTTGCAGGTTGTTTGTTGTGTGCTTTGCATTGCATTTGCATTTGCGTACTTGCGCGTTTTGGACAAAAATAAAAAAAAAGCAGGGCATTGTTCATTGTTCTGCTTTTTTTTTTTTTTTTTTTTTTTTTTTGGGCTTGTACGCATACGTTTGTTTCGTTCGTTCCACAGGAAACAGAGCCAGAATAGGGATGCACAAACCGCATAACGCAGAACACAATACACCTAGGCACAATACACTAACATGGCTGCTTTCGATCTTCATGATCATTTACTATTATTTTTTTTCTCTTATTTCCTTGCAGACTCAACTCGGAGACGTACTGCGGACGAGAGGGCTCAGTGTTCTTTGGCGACGGCATGAACGGTTACGTGCTCTCGTACATGTTTACGGTGTATGATGCACAATCTCGAGGGCACCGGGTCAAGTACACGATCATGACTATGATGACCGACCGTGTCTATCTCGTCGCCAGTATGGAGTATCTAATCAGGTCAGTCAATCGTATTCTGTGTCCATGTCTTTTCTTTTTTTCTTCTTTTCTTTCTGGTGCTCGTTGTTGGTGTCTGAAAGCAGCACAGCCTACAAATGCAATTGCTAATAAATAAATGTATATATTTTTTTTCCTTCTCCAGCCAGTTTCAAGTGATCGCGTCCAACCTACAGTCGATGGCGAACGCCCTATGCTCTCAACAACCCTCGCCTGCGACGAGATCTTTCTCCTTTTCCTCATCCCATCATCGAGGATCCATCATGCCCGAGAGTAACGTTTCATGATTTTATACTGCGCTTTGAATATGAGTGGAAGGGGAGGGAGGAGCTTCGAAATATCGGGAGATTAAGAAAAGTCTGTGTTTTTTTTTTGTCTCCGCCGACCAAAAAAAAAAAAAAAAAAAAAAAAAAAAAAAATGTTTCAATTTAATTAGATGCGCCGACAAAGCGAGGACGACCCCTGACGGACGTATTGGCAAAGCCCGATATCTTTGTGCAATTACACGCGGCGTTTGTGTCGGTGCTGAGTAATTGTAGTCGACGGCTGACGGAGCGGCATGTACAGGGACGACCGAATGTAATGAGCCCCTTATAGAGTGCTTTATCATGTTTGCCTTCTGCGGATGTTACTGTATACATCGATGAAGAGGGTTAACCCTTTTTTTTTAATGTATGAATAGAGTGAGTGCTTGCTACATGAACGGAGTCAGGAACAGCAGCAGCAGGAAAGTCAAGGATCATCAACAGAGACCGGAGATCAAGTATCGTTGATCAATTCATTACGGGATCTAAGGCGCGCGCTGGGACAACAGCCGTTCAATCGACTCGTGTGGAACGGCGTTGTTGGAAACCAGGTCATTGTGCGCGGCGAAGATACCAAGATCGTGCATGAGATCATTCGATCCTTAGAGGTAAATGACAAGGACACATTACAGGATAATATCCAATGCTCTTCTTTAGTTGCATCTGTATGAGAGCCAGGTATACTAATTCCTGAATATTATTTTCTTTCGATTTTTTTTCTCGCAAATGCTAGGATGTATTACCGAAGGATTGCTGCACGATTATCACGGACGGATCAAGCTACGAACCCAGTTATGCATGCAACATCCTCGGCCTCGATCGATCGATCCCCATACCCCCGGACTTGGATCCACAGGACTTTATTTTACTGGATATCTGTCCCATCGATCCTGACAACCAGATTCCAACGCCCCCTATCTCTCTCCCAACTGAGAATAAGCTCAAGATCGGAACCACAACAACGACAACGTCTCCAGGATATCAGGCGGACTGGTCCAGTGCTACGCTTGTTGCAGACATGGAGGCGCTTTCAACACAAATGGAGAACACTACGGCCGCGGATGGGAAACTATTGGACGGCCAGGCAGATGGAACGAGGTTACCGACATCGCTGCCGACTGAGGATTCTTCTTTGCACAATAACAGCGATGATATGCGACAGAGATATCTGTTGCAGGCCGGCGAGGAACCGCCCGAGGCGCTAGAGCCGCCAGGGTTCGGGGATATGAATGGGCTGGATGCTTTGGGGAAGCGGATGCACCAACAATCGCCGCCTTCGCCGCTTCTGCAACACCAGCACCAGCAGCAGCAGCAGCAGCAGGGTGTGTGTGCACTATATATTGAGACGGTGAATGAGATTTTAGACTTGAAGATGCCAAGAGCGATCGAGTCGAAGCGGCTAGCGCTACTGAGAGAGGAATGGATTAGGTATGAAGAGATAAGAAGACTGTCCGTCGGGGAGGGATTTGTTCGTTATACGAAGACTTGTTCACTAACAGAGTGCCTGTTTGCTTGTTTTTATCGCAAATAGTAAATCGATCCAGTTTCATAACCTGTACAAGGCTGGCAAGGCGTCGAATGAGGCTGTGGTGGAACGGTTTTTGAGGTCCTTGAGGGTTGATCGGCGGGATCTGAAGATCTTGAGGTTCTTTACACGGTGTGCGAAATCGAGTACTTTCCAGGCGCAGAAATATCGAAGCGAGGATCCTATCGCTGTCGCTGTTAATCAGCAACAACAACAGCAACAGCAACAAGAGCAACAGCAGCAATAGGAGTAGTGGAGAAGAATAAAGATAAAAAAAAAAAAAATAGAGTTGCCATGGGCAATGCAGCATATTTCTTATACACTTTTGTGAATTGTGATGCGGAGTTGATCTTCTTGTTTTTCAAGAACGGCACAACACAGCACAGCACAGCACAGCACATTCTCCCGCCCTCCCCTCTCCTTTTCAAAACTTTGGTGGTAACAGTCCAGGCACACAGCAGCATATCCGCACAAACACGTGTGTACGTGTGCTTTTTCTACACCCACAGCCAGCCAATGAAAAGGCGACGACCTGTGCGTGCCTACATTGTGTGCAAAGTCAAGGGCGGGGCAACCTGAAAAGGAGACAACTGGTCTTGTACTGAAAATGCGTTTCCATCCGCTATGTCGGATCAAGGGCTCGCACTTTTTATATTTTTTAAATTCACTCCCTCCTTAGCGTCCTGCACGTGCTCGCAAAAAAGCTTGTTCGTCTCAGGTTCTCAGGCGCGGTGGCACCCTTTTTCATATCTGTTCTGTCCACATGTGGCAGTGCACATTCGCCCTCTGCGGAAGAGTAGAAAATAAACACGCCCCGGGGGACGGGCACAGGAGCACACATAAGCTCAGCCCATGCTCAGGCTGATTCCCATTTGCAAAAGCAGTAGCTTGCTCATTCCTCATTCCTCTCGTCTGCTTCTCCCTCATCCTCACTACATCCCACACTTTCTTCAAACCCAAAAACCATAATAAGAAAGCGTCCCCCCACCCCCCTCCCAACAACAACAACAATGGGCATCCTCCTCCCTTTCTGCGTAGCTACCGACAACACTCGGCTCTACGCGATCGCGAGGGCCACTCCTTACACCAGCAAAACCGAGTACTTCCTGCTGATCAAATCCAACGATAACCCCTCCTCAGACCTCTCAAACCTCAACTGGACCCTAGTCAGCGCCGTCCCCGTTGCTGGATACACCAACATCAAGGTCTACGACCTCGAATCCCTTTACACCTGCGCCATAAACGACGCCGGTGTTTTTTCGATTATCGCTACTGATCTGATATCGGCCGCCTACCTGGGTCTACAGTACCAACCCCTGGGCACCGGAGGCAGTGGCCCTGCGCCGGTGGTTGGCGGCGGAGTGTGGAAAAACTTTACGTTTGGGGCGACTTACAATTGGCCTACTATATCCGGGACGCCTTTGTTTAACCTGAAGGATATACAGGGCATAAATACTTTGATGCAGGTTTACATTGCACAGAACTTGACGGATTTTTTCGTTGCGGCGTTGGATTCAACGACGATGGTCATGAACCGAGGAGAGGCGCCTTGGGCTATCGTACGGACCCCTCCACCTCTTGCTTTTTTTTTCACTGAATTGTTATCATCTTTATGAAAAGAAAACGGACTGTTGCGTTCTGTGACATTCTCCTAATATCGCATTTCTATTGCCCTTGATTGGTTTACTTAGGGCCCAGACCATACATACTGGGCGAACCATGCGGTCGCACACGTAGGCAGTTCAATGTACACCTTTGGCGAGGGGTGGCCCAATGAGTATATCATCACAATTCCATGGGCATCTCCTACAACGACTGTTCCATCGGGCGGCAGCAAATTCGATAATGCTACGGCAATCACGGCGGTGTGTGGGACATCCCTCGTAGGATTGAGTATGAGGCCCATGGGAGATCGGCTCCTTATCGGTTGCTTGGTATGGGACATAAGACATGCGCCGTCCGTGTATTTAAAAAAAAAAACCCCCCTCGTGGGCGCAGCACTTAAGACGGCTTGCAACTTACGTCTCACTTTTCTTCTTCTTCCTTTCCAGAACCAAAGGCCCGGACACTTCTTTTCCTACGACGGGAACACGATAACGCAATATGCACCCGTACTGAACGTGCCCACGCAGTACCTGTCCATGGTTCACTTTCCGGGAACCCCAAACCCCTTTGTATTCATGCACGATCAATCCAGTCTGTATTCCATACCCCTGAATGGAACCCTGGCTAGCACTGTGATCATCAGTCGACAGAACTTTACGATCGCGGAATGCTATGGAATCAATCCGTCTCCGGCGCCATCGTCTACTGGATCTGTCTCCCAAGTACCTTTCGCGACCGATACTGTTGGATCCAACAGCTCATCTGGTGGAGGTGCTGGGCTGGGTAGTAGCAGCGCAGGGCTCATTGGAGGTGTTTGTGCGGTGGTGGTCCTTGTGATTGTAGGACTTACATTGGTATATTTCAGAAAGAAGCGGCAGTTGCAGGAAGGGCAAAAGAAAGTGGGGGCGAAGATGGAGTATTATCAGAACCCTGAAGAAAAGATGTACCCGCCACAGAGTATGCAGAACATGGCACCCATGACAAATATTACGACGAGAAGGCCTGAGGAGTGGCAAGCGGTTCAGGTACATCACCATCAACAGCAATACCAGCCACAATACCAGCCATTATACCAGCAGCAGCAGCAGCAGCCAATGGAAAGTTACCAGTACAGTCATTTGCAGTCAAACGCGACATATTCCAAAGCAGAACTAGAGGATGATTGAGATACACGAATAGAGGACGAGACTTGCTATCCTCCATGATAATAATAATAAACAGCACTAACGCATTGTTCTAATAATTTGCACCATTCAGGTCATAAATTTTGCTGACCTTCCCATATGTTTTCCCATAATTGAATAAGAGTGATATATTTTAGAATAGATAAAATAGGGAGGTCGGTCATATCCTGACTTTGTTGACCCCAGCTCTGACTTGCACAAATACGACCATTGTTTACTATGCATCAGTCGCACAATGCACACCATGGACCATAACTCTATTTCCACCAAGAGACCAAGAGACAACGGAGAAGGGTCTTCCACAAGTGCCTCTTTCTCCTCTTTCTCCTCTTTCTCTGCCAATGGAGTCGACATTGCACATGCTGGTCAAGGTGATGGTATGCTCTGACATTAGCCAGCTGAAACGCTACTCATCACACCGATCGACAACACCAACTTACTATTCCTTCTTCGTATCCACCGCTCGTATATTCATGTATATAGCTGCTGCCGCTTCGTGCCAGGCTTTCGGAGACTCAGTAGACACGCCAGAATATGCCTATGCATATAGCGATGTACTCGAGGGATCGTCTGGCAATATCTATGTAGAGCGCGACGACCCGACGTTTGCTGAACGCGTTGATCAAGAAGACGACACGGACGACGATACGACAGATGAGGATACAGACTACGGCTTAGACGACGTCGATGGCACCAGTGTTGCAATGAGTGGCGAGGAGGAGTGTCGGGAACAACTGCTGGATAGGCGTAGCAAGAGAAAGGCGGAACAAGCACCAGGGAAGGCGCGACCTGCTCGCAGGAGGGCAACAATGGAATCCAGCGACCAGACTGCACAGCAACTGTCCACATTCACTTCCAAGGCCTCCGTCCAGCAACACCCCTTTTCTGCCCCCAAGGCCTTCAGCACAATCAGCTCCTTCAAGGCCATTATGGTCAAGCAGTACAGGTTGATTTTTTTGCTTCTCACCCTCGAGTTCGCATATTGTCTTCTCGATGGACTTGTTGGGAGGTCCTGCCGTGATCGAGTACTGCTTTTTGTGTTCCCCTCCAATTTGAGCCCGCGTCCTAGCTGCTTTTTGGCTTCTTGGAATGCTTGGTACTCATCCTGCTGTATAGGGGATCTAACAACGAGCTTTGTAACTTCTACTATTAGTTATATTTACAACAGGAGACGCCGCGCGATTAGGACTTCGGCGAGGGCGTGCTTCGGTCATTTACTGGTTCGCGGTGCAGGGTCTTCCTTTAGATCGGAATGAATTGACACAAAGGTAAAATAGACTAGACAGAGATAGAAGGAAATAAATATAGGGAGTTGTTTGGCTAAATGGTTCGAGCTAGGACTATGTTCCATTGAGAATGACTGGGGGTAGTTACAAGGTATTCACATATATGATGTCCGATGAAGTGAGAAGTCGCGACAATGAAGTCCACCCCTCAGGAGTCGTTGTATGGCAATGTTCGCTGATTAGGCCTCCATTGTACCTTTATAATACCGTTTCACGAGGGTAAGCCGATGACGGATGCTCAATAATGAGACGATCGGAGATCGGGGAAACGTTACAATTGATAGTGCAAAGGTGGCGAATGATCAGGCTTGGCATTCTCTGTTGATTGTATCTCGTTGCGTGGGTTGCTGACGACGGCAGTCAGTACCTGTCGATGATGCGGTGTTATCCGGACAATCTGGACGAATGCATACAAGATATATATGTGAAGAAGACTCTGGTTCAGGAACCAGACCGTTTATTCTTTTATTCTGGGAGCGGTGCTCTTCCTCGTAATTTAATAGCAAAAGTTCTCATAGGCTTTAGTCCTTTGAAGGTTGACCGCGCTACTTGACTGATTTCCCTATCCTCCATTGCATCCCTAGCGACCTAACTAGATTTGCGCCTACCTGCGTACGTTGGAAACAGCGATGATGGGGATGCGGGTGGACATCTGTGTCAGGCCGTGGCAAAGCTACTTGTATATCACTGATCGTGCTTCGTGCCAAGCGACTAGCGTCTATCAGTGTGATGGCTCTTTATCAAAGCCTTTTGTTATTGTGGTAATGCCTTTCTTTATTGTGGAAAGTCTTTGTTACGGTGGTAATACCTTTCTTTATTGTGGAAGGTCTTTTTTATTGCGGAAAGTCTTTTTTATTGTGGAAAAGCAGACATTGCTTCTCGCCTATAAGTATTCTGCCACACACTTCACAGCTCTCTTCGTTCATCATCCTTTCTCCTCATCGCCCTTTGCCCGGAGTTCACTATCCATATACACCTTCACGCTAGATACTATACGCCTGTAGAAAAGGTAATGTACCCTCCAAGCCTATCCTTCCATATCTTCAGCGTCCTTACGCGAGGGTTTCACTAACGCTGCTAAGCTTTCAACCCAACATAGTGATCGCAGCATGGGCATAAGAGGCCTTTACAGTACGCTGAAGAAGCGCGGTTTGGATCCAGTTGCCGCGGATCCTCAAGATTACCAGAACCAAGCTGTTGAGGTTGACCTCTTCGGCGCGTTTTATGGATCCCTCGTTCGCCAGATCACGGATGATTACGATCCAAGCAAGGTCCGAGCTGTCGGTCTCACGATGGCAGCGCGTTTGGCGAAGGACTTTACCCCTGCGCAATGTACGATTCACATCGATGGTGCCCCATCCCAACAGAAGCGGAACGAGCACATCAGGCGAAAGAACAGACTGACAGCGGACCTCAAGAAGTTGCAGGCGGACTTGAAAGTCATGAGCACGAAGTCGTCGAACGGCCAATGGACCTCGAAGAGCGTGGTAACGAAGATCAAGAAGGGCCTCCGCGATGTATACAGATTTGATGCAGCAGCCAAGTAGACACCCCGGGATGCCTTACGAGAAAAGGGGTTTTCTGTCTGCACTTGCAGGACCGAGGCCGACACCTGCATTGCACGCACACTGACCATGGCAGCCGGTAGCTTCGTGGTGTCAGCAGATTCCGATCTGTTGATATATCCGTCGGTCACCAAGGTTTTGCGGCCAATCTTCCACGGCCTGGCCTATGCATTGTATACCAAGGAGAGTGTTACCAATGCACTTCACGTTCCCAGCGCAGACTATGTGACGTTGCTGGGCATCGTGTCCAAGAACGACTATACTGAGAACATTCCCGGCCTTGAAATAGTTCGCAACCTGGAGATCATCCGCGCTCTACCCCAGTCGCCCGATATCCGCCATATGCTCGATGCTTACAGATTCATGGCAGCCATCAAAACCCATGAGGTTATCGACCAGAGCCGATTCAAGCCATCGGAAGGCATCTTTTTGGATCTCGAGGAGAAAGTGCTCCAACTGCAGCCAGGAGATGAGGCCGCCGATGAGGACATGCTCGGCTTTGATTTCAACAGTGCAGCACCGCAGTTCCGGCACCTCAAGCTGCAGCGATTTGCCGTCGCTGCATATCAGCATGTGAGTAGAAGGTAATTTAAGTGCGACACCACTTCATTCACGCACGCGTTGTACAGATATCAAGTTCTATAACACCTTTTGCATGGCGATGTATGCGTATATTTACTAGTGCGGTTCCCTTGTACGTTGCGAGGAACTCAAAGCGGAACCAGTTCCGGCCGATCTTTTCAGACAAGAAATCGATCCTACCACGACAATCGATTGACTTCTCGACTGCCGTACCTCACGATCGCCCACAGCCAAAAGCAAAGCCCCCCGTCAAGACTCGGAAGGCGGTCGTGAAGAAGAAGAACAAGAAAAAGAGGAAGAAGGGGGCACTGCCGCGAAAACGGAAAGGGGTGGGCTCTGCCGACCCATCGAACCCACGACCCACTTCTGCAACTGCAGCGGACCGCCGCTTCCGCAAGCTGCATATAACCAAGGCACTCACTATGGGGAGTATCCAGGCCAACATGAAGCGAATGGATCAGGTCTCGGTTGCAGAAAGCAGGTTCCTTTCAGACAGGCTACGTTCGACGGTTGCGATCCTTAACGCAATCCAGATGCATATGTACGAGGCTATTGCACTGGATATCGCGCGGCTTGTTCGTTTCAAGGACACAGCGACAGATGTGACACAGCGGAAGGAGGATATTTCAGACATTCTCGACAGCAAGGCCTTCTACTTTGCACTCAACACACTCTTGTGCAGTGGTCAAGAAGGACGAGGTTCTCAGGCTGTTCGAGTATCGGTTGCCCCTGCGCGCAGGATGAGCACTCGAAATACGCCGTTGGTTCCTGGCGTCCCGCAACCGCAAGCACAGGCACAACCACAACCACAACCACAACCACAACCAACAGCCACCCATGCCCGACGTGTCTTTGATGCGTACACGACGCTCACCGGCTTTGTCCCCTTTCGCCAACGAGAACCAGAGATGTTCCCTTCGACGGTCCCGAGGCTTGCTGTTGCGGCAGTCTACAATGCAGTGCGAGTCCATTACTATGGCGCAAAGGTATATTAAAGAATGTGCAAGATGTATCCGTTGTGTTCCTTGCTTTTCGGAGCACTAGTGTTGACCATTAGCTCTTCAAATTTCTTTAATAGTTTTCCGAGAACGAAGAGCGCCCCGAAGCTGTCAATCCGATTGACTACTTCTTCGAAAAGAATACCGAGAAGCGCATGTTTGCAGACTTTGTCAAGGCAAAGTTTGCAGCTGGCTTCGTGTTCTTGTCAGAGGCGGACCTTGTCCATTTATTCTATACAAGCAATACGACACGGCCGATTATAGTCCGATTGCTGAGCGGTACAGCAGCCCACATTGCGGAAGCCAAGGTTGTCGGCAAGAAAGGGATCCTCATCGAGAAGCTGCTATACAGACTGGACCCGGCGACACGCTTTGACGGGTATTACAAGAAGGTTTCGCTTCAGAGTGACAGACAGCACCACACAAGGTTCAAGCTTCGGGGCATCATCTGCACGAACGGATTGGTGCTGCATCTTCTTGCGCATGACACAACGACAACGCGACGCAGAGCACCCCGCCAAAGCATCAGGGGCGATGACGACGACGAGGATGTGACCCTGTTCCACGATGTTGACGGTGACTATGACCTCGACGACGCGTTCCTTGAAAGTGGAGGGGACGAATCTGGTACAGATCCGGTCGCAGCTACGGCGGAACCCGCCAAGAAGAAACGCATCACGCTCCCGTCTTCGACACCAGAAAGTTCAAAGCAGCAGAGGCTGTCGATACACCAATTGCCACCCACAGACCCTACTGCGACTGCTTCGTCCTCGTCCAGCTCAGAAGCTCTATCTAGTCCAACGTCAGGCGCAGATACGATCGATGTCACACGCAACACCATCAACTGGAAGCGAAGTTCAAAGATCCTAGAAAACGTGGAGGTGCGCTTCAACTCTCCTGGCACTTGTCCACCAGGCGATACTGTGGTCATCGGCATTGACCCGGGTGAGGTTTACACAATGACAGCGACAAGAATTGACCCCGCCTTACCTACGAAAAGAGAGTCTTTACGAATCCGCAGGGCATTCCTCTACAGGCCTTACATGCTCTTCAAGCGTCCCCTAGAAAAGCAGAAGGCCGCGGCACGCATTGATGTTCTTGAGGCAAGACTGCCCTCATTTGCCGCGGAGAAGATCGAAGAATATCTGGAGGAGTCTGGCACGGATGGCACCGCCGCGCCCACCACGAGAGTCCGCCTTTTTAACTTTTACAACAGTCAGTGGATGCTAAGGAAGCGCTGGGATCTTCAAAAGGCTAAACAGGCAATGTATGACTACGCAGTTGCGGCCTTGCTTGACCTTGCCGTTAGCAAGGACTTTGTTGGCCAGCCGCTGAGCTCGCAGGATGGTGTAAAAGTAGTGTTTGCGATAAAATTGGGCTCCTTTAATTCGCAAACTGGCCTGCCAAGCAAGCATAGCGCACTCGAGAAGAAATTTGTCGACAAGGTAAGAAGAAGGAAAAAAAAAAAAAAAGAAAAGGGTGGCATACCATCTCTCATCCGCACTGCAACTTTTTCTCATCTGTTTATTTGTTCCTTGATGCTGCTGATAGGCAAAGGCTATGGGACACACTGTGGTCGGGGTGCACGAGTACTACACCAGTGCTCGGTGCCCTCGTGACCAGTGTATGGCGTTCTTGGAGTCCGACAAGAGGCGGTCAAAGTACTGCCGAAGCTGTCAAATGTACTTTGGTCGCGATATTGTCGGCTCTGAGAACATTGCCACCGTGTGTCTGTCGCAAATCCAGAACCAGTGCCGGCCTGCCAAGTTCATGCCATCAATATAATCATAGGGGGCCGGAACCCTCTTTCAAAATTTGTAAGTTCAACATACAAAAAATAACGTGCATGAACACCCAACCCATTCTGAATTCTAACCAGTCACTTTTTTACTTGATTTGGGTGATTTCTGGTAGACAGATACTGTAGATGAATACCACGGCCATTTGATGTCCATTGTATTCTCTGCACTTGCTCCCCATCCATCCTTGTAGTGGTCGATTATCTCATCTTCCTTGCAGTACGCTATCGGATATTCGGGTACCTCAAACCAACCTGGTCTAGTCCTCACTTGCAGCCCTTCTACAAGTCGTCACTTCATCTCGGACGATGTTTTCGACCAGGTGTGTGCCGCCTGCTGATCCGGTACTGTCCCTCTACTTCCTCCACCACCCAGTGGTGTCTCACCCAATATGTCCTCAAAATAAATAAATATGGATTCCCATCCTAGGTTTGACAAGGTCTTTGATTCCTCACAAGGGTTCGATTGAGGCATGAAAAGGGTTTCCCATATCATTATCCCGGCAAGGGATATGGACAAAGTTTTTATGCCACCAACATGGACGCTGAGGGCAACAGCACTTCCAGTACCACTCACTTTTCAAAGCTTAGTCGTACCTGGGATTGGCTGTTGAGCACCTGCTTTATCTGTCTTCTTCACTCATGACATGTGGCGAATATTTGCCTGGTGCGGTCTTGTGTCTTGAATATGGTCCTCTGGCTCTTTCCCCTTTGGGTGAACAAAGATTGTGCCACTAAATTGGCGAAGTCCAAGGCTCGAATTTCATTGGCTGGTGGTCCTTGAATGGATTTCCGGATTAAAGGGTTCATTCCGGACCAGACCTCTTCGTCAACTCTCTCCCCCCATTCTTTTTTACTCACTTACACCCACGCACAATCACACAATTCGTTTCTCTCTCTCTCTCTCTCTCTCTCTCTCTCTCTCTCTCTCTCTCTCTCTCTCTCTCTCTCTCTCTCTCTCTCTCTCTCTCTCTCTCTCTCTCTCTCTCTCTCTCTCTCTCTCTCTCTCTCTCTCTCTCACACACACACACATACACACACACACTGCACATCATGTCGTTGGCAGCCAAGATTGTCCAAGCAGCAGCTCCACGGATCCCTCGTCCTCGCAAAGCTGTTCTCACTCTTGTACGTTCTCCTCTTGCTTTGCAAGTTATGCCGCACCATTACAGCAGTGCCTGAAAAACTGTCCTGTACGGATTGCTAACGAGCACTCTCTTATCTTTTCCTCTTCCCTTCCAACTTGTCCGTATGACACCGATTCTTTTCTTTCGTTTGATTACACCTCGATTCAACCCGGCATCAAATTGTCACCATGATCTCATCAACTGCGCTGTTTGTATTTTCGCATTTCGGACATTTCGGCTTTGACATATATGTCACCCCATCCCCCAACTAAAAATATTTTTAATACTTTTTTCTCGGACCACGGATACTTTTCGTGGAATCGCCCCCTGGATCAACGCGGGCATTGTCACTCGCCGATATCTTGCTCCGTGCGAACAAAACCAGACGCCCGCTGCGGTCACTCGTCTGCGTACCCTGACAGACGGACCGGAGCCGAAGGTCGTCCGTGTCGGAATCCGCACCAAGGGTTGTTCTGGCCAGCAATACGATCTCCAGTACACCACCAAGAAGGAGAAGTTCGATGAGGAAATCAAGCAGGATGGTATGGATAGCTTGTACTTGAGACACTGACTGGCTGGTACTTTCCTCCTGGTTCTCTAACGCCTTTTTGGTTTTATTGGTTTTTTATTTTCGCCACTTTAGGTGTAACGGTGCTTGTGGACAACAAGGCATTGCTCTCAGTGCTTGGATCAGAGATGGACTATGTCGAGGACAAGCTGTCAGCTCAATTTGTCTTCAACAATCCCAACGTTAAGGAGTCGTGCGGATGCGGCATGAGTTTCATGACGTAGGAAACCTGTACAGCACAGCACAGCACACCCGCCGTTATTCAACTCCAACACCGACCAACAACTTGTAGACATCTCTTGCAGAAGCCGTACCACCACCGCGGTCTTCGGAAATACGCACATTATTTTCATCATCATCATCATCGCCAACATTATTATCAGCATTCTCTTTCTCCACACGGTCATACATAGAAGAGTAGAAGGACAACGGTGTCGTCTCCTATTTTAATCATGTACAATACACTCAGTTATCCAGCTTTATATCTCTCTTGAATATGAGCGTGGATCGCGCTCCTTTTTTTTTTTTGTTGATGCCAATGGTCGCCATGCCCCTTTCGTTTTCCGATATCGATGTTCCTTGACCCCCGTCCTGTTTCTTGATGGTTTCCTCTTGCAGCTATGCCGTAAGTGTAAACACAGTCACCGGTTAACCCAAGTCGGCGCGCTCAGCGCTTGGTATGTGAAACCTGATCAGCTTTCTTTCCTTCGCGACATCGATTCATCCCTCTCGTTTCTTTCATTCCTTCCACACAACTGCAACAAGGCAGCCATTGAAGACAGAAAATACATAGGAGCGCCGAACACGAACTATGCTGCGACACATAAGAGCTGTTCCTCTCAGGTGCAAACCGACCTCAGGGCTTTGCTCAAGGCCAGCAGCGCATGGTCTCCGTCCTGTGGCGCACTGCACTGCGAAGCCAAACTTCTCTCTCGCAACAGAACACCAGCAACCTCTCTCGACCTCAAGTCGACTCTGGAAAGCAGTTGACGCGTCAGCGTCAGCACCAGCGGCCCCACATCCCGTCCCAGCCTTGATTCTCAAACCCTATATCAATTTCAAGGCTCTGACAAACCCCAAAAAAGCGGAAGCCATGGCCGCCAATATCAAGTATCGCAATTTGCCTGACTCGATCTCGGTTGCCGCTGTGAGCGAGCTGTACAGGACAGTGATGGAGAAGACGCAGCAACTGGACAAGGCCCGAGCAGAACGGAATCGGATCGCAGCAGAGATGAAGGCGCTATTTAGTGGCGGGTCGCCCAAAGGTAAAAAGAAGAAGCAAGCAGTAGCAGAGACTTCAGTATCAACATCAGACGACGTGGCGTCTGCAGTATCAACGGAGATATCACATGAGGCAAAAGAGCAGCGACGACAGGAGCTGGTGGAGCGCGGTAGGGTTCTCAAGGAAGACATTCATGCGCAGGAAGCTGACCTCACAGCGCTGGAGACACATTTGTACGATCAAGCGGTCATGATCCCCAACACTACTCACCCAACTACACCTATTGGGCCCGAGTCTGAGGCGCAGCTGGTTCGTGTGCGTGGATTGCCTCGGTTGAACGTTGGCGTCAAGGCCCATGCACATCCGGGATTCGATAACTTGGACTCAGGCAGCGAAGAAGTCATGGCGCTCATGGGCAATGTGTCGGACTTCCCTCTGCTGGACCATGTCACACTTGCTAAGCAATTAGACCTGGTAGATTTCGAGTCGGCGACGGCTGCCACGGGAGCAAGGTGGTACTATCTTAAGAATGAGGCCGCGCTTTTGGAGCTGGCATTGATCCAATTTGCGACCCAGCGCGCAGTCAAGGCTGGATTCATGCCTGTGATCACGCCAGATGTGGTTCGCCCAGAAGTCGTCCAGGCGTGTGGATTCCAGCCCCGAGATGAAGCCTCGCAGACGTATTGGGTGTCAACAGTCGCGCCTGGTTCCAGCAGGGCAGCAACACCAGAGGGAGCACACCATCACCAGCACTCGGCACTGTGCCTTGTTGCGACTGCGGAGATTGCGTTGGCGGGAATGAACCTGAACAAGGTAGTGGAAGAGAGTCAGTTGCCAATTAAAATGGCTGGATTCGGAAGGGCGTTCAGGGCCGAGGCTGGTTCAAGAGGCGCGGAGGTCAAGGGGTTGTATCGCGTCCATCAATTCAGCAAAGTAGAATTGTTTGTGCTATCGAAAGCGGATCGAGGTGAGAGCGATCGAATTCTGGAGGAGATTCGACAGTTCCAGGAGGACATTTTTGAGGAGCTTGGACTCTGCTACAGGTACTGCATCATCTTTTTCCCCATTGCTGTATTGAATCAACTTTCTTCGGGCATGCTAACCCGTATCTTTTTTAATACATGTTATATGATAGGGTCCTGGACATGCCTACTGAAGAGTTAGGCGCGAGCGCATACAAAAAGTACGATATTGAGGCATGGATGCCTGGAAGGAACAGCTGGGGCGAGATCTCATCGACATCGAACTGCACGGATTACCAGTCTCGACGACTCAACATCCGCTACAGGACTACTAAGATCTTGAACCGCCCAGAGGCATCATCGTCATCAATATCTGGAGAAGATGAGACATTGACATCTTCCGCAGGCTCCAATTCCTACATGACGACTGAGTTTGTGCACACGTTGAATGGAACGGCCATGGCAATCCCCAGAATCATTGTCGCGCTGCTAGAGACCTATCAGCAACAGGATGGATCAGTCCGCTTGCCCCAGTGTCTCTGGCCATTCATGGCGGGCATTAAAAAGATTACCCCCAAGGACGACAGCACATATCCATAGCACTTTTAAGTGGACGTAATAAATAAATTGAGGATATTTCTAACAATGAAGCAAATACGATCGAATACGCTATGAAATGTTAATGATGAAGGTTGAGCTGAACAGCAAACACAGGAGAAATGGCGATTCAAAAAGCGGAAAAGGCTGCGCAGATTTCAGGTCCCTTGCGCAACGCCACCAATTCCATAGTGGCAAGGTTTACCCACCGCGATCGGCCTCATCAGTTCTCCTCCTTGCTATCAATCTTATCAAATTCGTCCAAAAGCATTAAAACTCCTCGTAAGACTCGCTTTTGTGATTAACGCTGGCGCTGAGGCTGATGTTGCAGGTGAGTATCCATATCGTCGCGTACTATTCATCCATCGCTTATTACACTTACAGCTGATGTAGCCCCCAGCCTAGTAGATACGCTGCGGCCAACAGTCTGCTGCAGCAATAACTAGATCTATTAATCAAAATAAGTAGAGGAAATCACTTCTGTAGCTCATTCATCAGCCAAGGCTGCGGCCTCTGCATTTGTGAAGGCTTCTTGCAGGACCTAGACGAAAGCATGCGCTTCAATTTTAGTAGTAAAATACTGTGGCTATTGGGAGTGAGCATTATAGCAAGTGAATACAAAGTTAGTCTTAGTGTTTTTCTCGCTATCTCTGTGCTGCGAGAAGTTAATTCACCTTGGTCATTTCTCAAAAGAGTAAGGAATACAATTCTTACATCGCCGATGAGCTCAAAGACACGCAACACAAGACAATCCGCGCCTTGGTTTTTTTTTTTTTTTTTTTTTTTTTTGGAAAAGGTGACCCCTCATATATAAGAAGGCCAAAATATTAAGGATTTGGAGCGGGTAGCTTTCTTCTTGAAAGAATCGTTGTTATTCACAAAGAAGCTCGACGCTGAGAAGGAGATTCTGGTGGGGATTGCCAGGTACTGGACGCATATGTGATGGCAAAAGTCGGAGACGTCTATACCTTGGCACACCTGGTAGACACTGCGGTCCTGAACATCCTCCGTTCCCTCGGCGCAATCGGTCAGCACTTGCCATACCAGAGAGTACTATAGACGCCCATGAGCCAAAGCACCAAAATATGCTCTTGATGATTTACCTTTTAGCAGATCGCAATACTCTCTTTACTGTATAAAAATGTAGTTGATGTTTCGCGATCTTTATTCTTTATATATTCAATGAAGAAAATGAGTAGAGTGGGAATCGGCAAGCTTGATGAGAATATCGGACATATTCCAAGCAGCGTTGAGAGCCTTCGAGAGGGCCGTGCTGGCATGATCAAATGAATGTACATAGGATGAATGGACGGTCGAAAACATTCTCACTATAGATGATGCTCCGGACTAAATTATGGGGCCGGAGAAGATGCGCAAGTGCAGGCCGAGTTTACGCGCCAGGTGTCTCTTCACGCGCGCTCAAACCGATCGATTGTGATCTTGAGTTTACGTACACAGCGCAGTTCGCGGTACAGCCTTGGCCTTATTGAACAGTGTAGCGAAAAGACTTTACAATGTGCGCTCTTTATTTCTTTCAGAAACATTGCGGTTATGAATTTAAAGCATCAACCGATCCTATCAGCCCATTTCCGGGACCCCATGTTTTATCGGAATGTAAACGCAGCAAAGTGAAGGCAGCAAGACGTTATAAACACATTTTTTTCTGGTGTACAGAAAAAATAAATATGTACATAAATACAAATACAGATGCAAATAGTATTCAGTTGTGCATACAGCCTTGCCTGACGGCCTTGAGAATGGGCTCGATGCCCTGCTTGAAGGATTTTTCTAGTGCCTTCCGCATTGGAAAGTCATGATCAATGTCGCTGAGGGAGTGGAGGCTGTTCGGGATCGTTACATCCCCCTGGTGTGCCAAGACATAGATGTGTCCGACCCTTGCCATCACATGTACGTCCTTCTTGTTGGCAACCACCTGCAGTCCCACCAATGCCGCGTCCTCAACCCCGAACTCCTTGCCCGCAAACTCTAGTGCTTCCTTCAGCAAGATGGCGACACGCTTGGGGTCGTGGGTGACCTTGGACTTCTTGGTCTTCAGTCCTTGCGAAGTGACCTCGCCGATAGGCATTGTGCAGGTCGTCCTGTGGTGGATATCTTTCAGCTCTACTGCCAGACTCTGCTTGTCGTTCTTGTTCTGTGCGATGGTGGATGGGTCGACGCTATTCAGGACAGAATTAGTACCGATCACTATCGACATTCACGTCGGCTGCATGTCCAGCCTCCTTCACGACTTCAAACACATTCATACATATACTTGCTAATTGAAGTAAACCCCGTTGTTGGGATCCTGCAGGAAAACCTCGCAGATAGGCAGGATGTAGGCGGCCATGCCGGCAGACTCGGAGTATGACTTTTTGCTCTTGCTATTTTTTCTGGGCAGCCGCTTGATGCAGTTGGCCAGATAGAGCCAAAAGAACTCTTGCTCCGCGGACGCAGGACGAGCCTTCAGGACCTCCGAAAGGGCCATCGTGCGGTTGTAGTCGCACTTCCACAAGGCCTATAATAGATTGCAGTAGTTCCTGTAAGTCTTCAACTTTTGCCTGCCGTCATGTGCATGGATGAGAGCTTGTTTATGAATCCACGTACATCTAGCCACTTTCTAGTCTATTGCAAAGTCTCTTTCACTTCGACATGCTGTCAATACTCGGAGCGAAAATTGCTCTGGAGGTTCTGGAGGACGTTGTGACCGAAGCAATGGAGTTGTAGTGGCGACGAATCGCGCAAGAACAGGATGTTGTGGAGAGCCCTAGGTTTATGATTAGAGTTTTTTCAAAGTTTAATCTGATTAGATGTAGCTGCCTTTAGAGTTTCCTCCGCAATACTTTTCTTCTTGGGATGAAATACTTGCAGTTTTTCATGAATGCTGCTGAGGGTATGCGCACAAGCTGCCCCCCGGTAGGTGAGGAATGCCGTCGCTACATCAATGTCACCAAGCATTGCAACCTTCTCCTCGGTTCTCTCGCCAATATCCTGGAGGTCCTCACTCTCTATCTCGTCCTCAGAGCCCTTGCTATCCATCCCGCCCTCAGAGTCCTCATCCTCACTATACACCTCGTCCTCTGTTTCCTCATCTTCTGTTTCCTCATCCTCGAACTTATTTTCGACTTCATTTCCTGGAGCTTCCTCTGCATACCCATTCGCCACGGGCACTCGGTGGATTCTCTTGCTGCTGTTCCCTAGAAAACGTTATCGTAGAAGCGCATATGGTCATGTTACATACTGGTCTGAGTACTGTCATCGACTCGCTTCTTGGGTGCACTATACTGACCTATGTAGTACGTACGAGCAGAGAAGAATGCCCTTAATGTGGTGCAGACAGGAACCGCTTTATAAGGTACCGTCTGCCCTAAAAATAAAGATCCCTCTCTTGTTTTATTGATTTTCTTGTAAGTGAATATAAGGGTAAAACATCGCACTAGGGAGATATTTCTCTTTCACTCCAGCTGAAACCTTCATATCTGTCAAGGAATGCTCTTCCACGACTTCCTCGGCGGCCAGGTCCTTCCAGAATTTATCAACCAGTCCAAAGTGCAGATCCTGTAGCGCGCCAATTAGCGTTTCGTATATTAGTCATGATCGTATCACTAGGCGTGTCTGGAAGTAGAATAGGGTGAATAACCCACAGGTAAACGGAGAGTCAATGGAGGCTCAGAAATCATAGAAAGAGTGTAGGAAAGAGTGGGTATAGAGTGGCATTTCAAGTGTGTGAAATTTATGGAAAAATTTCAGTAGCTTCAATAGTTCGAAGGCCCCGCAGCTATCGGTCATCAATGGGTGGCGGCTCTTCAGGCGTCAGCACTCAATAATGTCAAGAAAGTTAAAGGTCGGCCAGATATACTCGTACAGATGGCATGATTTATGAGAAAGAGTTTTTCCCATCAGTCATATGAGTGAAGTATTTCAGTTCATAATAGGAGTCATTAAGAAATAATGAGCTTGATATCCTTACTTCAAGGGATTGAAGTCGATGTCTGCCATTATGCATTATCAGGCACCATGCTGAAAAAATGTGACATTACTTGGCGCACAGCGCTGTGAATATTAGAGCCGAAGTTCTACTTCGAGACCCTAACGAACTTCGATCAAGTCAATTCGCTCGATTATCTTCCCGTCCTTTGGAGTCTCAGCGGGGTATCCCCTGCAGATCGAGGAAGAATGGCTCAAGGCGCTGAACGTGCTCATGTTCCACCAAATAATATTCTTAGAGTATGTAGTCAGCATTGCGGACCAAATTCGGTCGCTACATGCGTCTGAGAATCGTGGAATAGTTGTATCGTTGAAAAATGTTTTGTTTGAAATGCAGTAGGCCGGAATCCTTATAAGGTCAATTTATAAAAGCTCATTGGTCGCTGAATACCTTGAACCAGTGAGAGATATGTATGTGTATTTTATGACAGATCGCGTTATATTGTACTGGCGTTGAATGGCATGAGTGATGGAGTCTATCACCCTTGGGTACCGTCCTTCGAATACCCGTTTCCAATATCGCTGCCTCTCGATACATAATGCTTCTCCGAATTCGATTAGCGGCATCCGCGACTGTCCTCCTGCTTGCTCTCTGCTCTGCTTCCACCGCTGCTACGAGTGTCACGAATATCTTCCCAATCACCTTGATGTGAAATGCTTTGATATAAATTGCCTTAATAAAGCTTGATAAGGCGAATGAAGTGACGAAGATCTCGACAGAGGTTTCTGATCATTGTTTGTATTGCGTATTGCGTTCAAAAATTGGTCACCTCGTCCACAAATGTCCGAGAGTGCAGAGCGGCGGTTGCTTGTGAGAGTCGGGCCTCCTTTGTGCAGGACTCTGGGACCGGGAAATGGCGGGCCCTAGGGCATCAGAACTACCGATATATCCAAGATCGGTGTGGGGGTAGCCATAACCGCAACGGCATCGAGACCATGAAAGGGGATGTCGAGTATGTCGATTAAAAGAAACGCGTAGATATAAACGAAGGGTGCATTGAAACCATGTCTGATAAAATGTGAACAGGTCATTAAGGTATATGCAGAACTGTGCGCTGTCGTAAAGCGCACGATACTCTACTGCTTCAATTTCAATCAGCAAACCCCCTGTCCCCCTGTAGTTGACAAGGTCTAACCAAATAAATCAACCAGCACAGGTCTCTGCCTCTGATGGAATAATATGCGCAGATGACCTAGAGATATTTATCCAGCTTCCCGAAACCGCACCTCTCATGCACGAGAAAATATATACAATACTTAATACTGTTTGACAAACGCTCGACCAATAGGCCCTTCAGTTAAACTATCATGAAGGCAAGAGCCATCCTCTGCACAAGATTGTTGATAGAAAGAAGCGACACAAAGGGTGCTAGCGGATGCACTAACAGGAAGCGGATATGGCGGCCTGGGGAGACAAGCTTGTCTGCCTCCAGTGTGATTTGGAGGGAAACAGTGGCGCAGTGATTCGGTCTGAAATTGGCGTTTTGATTGGACTAGAGAGCCTAGGAAACGAGGGACGCGTTTATAGTCAAGATGGTATCAGCGCACCAAGCAGGCCGCCGTTCTCTACAACCTCAATGCTATGTCCCCGACTGACGATGACCGTGGCCATGACATTCGATACCACAGAGGACATAGATCGATAAGCAGACATCTGCACCGCCCAAAGGATGAATCGAGCCCAGGAAAGGACTCCGTCGCTCTCTCATTGAACTTGTTGTTGGCAGCAAGTCGTCGGATTTTTGTCATGGTCGAAAGGAACTTGGAGGGGCAGTGCAACAATAGTCATATGCATGTAGTATATATATCCGTGCACTGCAAATATTATTAAAAGTAGTTCTTTTCTCCACTCCCTCTCGTCTTGTTACGGGCAGGTTCCTTGTCTCTCTTCCTCTGTTTGCTATGCTTCTCCCTAAAGCCTAGCGAAGATGAGAATCCTCGACACCTCCTCCTTTTCCTTTTCGCTCTCCCTTGTCGCCGATAGGAACAAAAGGGGCTCTTCCTACTCCTTGGGCCATTTCTGTATCTCTTCTTGTCTGTCATGTGCGCTTGATATAACTCGAACAAGAACAACATTATTCCATCATTCCGCCCTTAGACACACGGTGTGCTATTTATTGCTGCTACTGCTACCCTACTGGTGTGCTATTTATTGCTGCCATTGCGCCCTACTCGTGTGCTATTTATTGCTGCCACTGCGCCCTACTCGTGTGCTATTTATTGCTGCTACTGCTGCCCTACTGGCGCTGCTGCTCCCAAATCCTGGATCGACAGCAGTATAAGAACCCCTCGCCTCTCTGAACCCTTCTCAAGCCATTCCTCTTTCTCTCCCTCGCTTCCTATCTTCCGCTAACTCTTCTTATCTTCCTTCTCGTCGTATTCGTTTCCCTTGCCTGTTCTTGCCCTGTCCACTGCCCCTTTCTTTTTTTAACCTTCACTCGATAGTAACAAAAACAAACACGTATCCGACACTGTAGTTCGTCCTTTTGTCTAGCACGCATAAGCCCCCTAACTTTATACACACCATGGTGCACAAGGCGTACATCTCAATGCTGCTCTTGGCCCTGAGCTGCACAGGATTGATCCATGTTCAGAGTGCCCCCGCATCGACTCGACCACAGCCCCTCGAAGCTAAAGTCGACATGGGTACGTTGGAATGCAAGGTTTATCTGCCATCGATGTAACTTGGCCTATCGACGTACTAATGCCTCCAAGCGGCATGATGCGTTGAATAAACCACGCATATCATCCGCTCAGAATAACAAGCGGAGGCATTGAATGTGTACTATCAACCATCAGTCTACGGCCGTCCCGAAACCAAAGCGATGCCACCAATTAACATACTATATCACTTTACAATGCCACTATATCTGATGGAACAACATAGCTGGCATCAAGGGAACATTTTTGTTTACTCCTCTGAAACACAGCGATACCGGCGCCACGGTGAGAATCCACATCCAAAGCGGACTCACGAAACAATTTGCAGTCCTGCCAACAGTCGGGTTTGAATATCATATCCATCTCGAACCCGTCGGACCAGGCGGAGACTGCGCGGCAACTTTGGGCCACCTTGACCCGGCCAACGTCGGCGAGGGAAAATGTGACCCGGCTGTACCGGAGAAGTGCCAAGAAGGAGACCTCTCAGGTATGTGGAATCTCACAAGGGCGCTGAGACATCCGTGTTTTGCTGCGGCTTCTCAGGAATCTAATGGTGCTGACATCCCGTGTCGCCATGATTTGTAGGCAAGCATGGCAACTTGCTGCCGACTAAGAGCGGCGCTATTTCAACCATCAAGTACGTTGACCACCAGCTTGCCTTCAAGGGAGCTAAGACAACAATTGCCGGTAGATCGATCGTGATTCACAACAACGGCACCCGCATTGCTTGTGCAAACATTTTACCAGTGGGAACTGCCAGACAGAAGACTGGCAGCGACTCGGGATCTCAGAAGGAGGAGAGTACCTAGCCCTCGTCCGTGCTAAGCAAAAGTCGTGTCAATGCCGCATCTGCAAAGGGACAGCTCATTCTAGAGGTCCTGTGGCAAGCGACAGGAACCGTGGTGTCAGGCCTTGTATTGACCGTGTTGGCATTGTGATAGACGAAGCGACGTTGCAGAATTTTAGTTCTTGGCCAAACGGAGCGATACATAGAAAACATGGACATAAATGAAACTGAAAGTTTAAGCTCGCTACGCGTTTTATGGGCCCTCTCGGACTTGCTTTGTGCTCCACATTTTTTTCGATAACTCCCCGCTTTTTTTGACCCATTTTGTCGAGGCAAGGGTCGGTCGCTCGCCATATTCTGGTGGACGGGCTTATTCATTTATTGCCGTTATCTACTCGTCTCTTTTTGGGGGAGATATTCTTTCTGTCGTTGTCTGGCTTGAAACGCTTCTACAATCTCTCAGTAGGTCTTGGTACTAAGAATGCCCTACAATCACATGTCTGTGGCACAAAAATACAAGATGGATTTTTTCAGCTGGCCTTTGCTGCTTTTGCACAAAAATAACATATTCCAAAGGCTGCAGCATCATGGGCGAGGGAAAAAAAAATAGAGTGAATCGGTAGACCCTGTATCTAGACTGAGAAATAGCTGGAGCGCGTGTAGTGTTTGTGGGGTGCTCAATAATGTGTGAGAATAATGTGGGATGAGAGTGGAGGCATGGGTGAAAACGGCCGTGCTCAACCGAGGATTGGCCTCTGCGCACAGTTTGGCAGAGGTAAAAAAAAAAGATCGGGTAACTTAGGGACTAGACCTGAGGCACCCCGTGGCTGTTTAAGGTTTTTTGCTGGAAGCGGTGACAAAGATGACTCTGTTCTCGGTGGAGGAGGGAGGCGATCACCGCCAGGCTCCAACAAAGACTTTTTTGAATACCGGAGGAACGAGGGAAGACGAAGGGGAAGGATGGGCAAGAGAAGGATCTCGGTTGTGGAACAGAGACATAACCCCACATTGCATACCGGCATTTCTTGAACCAGTTCCCTTTCTTCTTCTCCTCCCCCGTCGCCAGCCAGAAAAGAAGAGAATGAATTTGATCCGCCCGTTGCTCGTCCAGCAGACCCGCCGGCTGTCCTCGTCTTCGTCCTTGTCTTCGTCCGTTATTTCTTCCGCACCTCTTTTCTCCCTTTCTTCTCGATCCTCCTCTTCTATTTCAACCCGCTTTCCTTCTTCTTCTTCTTCTCTCCTCACACATCGCACTCTTCTCCCCCTTGTAACCCGCACCGCATACTCCACAATGTCTACCCACAAGCTGTGCATGATCCCTGGTAAGAGACATCCCATTCGCACTCATCACACTCTTTCCCTCATTCAACATCGCTTCATCCGCTCGAGTGCACTTGTACCGAGAATTAAAAAATAATTGCAACGAGCACACCTTTAACAAAAACTGCACACCTTGAACTGAAGTGTTCTTCGTTGTATACTGAAAAACGCTCTCAATTGCACTCGTCGTATCTAGGTCCCATTGAGTTCCACGAGGATGTTCTTCAGGCTATGGCCACCCCTTCGACCTCGCATGTCGCCCCCAACTTCATCCCTGTCCTCGGCGAATCGATCGAGCTCTTGCGCCAGATCCTCTTCACCTCTGGACAGCCCTTCATCATCGCTGGATCTGGCACTCTCGGCTGGGACATGACTGCCTGCAACTTGATCGAGGCTGGTGAGGATGTCCTTGTTTGCAACTCTGGCTATTTCGGCGACCGCTTCGGCGAGTGGTAAGTCCATCAACAGACCACCAACAACCTGTCAAAACACGATTCAGCAACTTCAGCGACTTCAGTGACCTCGACTTCACCGGGCGGTATCTCGTTCGTAGTGGATCTCAACTCCGAGTCGGAAAGATTTTCCATTCTTATTTCCTGGGTCCAAATTTGCGGAGAATTGCCCTTCCACGAGGACTGGCGACATTTGGGACTTCAGCTCGACTCTTGATTCACGATATCGTGGAATGAATGAAGGATACGCAGGATAAGCGATATCCCTTTCACTGGCGCCCTTCTCTCTGCAAGGGCATGGATTGGATTTTTTTTCCTTGCCGAGGAAGTTCATACGAAACTTCCCACGACCCTACTCGCTCCCACACTTTCAGGTGCTTTCCCTGCGGATGACTAACAAAAAATCTACATGTTTCTCATTCCTCTGCGCATCATTCAGCTTGGAGACTTATGGCGCCAAGGCCACGCACGTCCGCGTCCCCGTCGGTGAGGCCCCTCAGTTGGCTGCTGTCGCTGCTGCCTTGAAGGGCAAGAAGTACAAGGCTGTTACCATCACCCACGTTGATACGTCGACCGGTGTTCTCTCGGACATCAAGGGCATTGCTGAGGTCGTCCGTAAGGAGTCCCCCGAGACCCTCGTTGTCGTCGACGGTGTCTGCTCTGTGGGTTCAGAGGAGATCCGCATGGACGCCTGGGGCATCGATGTCGTCATCACTGCTTCACAGAAGGCCCTCGGTGCTCCTCCCGGTCTCTGCGTCTTGGGTGTCTCTGAGCGTGCCATCGGTGTCTTCAAGGCCCGCAAGACACCTGTTGCCAACTACTACGCCAACTGGAACCGCTGGTTGCCCATCATGAACGCATATGAAGCCCGCAAGCCCTCGTACTTTGCCACCCCCGCTGTCCAGAATGTCTTTGCTCTCCACGTCTCCTTGAAGCAGATCGTCTCCCAAGGTGTTGAGAAGCGCTTCGCTGTCCACAAGGAGGCCTCGGCTAAGGCCAAGAAGTTCATTCATGACCTGGGCTTGAAGCTGGTTCCTACTTCTTTGGACCATGCTGCCAACGGCATGTCGGCTGTCTATTACCCCGAGGGCGTTACTGCCGTGGATCTGCTGCCCAAGTTGGCTGCCCACGGCATCGTTGCTGCCGGTGGTCTCCACCTTGACATCGCACTCAAGTACTTCCGTATCGGACACATGGGCATCTCTGTGACCGAGCCCGAGCGCGGCCACTTGGATGCCACTTTGAACGCTCTCAAGGCCTCGCTGGCTGAGTGCGGTTACAAGGGCGCCCTGTAAATGTAGTAGCGTCTGTGCCCATTTACCGTTGTAATTATCATCTCCTCTCCCAATTCTAGAATGATAGCAAGGCATTGGCTTGTTCTCTCTTGTAACATCAACGAAAAAAAAAAAAAACTTTAATAAAGAACCTGCTCCCCGGTGACGTGGGATTAGAGCTCTTTGACTGGTCTTTCCTTTTCTCTCGCTGTACTTCTTCTCTCTTCAATCACAATTAGCACTTTATTTTCTTATTCCTAAACCACTTTGCACCACCGACACTTTCAACCGCAACAACATCGTATAAGCTCCGTTCGCTAGTCAAATGGACATAGTACCGGATATTGATCGCCACCAAAAAGAACAAGACCACATAGTGCCCAATTCAATGAACACGCCAATTTCTTCAGAACAGGCGACAGCGAACGGCAGTGAACCCGCGCCTCGCTTGCACCTCATCAACGAAGAAAAGCAGTTCAGGTAACTGTTTACTGTCCCATATCGATCGTCCATTGTGCTGCCACCTGGCTGGAACTGCAAATCACCCATCCCATGAAAACCTGACACGTTTGAGTTTGCTCATCAATACCTTATCTCCTATTGTTTCCATGGCCCGCGCTGTGGTCATAGTGATGAATTATCGAGATACATAAGCGAAAAGTGGGGCCTCAAGGAATCGGGCTTCAACTACAACCTGGCAGCCATCTTTGGAAGCCAGAGCACCGGAAAGAGTAAGTGTTTGATGATGATTTGGGGGGCTGGTAATGGCAATTGTCATATGGGTTCGCATGCTTTGGAGCGCGGTCTGTCCTTTGGTTCTGACAGAACCAGCATCTCTCGCTTTTCGGCATCTTTCCTTTCGTGAACGCAGGCACACTTCTCAATCGGCTCTTTGGCACCAACTTTGATGTCATGTCAGAAACAGCCAGGATGCAGACAACCAAAGGAATCTGGATCAGTAAAGGCAAAGATATGAAGGTGTTGATCATGGACGTCGAGGGAACCGACGGTCGTGAGCGCGGTGAAGATCAGGTAAAAGGGCTTGTATCATCGTCGAGTCTCGACCACACTTAATGTCGACAACAAAACATTGTATTCATCGTTGCGTCGATTGTGTCATGCTTTATGGCCTTGTTTTTGGTCGATATAGGATTTTGAGCGTAAGAGCGCCCTTTTTTCGCTTGCAACTTCTGAAGTGTTGATTGTCAATATGTGGGAGCACCAGGTCGGACTCTACAATGGAGCGAACATGGGTCTGCTAAAGACCGTCTTTGAAGTCAATCTGCAGCTCTTTGGCGGCAATCGTGGGTAATGCTTGAGCAATGACCAATGCAGTGCACTCTGTCATAATGCATCGTAAACACGTGGCAATCTAACCTGTCCTTTTTGTCTCTGGTGTGTTTTATGCGTACTTTAGAAAAGAGAAGACACTGCTGTTCTTTGTGATCCGTGATCACGTTGGAGCGACGCCCCTTGCCAACTTGTCGAATACCTTGCGAGCGGATCTGGAGAGGATCTGGCAAGGTCTTTCCAAGGTACTTTGAGTTCGTTCGGAGTGCTCTAGGATCCCTTCCTCAGAATGACGACCTTGCAGTCTGCTAACAGCAGGCAATGGGATTCATTTTCTTATAGCCAGAGGGACTTGAAGACTGCAAGATCTCGGACTACTTTGACTTTATGTTCACTACCCTGCCCCACAAGCTGCTGCAGCCCGAAAAGTTCGAGTCAGAAGTCCTTCAATTGCGACAGAGGTACCCTTTTTGCTTCATGCACTGATACAGGAAACAGTGTGATTTCAGTTCAAGTTGACTTACGACTGGTGGCATCTATTTGCTTTTCTTGTATACTAGGTTCTCTGATCCCTCAAACCCAAACTATGTCTTCCAGCCGCATTATTCAAGGCGTGTCCCCGCGGACGGTCTTCAGTTCTATGCTGAAGGTATCTGGGAAAAGATTATGACCAACAGGGACCTCGATCTACCTACACAGCAGGAGCTGTTAGCGCAGTTCCGTTGCGATGAGATTGCGAACGCTGCATTCGCCGTATTCGCAGAGGCGATCAAAACTTTCCGACGTCCTATTGAAGCTGGAAATGTGGTTGACGGTTTAGGGCCCAAGATGAATGAAATCCGGGATGTTGCCATCAGTAAGCTTTCAATTCATCTACACCTGCGGTTTATATCTGGGCCTTTAGATGATGAGGGATGTGGAGAACTGAGCATAAGATCGTTTGAATAACTATAGGATCTTTTGACAAGGATGCATCCCGATACCACCCCGAGGTATACAAGCGTAAGCGCGGTGAGGTGTTGGCAAAGGCCAACTCCATGCTAGAGTCCTTCTTTGTGGGTCAGCTCAAGAACCTGCACAAGAAGGCTGTCTTGCAGTTTTCGACCCGACTTCAGCAAGATCTCAAAAAGGAAGGCGCGGAATTCGGAAGCATCTCCTCGGCCGCCATGAAGGAAGCTGTCGACTTTTTTGTACAGGGTGCCAAGGCGATCAAGCTAGAAGAGACTGACTGGGAATACGAGGAGGAGCTGTACCAACTGGAGCACGACCTGCGGGAATTTTCAAAGGCGCAGAGGGAGAAGGAAATGGCCAAGATGCTGGCAGTGCTGGAGAAGCATTTGAAGAAAGAACTGGATGAGCCCATCAAGCTAGCACTGGACAAACCGGGGCCTGGTATGTGGGGCCGCGTGATTACAATCCACCAGAGGACCGTCGAGGATGGAGTGGCCATGCTACACAAGAGGGCAAAGACGTTCGATCTGACGGAGCAGGAAGAGAATGAGCTCGTTGATAACCTAAAAAGGCAGGGATGGATCCTGATGACCAGGAAGGTGCAAGAGGAGTCTGTGGATGGGCTGATCCTGTACAAGCTGCTTAACCGGTTCGAGGAATATTTCCAGCGAGACGACAGAGGACTCCCACGAGTCTGGAAACCTGAGGATGATATCGACACTCCCTTCAAGAAGGCTCGAGATGAGGTACTTTATACTCTTTTTTGTTAAACTATCTTCAGCAAGAACACGATGGTGGAAACTGATACTTTGTTTTGTTCTCTATACTCAATATCCTAGACCGTGGCGCTGATTCCTCTGTATGCCAAGATCGATAACTTGGATCCTGCGACGGGCACCCGCTTCACTCTTGAATCTACAGAGGACTTTGATTTCGACCAATCCCTCAACATCATTTCAGAAACGCGCCAACAAGAACTGGAGACACAGCTCAAACGCAAGGTGGACGCAACCTATGTGGAAGCCAAGCGGTCTGTGGTTGCCACTCAGGCTAAGGTTCCATATTGGGTTGGCGTCGCTCTGATTTTCTTGGGCTGGAACGAATTTATGGCCGTGATCACGAATCCGTTATATCTGTCGATGACCATGATGCTGGGCGTACCCATTGCTGCACTATGGTATCTGAACATGTTGGGATTGGTCCAGACCATGGGTATGAGAGCGTACGATCAAGCCTTGGTTTTCGGCAGAGACAAGTTGAGGGAAGTTGTGCACCCACCTGAGCCAGTACCGGTGCGGATCCAGAACACGAGGTACGATGATGATGACAATGCGCGTCTGTTGCATCATAGAGACTCTGCGCGGTCATTGAGTCAAGGCAGTGGACGTGGCGAGAAGAGCGAGCAGGGCACTGAACTGTACGCGTTCGAGGACAAGAAAACATTGTGAAGGATATCATTCAACGCTTTCTTTTACATATATATATATATATATATATTTTGGTTCATTCAAATAAATTATAATTCTGGCTCAAGCATTTGGTCCGCATGGTCCAAACACGTGTGTTTTTCGCTCACTCTTTGGGCTCACTGTGGCTGTGCTACTACGATCTGCCCTCGATCTGACCAACGCCATCGCGCCATACGTCTGGAGTTTGCGATTGTAAGAAAGCCACGTAACTTTAGTTGGCACGGACCACTGACTTCCATTCTTTGGTCCTGGAGCCTTAGTTCTTTAAAATGATTTTTTTTTTGTCCGTTCATGAAATTTCGAAAGGACCACCGAGGGCACCAGGAGCAGGCCACAGTGCACTAGCGTATAGTCTCTTGCAGTACTTCCCACACTGGAAAGCCCTATTCAATGCTGCTGAGGATTGTCACTCCCGTTCTCAGGTAGCGTGCAACACTTTAGCTGGAGGCACCCCAAAACTACTCAGCTTCTCTATGCTATTTATTGCCTTACGCTTTGTAAGTGAAAAGTATCCTTTTCTGATGAACATGGACCACATCTGAAAGCGGTTATTAATTATTCTCCCTTTCTTTAGTCTCGCGTAGCTGTTTGAGCTCTGAGTGAACAGGAGCGTCTACTATTTTGTCACGATCATCATTCTAGTCATCAGTCAGATCAGAGTCTTCTTTTTCATATCTGCAGGAGGCATTACAGCGTGTAGTGCTGCTATCCTGCACTTGCTCCGATTTTGCCCATTTGAATCTTGCCTACATCCAATTGCGACCGAATTTCCGTTCCATTTTTACAAGACCGTGCCAGCAACCTTCTACTTCATGGTGAGATTGACAAAAGACTACACGCCGCTCATTTGCTGCACACAGCTAAATTTATTTGTCTTTTCCCTGATTACTTCAACTCTACCTAAAGGGAGGTCGATATGACCCTGTCACGGAATTATTCGACTCGGACAACCACGCATTTCTCACCATGATGATTCTCAACTTCCTCTTCTCTGGGATCCTCATGCTCAACGTTCTCATTGGTAAGAGTCCATACAGCCTATTCCGTCCATATTCGTCATTGCAACGAATACGCGCTTGTCTCTTATAATGAAGCCATATTTTTGCTAAAAACTCTGGCAACATTGATCAACATGGCATTCAACAAGGGCGACGAAACCTGGCACCAGGTCTAGCTGCTGAACAGGATGAGATTCGTCGAGGCAGCTGAGAATATTTCGTATTCCATCCCAGGTAGTCATCCATCTCAAGCCACGCAGGATAGGGTATCCTGTCATAATCATATTCTTAATGGTTCGTTTTCTTCCATTATCTGATGTCTAGGCTTTAGGGAGTCTCACGACTGCTTTCCTGAAAAGATCTACTTCACAGCATCGCGTAAAGAGGCCAAAGAATACCAGAAGGCCACAGAGAGACTTGGGGAGGAGGAGAGTCCAGCATCTAATGTGATTGGTATATCTGCCTCGGCCGACGTTTCTCAAGACGTTTCATCTAAATAGGTTTAAGAGTTTACTTCAGGGTCAAAAACAGATTATTCAGGAGCTAAAGAAACAAGGTGTTCAGCTTCAAGCACAGTTACAGGCACAATTAGACTCATTTGAGTCGCAGAATCAGAAGATGCAGGAACAGAAGATGCAGGAACAGAAGATGCAGGAACAATTGGGGAGGGGGGCAGAACGTCATGAACATGAGGTTGCACCAGCAGCAACAGGCCCAGCGAAAAATGCAGGCAGATATATTGGCCTTGTTGACGACCAAGCCTTAGCTTATGAATGGATCGTTATAAACCATGCTCTTAAATATCATATTAATGCTGGTCGTGATGCTTCCATGCTCCGCTTTTTCAACGTTGCCTCGTTGTAGTGTCTACAAGGTAAGGAATAGGGAGATGATGGTGATCATACTGGATAGGAGCAAGCCTTCTCTCTGTGCTTTGTTTAATACAATTCTCAAACAGGACACATTCATACCTAAACACCCCCTGCTTGCACAAAATTAATGTCGACCCTCATGGATAGATAGGATGTCATCCAGGCCAACTTGAAGTACATTTTATCTGTCTCTGGAACGTTAGATGGGAGGTGGTTGACGGCGTTTGTCGAGAATGCTCAGAGGGTCATCTTATCCGCCATTGTTCGCTGCATGACGGTTAGCCAACGCCCTGGATATTTTGCCTTTTGCCTTCATGTTTTGGTGAGTGCGAGCATAAAGGCCGTCTACGTATCCTGAAAATAAGGAAAGACTGAAGGTTAGACGTGGTTACATTGGATGCCATGCTGAGGCAGCAACCATATTGACTAATGAGGTGAGCTGCAAATTGAAAATTTTTCTTCACATGTAGTTTGTATGGACACCTTGCAATATCAACGACACGAATGATGTTCGGCAACAGTTGAGCAGAAATGGTCAAGCGCATGTCAGCCTGCGGATCTGCTCTGTTGGAGCCGGAAAGGTGGTCCACTATGTTCCTTTTTTTTTTTTTTTTTTTGGTTCAGTCGGACATTTGAAAGGATGACGCTTTGTGCATTTCTTCCCGTCCTTCTTTCTTCGGGCGAAGTTTTGTTGCCAATTGGGTTCCGCCAGCAACCCTATTCTTTTACCCGTGCCCTTGTTTCGTCCCACCTTCCCATCGACCTGTTCGTCATCATTCCTTCCTTCCTTCACACACCTCATTCCATTCTCTGCGTCTTGGCTATGGAACCCGCCCTCGATCCCTTCGACAGCCTGTGTCGACAGGTTTATCTGGCCAACGACGACGATACCAGCAAGCAGCCAACACCCATACCCTCCAATGAAGAAACCGCCCTCAGTCTCATATCCCGTGCACAGGTCTATGAACTGCCGACATCATATACCCTCCCCTCCTCTGCTCAAGCACCAGGCAACCGTGATCAGGACCGTCGGTGTTATCGGATCCACCTCGAGACCATTGAGGATCCAATCCTAGAGCAGACTGTGCGAGATATCATCAAAGGGGCGATCGATCCTTCTGTGCTCATGGAACTTCCCTTCGACAGAAACCTGTCCGGATACAGCTCAAAGACCAGAACCGAGACTCGAGAATCACCCCTTGAAGCACCAGTGGTCCTCGACATGGAAGGCGTGTCCGCAACAATACCAGCATCGGACAACGACAAGAAAACCATGTTCTTGATACCAACACAGGAATGGTTGCGGATGTCGACAAGGATCCGCTTCTGGAGAGCGGAATCTCATCGTATTAAAGCTGCTGAGCGGGAAATCGTCCTGGATGGGTTGTTGAACGACCGTTGGAAGGATGCCACGTCCACTCTATCATCAGCGGCGGTCTCGTCACCTCCGCCATCATCGGGGTCGTTGGTCGCGGCGGATATACCCCCAAAGTCCCTGCCATCGTCTCCAAATTCGTCCTCAGCGTCTTCGCCGGCCACATCACCACGGTCTTCGGCAGCACCGCATCGTTTGCAAACATCACTTTCGAGACCTTCGTTGTATAGGCAACCGTTCCAGGAACATCAGTTAAATACGCTGGTTCAATTTATTTCGACCTATGGTGATGAACCATCGGCAACTTCGATTCTTCGAGGTCTGCTTAACCTTATTCGGCGGCAGATCACAGAGCCCAAGGTGCTGTCGTGGACGTTTGAAAGGGCGAACTTGACGGAACAGAGGCCAGTGGTGACGGTTGCGTTCTTGGATCTGGTGGCAAAGCTTGGCCTAGAACTGGTGATCGTAGACGAAGGAAGGGATAAAGGTGGTCTGATGGGTTTGGCTCCAGATTCGAACAAACTCGGCTCGATCACGTCCTTGACTTCAGAGTCAACGGTCGCTGTCTCTCCGGAAGCCGGTACTGCTGCTGTTTCAAAGGAGAGTCAGTCGACAGAATTGACATGGACGTTTGGCCCGAAAGTGGATGATCGCAGACTCGAGTATTGGATCCATAATATCCAGCAATCTACTTTGCCGGTCCTCAAAATGGACGACCAATCACTCCTGCCCTCTACCGCCACTTTCACGAACAACAGTACATTGCCAACATCATCAAAGTCTAACCAGGATCACAAGCAAAATCCAATCCCGGCTGCGATCCGGAAACGCTTCCTGCAAGACCGTAATACTATACCCGCTGGTAGCATTCAGGTTCTGACGACCAATATCCATGCTTCCGCACCAACCTCGTCAGAAACGCTGAGAACACCGACAGAATCAACGCTTCATACAGCAGCAGGCAAGGTCGACATTATCAGGGATCGATCCTACGTGCTCGCGTCGTCCAAATACGCGCTTTCAGACACGGCAGGATCGTCTGCATCGTCCTCTGGTGTGTTTGTGGATCGGGTTCGGAGCGACGTCAAGCATTTGGTGCGGTGGGCGACGACCTGCGGAGGACGGCTGGATTGGATCTGGACTTGGTTATTCTCGTCGTTTCAAAAGTCGAGGTATGGTTCTGCAGCAGGCGCGTCAGAGCGACGGCCTCCTCGATCCAACGACGAGAACGTGTAGAGTGCGCATGCGGGATTGTCTTTTTTTTTTGTAGCTGCCATAGATAGTTTTTCGTCTCAAAACATATACCACATAGTCTTTCCAGTCTTTCAATATATCCATGTCTATGCGAATCGCCTGTAACTCTGTGCCCCAATGTCGAACCCTGGGGCCCAATTGAGGCTAAAGGAAGTTGAGGGCCTTGCGCACGTGATTTGGGTCGACCAGTCCCCTTGCGTAAACAACCAGCTCGCCTTTTTTTTTTCTCTTGGTTTAAATGCATTGCACCTCTTCGCTCTACCAAGACCAGACCAGACCAGACCAACACACCATCACTCCATCGGTATGTTGACAAAACAAGGACGCTCACAAGTCTGAACTGAGGTCTCTTCCAGACTTGGACACGGAATACTAACAGGGATGACCTCTGCTTCTTCACCTCAAGTAGTGCTTGTAGACAATACTCGCGCCAGTTCACACAAAAAAAAAAAAAAACACAGACGCCGACAAGAAACACTCCTTCAGTAGCAGCCATCGGGACAAGTGGCCATATTTTCAAAACACACATATAATCTCACAAAATGGCTTCCACCAGCACCACCGCCACAACGGGTCTCCGTGATATCACAAAGATGGAGCGCATCGGTAAGACTCTTTGTGTGCCCAATGCCGCTCACAAACCTGTCCTGTGTAGTTCGATTCCAGTCCCTGGTCCCTCATATGTCCAATGCTAATTGTGGGTCTTTCTTTCTCCCTTTTTTTTTTTCTCCTACAGGCGCCCACTCTCACATCCATGGCTTGGGTCTGGACGACAACTTGGAGGCCCGTCAGACGGGCCAGGGAATGGTCGGACAGGTCAAGGCGCGTCGCGCAGCAGGTGTGATGTTGAGGATGATCCAGGATGGGAACAAGAACGCAGGACGAGCGATCTTGATGGCTGGAGCGCCCGGAACAGGAAAGACGGCCATTGCGATGGGTATGGCCCAGTCTCTGGGTGCGGATGTGCCCTTCACGATGTTGGCGGCCTCGGAGATCTTTTCGTTGGAGATGAGCAAGACCGAGGCACTGACACAGGCCTTCAGACGGTCGATCGGTGTGAGGATCAAGGAGGAGTCTGAGATTATCGAGGGAGAAGTCGTCGAGATTCAGATCGATCGATCCACTACAGGACTTGTAAGTGTTACTATGGACATTGCCTGCGAGATTATACGATGGAGCTGGAGCTGCTTTCCTGACCAAAGTATATATTTAATCCATTCCTTGTAGGGTCAAAAATCTGGAAAGCTGACGCTGAAGACGACAGAAATGGAGACGATTTATGACTTGGGCGCAAAGATGATTGAGGCCCTCAACAAGGAGAAGGTCATGGCCGGAGACGTGATCACCATCGACAAGGCCTCTGGTAGGATCTCAAAACTCGGACGCTCCTTCACCCGCGCCCGCGACTACGACGCCATGGGCTCAGACACTAAATTCGTACAGTGCCCCGACGGCGAGCTCCAGAAACGCAAGGAAGTCGTTCATACTGTCTCATTACACGAGATGGATGTCATTAACTCCCGGTCTCAGGGTTTCCTGGCCCTCTTCTCTGGAGACACCGGTGAGATCAAGATCGAGACCCGGGAGCAGATCAACCAGAAGGTCGGAGAGTGGCGTGAGGAGGGCAAGGCCGAGATTGTGCCCGGAGTGTTGTTTATTGATGAGGTGCATGTGCTCGATATCGAGTGCTTTTCGTTCTTGAACCGTGCGCTTGAGGATCCCTTGGCGCCCGTGGTGATCATGGCCTCGAACCGGGGGATCTCGAAGATTCGGGGCACAAGCTACAAGTCCCCACACGGATTGCCTGTAGATTTGTTGGATAGATTGTTGATTATCAGCACGACTGCGTACAGTGAGCCGGAGGTCAAGCAGATTCTGACGATCCGATGCGAAGAGGAGGACGTGCAGATGACGGAGGACGCGAAGGATATCCTGACGAGGATCGGTATGGAGACCTCGTTGCGGTATGCGATCCATTTGATCACGGCGTCATCGTTTGTGGCAAAGAAGCGAAAGGCGACGGCGGTTGATGTGGCGGATATCAAGAGAGTGTATTCGTTGTTCCTGGACGAGAAGCGGTCGGTTCAAATGCTGAAGGAGTATCAGGGACAGTACATGTATAACGAGGTCGATATGGCTGATCGGGAACCCGCCATCGGCCATGGAAACAGCATGCAGGCGTAATCTTGGGTCTTGGAAGATGTCGGACACCAACGCAGACAGTCGACACCACACTTCAACCCATAATCCCATAATAAAAAACGATTTGGACCTAAACATGCGCTTTTTTTTTTTTGTTTTCTCATGCAAAGAATGCATGTTGTCTCGCTTTTTTTCCTTCTATGATACGGCGGTTCAAAAAAAAAAAAAAAGGTGTCTTAACAAGAATCGGACCGTGCGGGCGTCATTCGGCGCTTGCGTTACCAATATATTCCAGGACGTTGAAAGGACTCTCGTTGCCGAGATGCACCATCGATACGAGAAAGTTCATTTGTGAAGGCCGCGGGCGCTAGTGAATAAAATGATCATATGTGTAAGTTATGTCTTTTTTTTTGGGCCCAATTGCACTGATTCAGGCACAGATCTATGATTGGTTATGGTGTGGTAGTAACAGATCAGAGGTAACAACTGCTTCGCCCAGACACGACCAGAGCGATAGAAACGCGTGGGTACATGGACTCCAAGGATGGGTGTGGAAGTAGGCCGAAGAGAGGTTGAGTGGATTGTCGAGCACTAGCGCAGGGTATGACTGATCGAGTCTTTGTCATCGAGGTGTATGCGGTCGTCAAACTTCAAGGTCCTGGAACACTTGCTAATCGCTACAGCGCCTGCAACTTGATCCGGGACTGAGTCCTAATTGTATCATACTGTCCTTATGTGATTGTCCATTATGCGCGCATGAGAAACATACTGCTCGGCAAACCCGTACATGATATCAAAATTAAGACTTAGAACTGGCGGAGTAGTGCCTCGGTGGGAAGTATCTGGGCTTGACCTTTGCCTACTCTGCGGCTTTATCGAAGGAACAGCGAGAGGGCCTAGACTAGTGATGACCTTTGGGATCAGGAACCTGAGGCTGATCCCGAACAAGCCGTAAGGGAGTTCGCACTGATGCAGCTCCTTATGGGAGATTGATAGAAACAATGCGCGACAGTTTTTTTCCTGCAAGAGCCGTGGACTTGCTCGATATGGTGGAAGGTGGAAGGCACCGAGCGTGTGTGGGGAGCATAATAGAAACCTTGCGAAACTCCCAAGGACAAATCTGATAGGGCAAAAAAAAAAAAAAAAAAAAGGAATGTCCATGAACTCATACATTCTTGCATAGGATTCAAGATTCTGGTCTCCTGAAATATTAAACCTTCTGCTAAAAGGCAGGATGGCGGTGTTGCATGTGGTCCAGACCGGAGGGGTTTCCCAATTGCGGTTCACGCGTAGCTTATGGGGATGCTATGGAGGGAGTGTGAGCCGAATGTAGTTGGGTCAGGCTGACCCGTCCGACCCTCTCAGTTTGCCGAAGGTCGACACTCTCCGATGTATTCTTGATGAACAGCATGGGATTGACAACGTCTGTTTAAGCTCAATGTACACGAGAACGGACCTTGTGCAAAAAAATGAAATAAAAAATCCCTCGATAGCAGAATGACTACGATGATGTCGATACTTGTGCTAGTGGTGCGTGTTGCAGACAAGGGTAGTTGATACTGCCGTCCAGGGCTCTCAGCTACTATGCATGTCGGTAGGGATCTACACTAAGAAAACCAAGTCTAGGTGACAATGCTCATACTGTCACACCTGTTGTTTGCAATCAACAATAAATCGTACAAGGGTCGAGGCGCTGCTCCCTATTCTCTCCGACCCTCTTTTTTGGATATAAAACACGCTCGCCATAGTCTAGTCCATCCTCTTTTTGCCCTCTCCGGAAACGTCTTAATCGGGCTGCTGTGTATTGATCACCACGTTGTTTGTGGCCATATCTGTGTCAAAAAAATGCAAAGCAATGCAGGCAATCGGGACTAAGGGAAGTCCCATTCAATTGCGTGCTTCTTTCTTTTCTCTATTTGTGAAATAGGAGAATAAACATACGGCGCATTCCTGCTGCAATGGCACGCACAGTTTTCGTCTATTTGGAGGAGAGGGACGCTGGGGATGCATTGCAGACGCCCTCTCCCTATCTTTATCAAAAAGCGTGTGAGACCCGTCTTTCTATCCCGAAGTAGACCTAGGTGGTGCCTGAGCTTGGTCGCGTATAGGCACATACATAAACGCGTGCTTTTTTCCCCTTCCCGCAGAGGCAGCCCATGTCTCCGACTTCCCATCCCTGACCTTGTTTTCTCGTCATCATCTGAACAAATGCTTCTGAAGTAAGTTGATATGATCTGCTGAGGGGCGCATTGGCCAGCATGTGCTCAAGCGTGAGATACTTTTGGCGAATGAGCAGCGATGAAGGGAGAAGGGAAAAAAAAGAAAGAAAGAAACGAACTGCGCGCTCGGGGGCACGCACCTTTCTCTTTATGTTGCTGCAATTGGTCCCTCTGTCTACTGTGCATCCTGCTTTTGCTGCTTCAGCCTAGCGTGTCGAGCCCCGTTTGGTCTAGCATGTACCTTACCTAATGAAATGAACTATGGCTGTGTATGGATCCTCTTTGGAGTTAGCCCGTGGCCCAACGGACTTAATGGTCTTTCCTTTCTCCTGGGAGTTGTCCCGTGTGATATGTATTTCCCTGTGGTAATGATACGAATTGGTAGTTCCAGTAGCAGGAGCAGCTCTTTTATTTTCCCGCGCTATTTGTTTGTGAAATGAATGAATGAATGAAAAATGTGTCGCATGTACTGAATGTGTTTGGTTGGGCGGTGAATGTCCTGCGGCAGCGATCTGTGGTCTTGGTTTCAACAGGTTCATGGAGGGACCAAAGAAAAACGACGGGCCCCCTGTTTTTTTTTCCTTGCTCAGCATTCATTCGATTCAGATCAGTCTAGAGATTTTTCTCCATGCAAGGAGAAGAGCGGCAGCGATTGTAATCGTATGGTGCTGAATGAAATCAGGCTAAGGGTTATATTCCGCTTGGGCCAGGTGGACTCTGCATCCGAAGCCCTGGAGAGACAACAAAAAGGAGGGGTCTCTCCTCCTTTCTGTTGCTTTCTCTAACTCCATACATCTCCTCGACGACTCTCTTTAAGCTGACTTGACACCTCAACTACTTCTCCATCTCCTCCCTCGACCGCTTCCTTTTCGCCCAGAGGAGCACTCCGCTCTCGAGCTATGACAGCACCCACCTTCGCCATCAACACCACCACTACCACCACCCTGTCTTCATCAACGGACCATCCCAAGAACACCACGAACAAGGACACCAGCATGAACGCTAACATGAACACTAACATCAACAGTCAGCTTCCCTCGCCAACTTCACCCACCGCCACAACCTTCGTCTCCAATACGACCACAGAAGCCTCGCAAATCCTCCACAAACTCTTACGCGCCCTCCCTCCCTCGGCTCCCGTCCTCGAAGGTCGCACATCGTCCTCGTCCACGACCGAACAAGACCTTCGCGAAGAACTCGACAATCTGAAACAGCTTTCCACGGAGGCTCAGCAGACTTACATGATCGTCCACGGTTTGATTCAACAGTACCAACAACTCGTTCTCTCCACACACGCACAGGTCGCGGCTGCAAAACAGGCCCTCATCCATGCACGTGGGACCCTCTCGTCATCGTCGTCGTCGTCTTCAACATCGTCATTGTCATCACAGTATTATGCTGGCCAGTCGTATCCTCAGCAACAGCGGCAGCACCAGCAGCACCAGCAAGGATATTCGAGTACTTCCTCGGGAACATCAAGTCCGCCTCTGTCGCCGCCTTCTTCGGGATGGAGCCGAGCAGGCTCGTTCTCGAGCACATTCAATTATCTATCACCGACATCGACATCCCAGAATTATAGTTTTCCCGATGGCGTACCATCACATCACCAACACCAGTACTCACACCATCACCAGCACCAGTATCCGGACCATCACCAGCAGCACCCATACCCGGAGCATTATCAACAGCACCAGCATGAGGACGATGAAGAGCGAGTGCGGAGGTTGAGCCAGGAGCATACAGATCTTGGATACCGGCTCTCACAGCTGCTGCGGGATAAGGCTGCGGCGGAGGAGACGAAGAAACGGTTGAATGATGGGTTGGTGAAGGTCAAAGCACGGATCCGAGAGATCGGACAGACCCTCGCAGGCGAATGAATCTTCAGTTTAGCTTCGACTTCGGTAACATCGAGACCAATAAATCCGTGGAGAATTTACATGAAAAAAAGAACCAACAACAATAACAACAACAGCAACAGCGAAGCGACAAGGAGGATGCTAGGCATACAGAGTCTCCGTTTGCACGACAAGACCAGTCTGGAGGGATGGAGTTGGCCCTCCACGGACTTGCATTTGGTAGTACATACGCATACACAAGCATATTCTTAGCATCCATCTACAGTCCAGCAAAAAAACAACAACAACAACAACAACAACAACAAATAAAATAAAGATTGTCTAGCAAAGCAAACAAAAGCGAATGTGTATTTTTGCATGACTAACGTAGAGAGGATGCTATCTATTTGCATGCTCTTTTGGTACAAAGGATACGCCCATCTGTTTGGGTAAGATGGGCTTACTGCCCCTAACCTTCTTTCTTTTTTCTCGTGCGCACACGCGTGAAGAGTTGAGTTTTTTTTTTTTAGTCCGCTAGTCATCGAAACACCTTCGTTCGCCATCTCTTTTCCCGCTCTTTGGTAATAACCACAGCTCACGCTGCACGTCGTACATGCATTCTGCATCTAGACTTAGACTAGCTAGTAATATTAATCAAAATCTAGGATACAAAAGGAATGAGATTGTTCGAGTATACGCCTATCGACTGTCAGCATTGGTGACCCGTCTCGTTGAAGGAACCAAAAAAAAAGATAACACTCATCTTCATACCCACCTGCAAACATCAACCTTTGACAACCCTCGCGTCGCGTTAAATGGTTTGAGCGCCTCTGTTTATGATAAAACGAGTTAGAGTCAAATGAGTCAAATATGTAGTACTGATGCATACATCTGGAGCACACCTGTGCACACGCCATACATATCTGGACTTTGAATCAGATACACAAAAACTCAAAGCAGCAAACCTCGTCGTCGTGGATCCCGCTTATTCTGCTCAGAACACCAGTCTTTCTGTTTTTGACAAAGATATTCATGAGCACGAGCGGTAGAATCGTATGCGGACGATGTGTGAGAGCCTTTTTCAACCTCGGACATTCTTGGTGGTATCAAAACCCCCCACCCCGTCAAGCACATGTTTCAGCTGCAAAGACATATAGGAACGCTCAAGAAGCGTGAAGCCTGAAGCCTGAAGCACACCAGTGTCATCCCCGGGACTTATGTGTCGAACAGCAGCGCAAAGCCATGGGCTTTTAAGACAAAAATGATTGACTTGAAGTAGACTAGTCCGCAAGAATGTGTGTGGCCCACAAGGAACATTGGCTGAAACACTGAAGAAGAGAAAAAATAGGGCTCTGAAGACAAACCGATTGCAAGTTGGAGAGTGTGGCTCACTTCGCGGCGTCCATCGATAAAAGGCGTATAGGCCGCATGTCCATGTGCTGCGCCCAACCAGATACCACACAACCACACCTTTTTAGTTTGTGCACACAAATTTGCGTGTTGACACGACTTGAAGCAGTTATATTATTTTACATGGACACATTCTGCCTTCTGCCTTCTTCCTTCCACTACTCCAGTCCCTGGATGCCCAAAATATCCTTCCCACCAATACCTTGGCCCCACGACCGCCTCGTATGCGCCTTCGACTTTGACATCCCCGAACCTGGCGAACTCGCCCCCGAACCTGACCCCGACCCATGCGTCTCATCCTGCTGCCGGTAAGGCACACCATCGACCGAACCTGCCGTAAAAGCCTTCATCGGCTCAGATTGCACTCTCTGCAGCTTTCCGCTCCCTACCTCATTGTCAGCGAAATGAACCGTCTTCGTCGTTGTCGCTGTTGTCACCGGCGCAGAAAGCCCTCGATCCAACCTAGCCTCCGATTTCGGTCGCGATATCAGCGAAGACTTGGTCGGACTCGGCACCGCAAAGCTGTCGCCCAAAAAGTCATGCACCAACTCCACAGGCGCCTCTAAAGATGACGGGCCGCTGCTGTTGCTACTGAGGCCAAAGCTTCCACGGCCATTGCCGAAACTGCTAATACTCCTTCGGCCACAGTTATCAATCAAATTGCTGTCCTGCGTCAAATTGCTCGACAGCACCTGCTCCTCGCTGTTTCCACGGTTCGAACCAAACAGACTGTTGTACTGACTGCTGCCCCGATTCGACTGAAACGACGTCTTCCGACCGTTTACGCCACCCATAGGCGTATCCAACCCCCGCAAAAAGTCTGGCGCCGGGACATGTTCAGGACTCGGCGTCGTTGGCGATGCAACACCCGACAGTCCCAGCCCCAACCCCAGCCCCAACCCCACATCAGCAACCAACGGTGGCGTTGAAAGCAAATCGCTCGTAGTCGTAGTCGTTGCAGGCGCTCCTCCACCACCAAAACTCAAGCCAAGTCCTCCCCCGATCGCCCATTCGTCGCTCAATCCATGCTTATCTCGCTCCATCCGGTAGCTCTTGATACTGAACCGTGATAACTTCTTCAGTTCCGGAGTCGCAGGCTTACTATTTGTGGCGCCGCTCAAATAATCCAGCGGCCCAATCCCTTCACTAAACGACTCAGGCATCTCCTGCGGCTGTTGTTGCTGTTGTTGTTCCTTCTGAGGGTTCGGCGAGCTAGGAATAGACAGTGCCATCCCCAGATGATCCTCCGTTGCCTCTGCCAGTGCGAGCGTCGCCATCCGTGAATCACTCAATGACGAGAATCCTCCAAACGAAGTCTTCAATCCTGGCCTCTGTGATGCCGGATTCTCCACTGCCGCAATCGTCACCTTCGCACGTAAATGACTCTCGACCGACTCCTGAGTCTTATCCTCATGCCTCTCCAAATGATTCGTCACCTCCTGCAACCGTTCCAAAGTTGAATCGCGCCTCTCGCCCAATCCAAGCTCCTCGTGCTTCTTTCCCCGATATGACTGAGTGCGAGACGCATACGGCGAAAGGTTCGGTGTCCTGACTCTGGAGTTACCGTTGGAAAAGGTCCTCGACCTCGCAAACGTCGACAACCCGTCAATAGCCCTGCACACCGGCATCAAAGTCGACGACCGGGCCACAGAATCATTCGACCACTGGATACTCATCTGATCGCGCACCCACTCCACCATCTGACAATCGTCCTCGGCTAAACAGGTCCAGCCTGCAGCCTTGGCCATCTGTCGCGCCATATCGAGTCCCTCTATCAAGACTGCCTCGCCCTTGCGGATTGTCTCCGTGTTCCCAAAGGCGTCCTGCGCCACAGGTTGCGTCACGACCGTGACCTGAATCTGAATCGGTGCTGAAGGCTCTAGCGACTTGGTCGATGCAGTAATCTCCAGTCTAAGACTCTCATCTGTATCATCGCCCTCCTGCGATTGATGTCCGACCCTTACATTGTGTACAACCTTGTCAGACTGATAGAGCAGCACGGGCTGGAGGCTAATGTTATTATGCTCAGCCTGGGACTCATCTGATGCATTTCCTTGCTGTCCAATGTTGCTCCTCAAGAGTCGATCCAGCATAAGCGATGCCGATGTCAACAGCTGATGATACGCAGTCGTTATCTGAATTCCTATGCCACGACCTTGATGGCGAAGATGCTGCATAGTAATTGAAAACACCATCCTTGGCCACTGGGAAACATCCTCTGAGGTGACCGACGATGTGCGCCTCCTCGCCGGACCATCTCGAGATGTTGGTGGTGTTGTCGTATTATTCAGCGAGTGCATTAGAGGATGCTTATTGTTTGCAAACACAATCCCGTCCTTGCAAAACAACTGGTATCTTGCATCTAATATGTCCCCATGTCAAACAAACCAGAACAACAAATAGATTAATGATCCAAACTTTACATCACTCCCAATAAAGGGAAACAGAGGAGGGGGGGGAAGAGGGAATGTGGTTTGTTATTGAAAATTCCTTATCTGTTTTTGCATACCTTTGAGCCCCTTGGTGACCTTAACTTCGAGACCGACAGTCCGTGCCGGCGTAAGCGATGCAGTGTTAATTGTCAGGTTGCTTTGATGAAAATGATCGCTTTTGAAAGAGCTAAAGCGCCTCACAGTCTGTTTGGAGGGTGAGGCCGCGGCAGGCTGGGGTACGACTGGTTTATCGATCAAGATCTTGGTTGCGCAGAGACTCGAGACAATACAGAGGTTGGTCGGGAGCAATGATAAATCTATGGGTCTTGCCTAATCATTTGCCCAGTCGAGTGACGAAACAAATCATGTTAGCTGAAAGTAAGGTAGTAAGGCATGAATGTTTTATAATCGATAAGGTAGAGCAGAAGATAAGCGGTGCCCCTGTCGCTGTCGTACCTTGCTGAACGTGACATCAGTTTCGCGTGGTACAGTGCTGTTGTTGGTCGCTACCGATATTGCGGGCACAGGTACAGCCCTCAAGGCCTCCCGGGTCCACAATCGCTGTGCCTCAGCGCCCTAAAAGTCAACGACAACAAAGAAGTAAAGACAAAGACAAAACAGGTGTCAGCTTCAGTAAAGCTGCCCCTCTTATCCTCTTATCGTCACCTGCATTGGCGAAATGAAAATTTTCCCAATGAATGGAATGCATGATCAAACAAAACTCAGGGCGAAGGACGCACCAATATCCTTTGGATCCACTGCACGACCCTCCGCATGACGCCTGATCGAATGTCGTCCTCCATGACAACCAAGACTGTACTATTTGGATGCTGCTGGGCCAGTCGGCATGCTGATTCGAGTGTCTGTAGTTTTAGAACAAATGGACAGCATGTATCAGCGCCTTCATACATTAAGACATTTTCGCAGCAATGCTAATTGCTCTCCTTATTCATTGCTCGGATAGGCCCATATACATCCATGCCGACCCCTTTCCTTTACACCTGAAAAAACATGCATATGTGCTTGTGTGTCTGTGTTGCTTACCTCGTATCCTTCTAGGACCAAAGAGTCATTTTGCGATCCGTGCAGTGCAGCAGGAGCGAGTGAGTAACAAGGAACCAAATCAACAAACACGTTCTGTTTTTGGTCCGTGGGATCCCATTTCATGGCAGACAGAACATAACTCCACGTGATAATACAAAAAATACATACCTCCGACCACTACATGGTCCCATATCCGATAATCCGGATGGGCCCTGATCCCCTCGACTGTCTTCACTGGGATGACTTGCACAGGAGAAGTAGACGAAGACGACGTGTTGTTGTTGCTGTTGGTCGTCATTTGACTCGATCCGCCAGCTTTTAGGCCGATTGTTTCGGGAACGCTTTGCCTACACGGTCGCTGTTCTTGTTGCTGCTGTTGTTGTTGACGCTTCTGTTGCAGCTGCTGTAGCGCATGATGTTCTTCAGCGGTGTTGGGCAAGGAAGAAGAAGACGACGATGACAACGCTGGGGATGAGCTGACATGAGGTTGTGAGCTTGAGATGACTGGCTCTGTTGTCGTTGTCAAGAGTCGTCCCACTTGTTCAGGAGAGATGAATTCTGGCAGGACGATGGTCGAGTGTTCATTTTTGCTGTCGGTGTTGCCGATGCCATGTTTTCTGCTCCTGCGACTCCTGTAATGGTTGTGTCTGTAGTTGTAGTAGTAGGAAGAGTATCCGAGAACAGATAAGCACAGGGCAGCGAGGGTCGAGGGAGTGAGTGTGGAGGAAGACCAGGCCTCGGACAGAGCCCATACCGTCGAGGACAAGGCGATCAGGACGGGAAAGATGAGGAGACGATCGAGTGATAGATGGCTTTGTAAACCCATCGGGGGTTGATTTAAGGAAAGAAAGGTGTAGGAGGGTAGGAGGGTTGGAGCGAGGAAGAGAAGAAGGGAAGAAGAGGGTATGGAGGTAAAGGTGACGATGGAGGTAAAGGGTGAAGGTGAAGATGGAGGTATAGGTATAAGGGTACAAACAAAGACAAAGAAGAGAAAGGGGAACAAATTTCCCAAGGTGTGAGGGGATGGATGGTTAAAAAAAAAAGGAGAGACTAAACCATAAACACAAAAAGGCCCCTGTCTCCGACTGCTGCCCCTTCGCCCGACCGTTACAGACACGCACACGCACACGCAGTGTAGAGGATATGTGGATGTCTCCGCTTAAAAGAAGGAGCACTCTGTGGAACGATGCAGATAGAGCCAATCTATATAGATCTATAGATGATTCAACTATCGATTGATTGTGGAGTTGGAAAGTATCCAATGCCGCTGTTGGATACGCCCTTTCTGCTGAGGAAAGCGAAGAGGGACTGCAGAGGAATGAGGAATGAGAACGTGAGGAAAGAGGAGAGCGAGGAGACCGATGAGCCCGATGAGACTGATGACACTGATGGAGTTGGTGGCGAAAGAGGGTTTTATTTCCCGGTGACTATGTTTTGTTTGTTTTTTCCTTATCATAGTTGGTGGCGATCACCACCCTCGTAGTTCTGGTTCTGGTTCTGGCTTTGGGTCTGGTGGTGATCCGGATGCCGGAACGTGAATCCGACAAACGCCCCCTTCCACGGATCCTGCATCCTCAGAAGCTGTGGCAACGATTCATTGCTCACACTCTGTCTCCTGCTTAGCACTGGCCGATCAGGATCCGCCGCCAAGGTTTCATTGCTGCCGTAGTCGCTTCCTAACATTCCTCGACCTCGGCCTATTGAGGCTGCGGCTGCGGTGGCTGCCTCGGCTCCTTGGACCTGAGCCTGACGCAGCAGCACGTCCTCGTACCCGACCATGTCCTCTGGATTTGAAAAGTCATCAAAGTAGCTCGTGTCCATCGGTGTTGAAACTGCTGGTACGAACGAAGCAGGCTACACAGACCACGAGCCAAGATATAATTAAATAAAATTAAATAAATGGATCAGCTGCGGAGACCTGCTTTGACTAGCGAAGGTGAATAAAGACGAGAGAAGGATGGGGAGGGTGGAGGCCGTTACCATGGATCGTAGGTTGTCCCAGTCAAGTCCTGCCAGCCAAGGGTGGTTCTTCACCTGCCGCAGCGTCGTCATCCGCTCCGCCCTATCCGTAATCAAGCTATTTACAAAAACAAGCCCAAGAAGTGTTTTTAAAAGTCAGTAACACCACTGCCGCCAGTTCATACCCTTTGCCACCAATTTCATACAGCTTACCTAGTGATAAGACCCCAGGCCTCATCCGTCACGTTAAACTCAAGATTCTCCTGCGTGTCATACACAGGCCTCTGCAGCACCCTTTGCCAATGCCATACATTCACGCATGTCTGTCTCGTATCTTCCGCCTGGAATGGACTGTACCCGCACAGGAACTCAAACAGGATGCATCCCAGTGACCAATAATCCACCCCATAGTCGTAACCCTTACTAGCCAGGATCTCGGGGGCCATATAATCTGCGGACCCGACGATCGAATACGCCCGTCGGATCCCTTCGTTCTTGTATTCTGGAGGAGTAGGGTGCGTATCGGATTGCAGGGGTTGGCGCTGTTGTTGAGGTGCGCCAATGCCAGTGGCTGTAGTGGTGGAATGCAAATCCAGTAGGCTGTTGCCGACGAGTGGCGGCAAGTTCGAACTGGACCCATTCCCCCAGACCATATGCGATGGTGATCTATGCAGTATCCTATTTAAATTCACAAAGCTCCCATTCGCGCCTCTCATCGCGCCATCCGACTCACCCTTCCCACTACCACCACCACCACCACCACCGTCCTGCAAATACTGTTGCTGATGCTGGTTCACCATAAACAGCGACGACCCATCACTCCCGCGTCTCAACAGCGGCGCCGCCGGTTCCATACTATCCTTCACCTCCCTCAACTTCTGCTTCATCGCCTCAATCCGTCCCTCCGCCAACTGCCCCTTCGACAATCCAAAGTCCGTCAACTTTATATGCCCTGTCGAATCAATCAAAAAGTTCTCCGGCTTCAGATCCCGATGGATATATCCCTGCTGGTGCAACGCATCAATCGCCATCACCATCTCGGCAAAATATAACCTCGTATCTTCTTCGCGAAGAACCCCGCGCGCACTAAGCATGGTTCGGATGTCCCCGCCTTGAACGAACTCCATGGCGAGATAGACAAAGTCCGGATCCTGAAAGGAATAGAGAAGTTTGACGTGCCATTCGGATCGGGTCGAGGTGAGGACATCTCGTTCGGTGAGGATATGTTGGACCTCCTCCTGGAGATGAAGATGCTTCTTCGACATGCGCTTGAGAGCGCAGAGCTCATCTGTGTCGACTTTTCGGGCAAGGAAAACTTCGCCGAATCCGCCTTGGCCCACTTGTGTGAGAATTTGGAATTGGACCGCTTGGGTCGGTGTACGGCGTTGGCGTAGGGCCTTGCGTTCCTGCGTGCGGAAATCCCTCCATCTTTGCTCGGATTCTTCAAAAGACAGCTGGTTTTGTTTTTTATTGTTATTGACGTTATTGTTATTGTCGTTATTGTTATTGTTAGGGAGTAGAGAGGCCAAAGAATAAGCTGTTAGGTTTCTGAAAGGGTGTCCGCAATTCATAAAAGAAGAAAGAAAGAAGAAAAAAGTATTACATTTTGCCAAGCGAGATCTTTCTTGAATGCATGCAGACGCTCTTGCCGGCTCTTGAGATAGCTGAGTAGATCAATATAGTGGTCCAAAAAGTCTATCACATAAAAAAAAAACCAGCAGCATCGAGGTCAGACACACATGTCTTTTAAAACGTTCAACAACGGACCACGCGGAACGGTCAACTTACAAACATGTGTACTCTGACACTTTCGTACAGTCGCCGGTGCAGGCGAAGTACACCTGCTCTCTTCCTGCAGTTGGCTCGCGGCCTCCAATCCGACATCCATGCTCCCTGCCACTACGCTCTCCAAGAATATGCAAGAGCCCAGCACGGGCGTCTGAAGGGATGCGACCTTTTTTTTCTGTCCGTGCGCTTCCCGACTTTGTCTCTCAACGTCATAGTAGTTACCTATGTTCCTCCCGGCTGCTGCTGTTACTGCTGCTGTTGCTACTACGTCAACCTGCCGGTGACCCCGTTCCAGTCGTCCATTTATGTCCTGTTCTGTTCTTAATGAAAGAGCTAAGGGTGGTGATTCCGATCGCAATCGACCTAATCTCTCTCCCCTCACGGCAATAATAGTCGAACCTGAGGTCAACGACGCAGGTTCTGTAATAGACATCGATAACGGCGTCGCTTCAGACATGGACCTGGCCTTTGTACTGGCTCCACTGCAGTCTATAAACCCCTTTGTCTGTTCCTGCTTCCGAACTTCTTGTTCGCTGCCACGATTGGACGTCCTATTGAGAACCCACTGCGACGAGTGCTTTGAGGATACGGATTGAATGGATGATGGATGCACTGGGTGGTCCGTCTTCTTGTTCGGTGGCGGTGATATTGCTATTGCCCGTCGTGTTATTTGCTGCCTCTTGTGAGCTGACACTGGCACGGGTATCAATGAGGGAGCCATTAAGATCGTTGATTCGTTCGTTGGCTAAATGCAATTAGGTTTCTTTCTCCAGCAACGTGTTTGAGCGCACGGACGGTGATAGGAACAAGGGCACAAGTGTGATGAGTAAAAAAAGACATAAGCTGATGGAGAAGAGGTGAATGAGAATGAGGAAGGAGTAATGAATGAGTGCAATAAGCGACGACTAATTGAAGGCAGCTACTTCCCTTGCACGTTTAGCTCTCTCCAGGATAGACCGGAGACAAGAATCTATCCTTGCGTTCAATGTAATGGCTCACAATGGATCGCTTTCAGTACTTCCTGCACAGCATGCGCTGATGTCTTTTTTTTTAATGCCTGCAATTGGATATTTCATTTTTTCTAACAAGTACATGATCCTTTAACGCGCTTCGATCTTGTTCCCATTGACCCTTGTCCACCCTGAGTGATCCGCTCTTCCTTCTCTAAACGTTTACCATCCCATTATGCCGCCGATTCCGATCCATCGCCTTCTCCCTCGTGCTCCCGTTGTTCATCTAGTCCAAGCTCCAGCTCCACTTCCTCATCGTCTTGCGCATGCGGTGCCTGAACCTCTACATCCTCAAACACGATAACGTCTGTGGCACCAGGGGTCTCATAGGTCGAGTCCAGGCCCTCAAGCTCATCCTCCACCTCATGATCCGCACCAGAACCCTGCTGCACCGTCTCTTCCTGTGTATGATGATCTTCCTCCTGCTGTTCCTCCTTCTGTGCTGGTTCAGCACCTGCAGTCTCTGCCGTTGCTACATCAACATTAGCATTGGCCGCTTCGTCCTCCATCTCTCCTTCCTCATAGTCAAGGAACTGTTCTGGTGCGGCCAACTCCTCTTGGGCATTAGATGACGATGGAGCCTCGTCTGGAAGTTCAGTAATAACCACACTACTGCTGCCACCGGTACTGCTAGGACGCACTCTCTTGACTGGTGGCGCATCATCAACCTCCATTGACATGTTCTCGTGCGAAGGCTCAGGCGTCGAAACATCCTCCTCCACATCTGTTGGGCCAGGCGTTGACACAATCGTGATGCTCTCTTGAACAGTCTCTGTCGTCTCAAGTCGGCGCTTCTGTCCATGGGGAGAAGTCTTGGCCGTAGGTTCAGCTGCAGCAGACGTTGGGGGCGTGGTCGTCACCGTGACATCTGGAGTACTCGCAGGAGCCGATCCAGGTTGGGCCTCAGTTGAATCTGTTGTGCTGATCACCCGCCTCCGCTGAATGGTGACGGTGCCAGATTTCGTTTCTGAAGCAGCCGGCACACTCGTACTCGTCTCCTGTGTCGATGTAGTAGCACTCACGACAACAGGTAGCTGTCGCTGACGTTTAATGACCATAGGCGGTGTCTTTGAGTCTGGAGTCACGATCACTGATGTAGGACCCATAGAGGGACTTCCTGTCACAGATCCTCCCTCGACAGCCGTGGCATCGAGCGACGGGGATGTGCTCTGTGGATGGTTGAGGTCTCCAGGCAGCTCCTCCTCTCTACGGCGCTTGATCAACAAACGTGATGGCTGTACTGATGCTGGCGTCGACGCAGGTGCACTAGTGGGAACCGGTGCGGACGTCGCAGTTACGGTCGCAGCAGTTTGAGGAGTTACCGCCTGTGCACTGGCAGGTGCAGCCGTACTGGTAGCCGTGACGGCCGAGGGTTGTACTGCAGGAGATGTTCCAGTGGCTGTGGCTGCGGCGGCGGCCACACGAGCTCCAAGCGGCGGCCTCAAACGGGAATGGCCAGCAGCGGGTCTTGGGTGGTGTCCGTGCGCATTCGTAGCAGCATGACCAGGACGAGGGGCAGCACCGCTCAAGTTGCGTGCTGCAGGACCTGCCTCACTCGGGGAACCTGGGGCACCTGGAGTTGTCCTGACAACCCGAACAGGATTAGCTGGTCGAGCTGGTCGAGCTGGAGTTGTGGCTGCGGCCTGCGGTCTGAATGTTGGTGCTGATACTGAGAGCGCCCCTGTAGGAGCTGGGGCCCTTGTTTGTACCTCAGTGGATGCATTAGCGGGCCTGGTGTCATTACTTCCAGTCGTGCCCACGGTCACACCGGCGCCTGCTAAGAGATCCTTCAGGTTCTGAATCTCCCTTTCTTTCGTCTGGACCTTCAGCTCCTGGCGCATCTTATGAATTTGCTCCATGGTTTCAACGTGCTGCTTGTGCTTCTGGGCTAACTCCGCTGCCACCTTTTGTTTCTCCTCCTCTATCCTGGCCTCGACCTCAGCAGCTGTCATTGAGCCAGGGGACGTGGCTTGAGTGGCAGTCTGTGCTGCATACTTCTTCTCCAACTCCTCCGTTCTCGACTTCACAGCGGCATCAATGGCAGCCTGCGTATCTGCGGAGGCGGCGCCATTCTCGCTGTTCTGACTCGGGGGATTGGCTGTCAACTCTCGCTATTAGCATAAAAATATAAAAAAAAACTTGAAATTAAATCATGGCCCTACCAACTCGAACGACGGAGTGCTACATATCATACTGATAGTTACTATTGTAGTGGACAGCAATTTGTTCCGTTGGGCGGTCTTGGTCGCCTTGACCTATCCATACAAGGAATATATGAAAGAAAGACATGGTGAGTATCCCATGAAAGTATAGTGATGAGCTAGAGCAGCCAGCCTTTTGCTCCTTTGAGTCACTTACCCTCAAAGACTCGTAATTCTTCTCCATGTTTGCCATGGTTTCTTTCAGGCCCTTGATCTCGGCCTCGAGCTTCTCTTTGGCCTGCAAGGCGGCTTCCAAAGACTTCTGGAGGTCCTCGACCTGTGACGCTTTATTGCTGGAATCCTGATAGCTCTTTTCCAATTCCGAGACCTTGGGTCGCAATGTGGCGAGCTCTCTCTGCATTTCCTCCACTTTGGCTGCTTCATCGCTATGCTTCTTCCTCCAAGCCATGGCATGACCACTAACAAGCTTGATCTTTGTATTCGTCTCGTCGTACTTGGCTTGAAGGGCGTCATGCTCAGCCTTCAACGTCGTCAACTTCTGTCCGGCCTCAGTCAGCTCAACCTTGTATTTCTCCACGGCATCCTTGAGCTCCTGGAATTCAGTAGGGTCGATGCGGTCGTGCTTGGCCATGATCTCCACTGTCCTTGTCCTCCAACGATCTCGGTCCTCGCCCACTTGCTTGAGCTCCTCCTTGCTGAACTCGAGATCGGCCTTCATCTGCCTGACTTGTTCGTTCAGAGGGTCTAGCTTCATTTGGAGCGCACGCTGGGATCCCTCCAGCGAGGCGACGCGCCTCTGCAGCCTCTCATTCTCGGATCGGAGTGTTGTATTGCTTTCGCGCAACAGGTTCATCTGGTTGATCTTCTCCAGAAGCTGCTCATGTTGCTGCTTCGAGACCATAATCTCCTGATGTTTGTTTCGCTGCTCCGTAAGCAAGGCGCGAGTCTCATCTAAGGATCGGTTGGTCTGTTCGAGTTGCTGCTTGAGTCGTCGAGATTCCTGCAGGTTGAGCTCGTGCTGGCACTCGAGGATCTCCTTCTCGCGGCGCACGAATCGGATAACATCGCGCAGTTCGGCCAATTGGTTCTCAGGACTGCTCTTAGTTACTCCATCGGCACCCTCAGACGGCATTCCATCCGTGCCTTCAGCCCCCGAGAGCGGGGCGTTAGCGCGTTGCTGGATTGTCAATGCCTGAGCACTGACATCCTCCAAGTGACGATGCAATTTGTCGTTCTGTTCCTTGAGTTCAGAGCATCGCTTCTCGACCTCTGCCAATGTCTTTTGTAGTGTAGACTTTTGACTTTCCCATGAAGCTTCCGCCTCCTTGAGGCTTGCAAGCGCTCCTTCGGACTGCGCCTTGTATTTGCCGAGTTCCAGGCTCTGCGTTTGGTGCTGCGTCTTTAGCTGGGTCAAGGCCTCGATGTCCCTGGCATGATTCACTAGCTCACGCTCGTAGTTCTCATGTGCCTCCTTCGTCTGCTGGGCTTGAAGGTGGAGATCCCGACGGTATCGGTGTTCCTTGGCGTTCATCTGGATCTCAATGTTTTCCAGGCTACGGAGCTTGACCTCAATCTCCTCTTTCTCCTTCCTCCAGGCTGAGCGCTCCTGGTCAGCCTTGTTTTGCATGTCGAGTAGACTGGATGCCGCACTCTGAGCACGCTCCTCAGCATTCGCAAGCTTGGTCTCGAGTGACTTGATGGCCTGAGTGCTATCCTCGATTGCCCGATCGTGCTCCCTCTTGAACTCCTCGAATGTGGCAGTAATCTCGGCGAGTCGATCTTCATTCGTCTGACTGATGGACTGGAACTGGGCAAGGTGTTCCCGACCAGCATCCAGTTCTGCTTGCTTACGAGCGAGCTCATTGTGGAGCTGCACTAGCTGAGCTTGCAACTGCTCCTCGTGCGTTCCCTCGGATGAGTTTACACCTGTAGGCTTGTTCTGGTAGTTCGCCAACTGCTCCTCGCGGTTCTTGACCTGTTTCGTGAGATCTTCGACTTTGGCAGTCGTGTGCTCCAGCGAAGTCTTTGCTGCAATGAGGGCTTCTCTCGAGGTTTGATACTCGGCTTGCAAAGTGTCAATCCTGGCCTGCCACTCCTTTGTTTCAACTTCCTTGCGATCGCGCAAGCGGTTGCTGGTCTCGACCTCCTCCTTCAGCTTCTCCTTTAGTGTTTCGACCTCCTGTTCCTTGTTGGTAACGCTATTCTCCAAACGACGTTTCGTCTGCTCGTTGCCCTTCTCTAGCTCGTTCGTCATGTTCTGGACAGTCTGCAGGAGCTGGTTCAAATGGCCCTTCTCCTGCACCAGCGCCTGGTTCTCTTCCAAAAGCCTAGTCTCGAAGGATTTCCACAACACCTTCTCGGTCTTCAAGTTGTTGATCTCGGTTGTGAGTCTTACTGCCGAATCCCGCTCAGCATAAAGATCCGATGACAGCCTCTGATTGGCGATTTCATGACGGGTTGCGGTCTCCTGCAGCGATGTACATCTCTTCCTGAGCTCCTTCAACTCGCTCGACAGGTGATCGCTGTTGTCAAGCACATGTTGGTAGCGCTCGCTCATAACCTCGATCTCGGTCTTTGCACGGGCGAGCTGAATTCGGAGGTCGGAGCAATCTGCCTGTGTCTGCTGGAGCTGGTCCTTCAGATGTCTATTATCGACAGTGGTCTCGCTGCGATAGGCATCGAACGTCTTTTGGAGATCTGCCAGCAGCTTGGCATATTCGGATGCCTCGGAATTAATAACGACATCTCCTGTTGGCTGACCTGACTGGCTTGGAGTGGATGGTGCTGTGCCCTCTGGAGTACCGGGTGTGGATGAAAGGTTGCGAATGTTGGAAGTCTTGACAATTCGACGCATCATATCGAGCTCCTGCTTGTAAGTAGCGATCTGTAATTCCTTGGCTCCAACCTCCTCACGCATGCTTTCAATAAGACGTTCGGCCTCCTCGATCACATCCTGCTCCTCCTTCTTCTTGACCTGCGCCTCTGTACCCTCCGCTGCTTCGCGTTCCAGAGTGAATTGACGAGCAATCTGTCGAAGTTGCTTGTTCTGTTGTTGCAGCTCTTGGACATTCGAGAACAGAATAAAGTGATCGTCGAACACTTTTTCAGTTTCAGTTGTGGATTCTGTAACAACAGAGTTTGTCGAGGCAGGCGCGAGAGACTGGGGTGCGTTGGGAGCCCTCAGTCTCCAGAGCAGATTCTGAACTTGACGGTCAAGGTCCTGGTTCTCCTTGTGCAATGTATCTCGCTCCTTGACCACGCCATCCAGCTGTGCCAACGCCTCACGCGCTCCGAATGCAAGCTGCTCCTTCTCCTGCGATGCTGCCTCGAGTTGAGCAGCCAATTCTTCTGTGTGCTTCTGAAGACGCTGGTATTCAAGTTGCTGGTCGCGAATAAGTGGGGCCTATTGATGTTATGGATATCAGGCATGGTAAGAATATATTGCTCTTAAATTGAGCACCTCAGTAGAAACTTCGTACTATTGACAATACGCACCCCCTCGGACAATTCCTTAACAATGGTGTTCATAGTATCGTTAAGCTGAGCGTTATCCAGCTTGAGCTGAGCATGTTCTGCTTGCAGCTCCATGTACCGAGAATACTAAGTGGGATATAAATGAAAATGATCAGTATTCAAAAATAGGGACCCTTGTAACAATGCTCCACATTATAGATTAGATATCCACTTACAACTTGAGTGAGCGATAGACCATTCTTTTGCAAGCGGGCAGCTATCACAGCCGTCGGAGACAATACGCCCAACTATTTGAATGTAATTCATTCACTCAGGCATTAGTACTGTACTTCTTAGGATCGCACAATGAGTATAGAATCACTTCCAGACTACTTACGCGACCAAGATTGAACTCTGAGTTTCCGGAGGTGTCGATCAATCCAGCCTTGTGAAGAAGCTCATCTGTGCGCTTTTGCTCCTCCTTCAGTTTCTCGATCTCTACTGTTGATTCTTCGAGTCTGATCTGCAGCTGAAGTTTTTCCTCGGTAATTTCGTTCATGGTCTCCCGGTAATCTGATTCCTTGGTTGAAAGCGTTCTTTGCATCTCATCGAGTGTATCTATATTGCGTCGCAATGCGCATGACAATTAGTCACGATCCAAAACAAAGTACATACGACAATTTTCAAAGTTGTTCAGGTGGCCTCAACCTCTTACCTTCCAAATCAGCGATCCGACCCTTGGTATCAGATGCTGCTCGTTCCCAAAGCTCGCCCAATCGTCGCTGGGTCTCCATCTCGACCCTAAACTGCTCCTCCTGCACGACGCTCTGGTCCTGCAAGTCCTTGTTCTTCTGTGCTACCTCTTCAAGCTTGCCCTGCAACTCCTTGACGCGGTGTTGAAGCGTGGTGTTTGATTGAGTGGCGGTCGATGCCTCCAAGCGTGCCTTGTCAAGATCTCCCTGAAGTTGTAAAATCTGTGTAGCCTTGTCGTTACGATAAGTGTTGAGCTCTTCTGACTTAGCCTTCAGCTCCGAATTCGTCCAGTCCATGCGCTGCTTCATCATTTCCAGTTCCTGCTCAATCGCCTGCTTCTGGAGCTGCTCATCGGCAAAATAAAAAGAAAATGTTATTAATTTTCGGATCCAACTTCAAGATAATTGCACCATGTCATCGCAAACAAGGTGGTACTGTAAACTGGACAAACCTTTTGTGTCATCTCTGCGGCCTTGGCCTCACGCAGCTCAGATTCAGACTTGGCGTGCTCGATCTTCATTGCCAGGTACTTGTTCGACAAGTTCTGGTAGTCCTCGTTTGTCTGGTTCGCTTCATTGATCTTGCGCTCAAGTGTGCTGAGATGGTCCCTCTTCTCAGACTCTAACGATTCGATCCTTGACTTAAGCGCCTCCAGCTCGACGTGTGTGTGTAATGACCCGCTCTGTTGATTCGATAGCTTTGCTTCCAACTCGGTCGCCTTGGCAACTGATGAAATCAAAAGTGTTGATGCATGTTAAAAAAATAAACGTGAACGGCTACCAGAGAAGAACAGTAGTCGTAAAGAGCGTTACGAACCTGCTTCTTGCGCCTCCTTTGTTGCTGCATCGAGTTTTCCTCGCATCCCGCTCAGTTGCGTCTTATAAGTGTTGAGCCTTGATTCCGAGAGCTGAAGACGTTGCTCTACAAAGGAAACCAGACCATCGGTCGTTAGAAAGTGGATCCCTAAATAACGTGGACTTGAAAATCCAAGTAAGAGAACAGGTCTTACCAAAGTTAATCTTCTCAGTCGCGAGGGTAGCTTTCGCCTCCTCTGCCTGAGCCTTCCATGACTGCTCCGCAGCATTTTGTATCGCCTTCTGGTCTAGCTGCCGAACGAGCGTGTTGATCGCAGACGGCGCCTGGCTCTGATCTTGGAGTTGTTCAAGAAGACGCGACAGGTCCTCGACATCAAGGGACAGGAGCTTGGAGATGCGTATCCTCTGCTGATCGTTGACCGCCACGATATATGCGATTCCCTCCATGGCTCGTGTTGGCCCTGTGGTATTTGTATTTGGACCGTCTCTCTCGCTATCCTTTACTAACTGATTGTCCCTGTGGAGATAAAGGGAGTGTTGGCGTCAGTCAGTTTCTGGTTTCTCGCAGAACGCGCGTAAATAGTAGCTGTGCCGACCAATGAAGAGTGCGAATTCTAGAGCGTGCTGTTGGAAATGAGATAAAGAAGATGGATTGCACGTCCTACCTCGCGCTAGATGGGTGATGATGCGGTTGTTCGTTAAGTGAAGGGGTAACAAGAAGGAAGCATGGAGACAGAATCAATTTACTGTGGATCTTCTGAAGGCTGACTATAGCACTATGAAATCTACAATCACGTCACCTAAATCGTAAAAATCGTTGCTATTATCGGCATTTGGGTGTGTGTGACCTGACACACAAAAATTAAAGTTCTTTAGCCATCTTGGTAGGGCGTTTCCTTGATGTTGGGGTTGCGGGAGACGATCGTTTCTTGCGAGCACTCGTGCTCCCAGTGGACTTGCTGGTTCCATCAACTGCCCCTTGATCGGATGTCGATGGTTCGATCCAGGGATACCTTCCATCTGCTGTTTTGGGCTGCAAGTAAGAGGTCTTTTCTGCTCCAAAAGGTGCCCTTGGACGATATTGGACATGTTTTGCGCCGCCATAACATCTCTGTGATAATACTTGCCACAGTGGGGGCAGAAGAGCTGGCGTATGGTCACCTAGGCCACAAACTCCTCACAGTTCGGGCATTTTTTTGAAGTATAGTACTCTTCAATACCAACAACAACGTATCCGAGGGAGCGCGCCTATGTATAAAATTAAGAAAAAAATGTTACTCATTTGCGGTCGGTTTTTCGAAGGTGTTATAGATGATAAAAATAAATATTTTGCCTACCAGAGGGATGAAGTAAGACAAAAACGTCCCATGCAGAGATGATAGCCGCTTCGAGCTTCTGAAATCACCCAGGCCCACACCAATCAATACTGGACTCTTGCAACGTTCGCCAATGCTCCCACCAACGATCTTGAGTAAACTGTTGGCAATGGCCTGGTATTCGATGTGTTTGGCACGCTCCATGTCCCACGTGTTTTTCTTGAATCGATTGTTGTTCCCATTGTAAAACTCCATCAGTTGGTCCTCAACTTGTTCCAGTCTTGCGACATAGTTGGTTACCCCAGCCTCTGGACCTCGAAGAGGAGGAAGTAGGGACTCGATTCGCTCAATGGACTGTGATTGGCCCTCAGGAACCACCTTACTCGCTTCCTGGAACCATCGCCGGTATCGAAATGTGGGCTGCATTACCGCCTTTTGGTTTACGGCAAGATTATGATGAGGCGACTTGTTGTGGTGTGCCGCTGAAGATGGTGATTGTGTCGAGTCCTGCACTGGCGGTGGTGCCATTGGTGTTGTAGGAGACGCAATAGTGGACGGGGCTTCAAAGGTTGATACAGCACCAAGCACTGGATCCTTGCCCTTGCTTGATTGTGGTAGATGTGCGTAGGCGCCTACTACAAAAGCCTGACCGGCATCGAGGGTGAGTGTCTTGATGTCACTGGGATCGACATCTGGCCAAAGTTGTGCTATGTCCTCCTTGCTTCCAAGGACGTTTCGAATTTCAGTCAGGTGGTCGCCGGTTCCATGGAGTGTCGTAGTCAATCGTCGTGGCAATCGATCTTGAGGAAGCCGTCTCCACTTGAATGACAGAAGCTCTCTGCGCTTAAAATATAATAGCTGTAGATGGAAGCCATCGGTCCGCACTGTCCCCCTTGGGACATACTTCTTGATGAGATAAGTTTCCGGTCGGAAGTCCTTGCTGTCCAACATATGAAGATCGGTCTCGAGTTCCTCAAGGTTTAGCAACTCGATTGCCCCACGATGCCCTGCTTTTCGCCGCTGGCGGCTGGTCAGGCCCTTGAGACCGATATCAGCCAGGAATTTTTTGATGAGAATCCCAGGTTCCATATTGCCTATATGCTCCTGGGCATCTGCAATAGAAGTGCAGATGGTACCGACCAGTTCCTGAACCTGAGCTCTCAAAACCCCTCCACGACTGAAAAAGAACCCAACAAGGTTACGCTCCGTAAAACTCACAAACGGTTGCCTTGAACTTGTTATGGGAATGATCCTTCGAGGGTTTGGACTGATTCTGTTAAGGGCAAGGAAGTTCTCAACAGCAGATACTTCCCCCTGAATCTCCACATCAACGTCGGAACCCAAGAGACCCTTTTCCTTTCTTGCCATGAGCTACAATCCAAGAGATAGAAAATAATAAGTAAGAATAATTACCTTTGTTTGCTGTTGGCTTGATGCATATTGAACTGACTAGCAGTTTGCAACCCTTACCTTTTTGTACAGATCGCAGGAACCATTCTTGTACATCTTCTTGAGTTCGACCCTGAGTTGGGTGGAGACGGATGCTACCAGTTCCGATGGTGTAAAGACTGCTTTATGCTTGCAGCCATCAGATGCCGGCGGTGGTGGTGTGTACAGCTGGAGATGAATGAGTCGACCAATAAATTCATTGACTGTCGAGCCAGTACCAGCATTTCTTGGGCGGTTTCCAGAGTATATGGATGTCAGGAAACTCAACAGGAAAGAGGACTGAGCAGAGCCTCCGCCACCCTTTGGCTTGTCGTCCAAATCGTCCTCGCTGTCCCCATCCTCCTCCTCCGTCTCTTCATTCTCCTCATCCTTGACATCATTCATGGATACTCGAGGATAGAACAGATCCATAAATTGACGATCAATGGGTCCTAGTCCATGCTTGTTGATGTAGTCGACAAACTTTCCGATCACTTGCTGGCCTTTCCGCTTTACTCGGGCTGCTTCCTGCACCAGATCTCGGATGCAATGTATGACCTCTTGCTGGAGAACACCATTGTTTGGTACTGCTCGCTTGACGTTCGCGGCCAGAGTACCAACTTTAAGGGACGAGGTGGGATGATGGTAAGCCAAGTGGCGCATGACTGCCAGCTTCCTGGTATTTGCAGTCGAGGTAGCGAGGGTCTTGATCTTGAACTTGGGCTTGGGCTTGACCTTGGGTTTGGCTTTACTGTCCAGGGTTGAGTCTTCAGGAGAGTCGGTCCATTCCTTGTATGGTTTAAACTTATAAACCTTCATCTTGTCTGGCGGTGGGCGCTGGGTTGATCCTGTCCTCATCTTGAAGGAGTACCTTTGACGATTTTTTGGGATATTTGCCCTCGCTAATGGTGGGTGTCTCTCTAGTTGCTGAGACGACGTTGAGGAGACAGTTGACTGGTCCTGCACATCTGAATGAAGCTCTTGTGATGGCAATGATCCCAAGTGACCAGAGACACGTTTCAGCACAGCAGGCGACTCCACAGTCTTGAACCTGATCGCCGCATGAGAGTGGTGCAGTCGTATAATGGGCACCTCGAAAGGACTATAAACATCAAAAAAATAAGGCAGAGATGAGATGAATGAAGGAGTGAATGCAAAGCCATTGCTCAAAAAAAAGACCAAAACAATTTACCTCGTTTGTGAAGGGCCGTTTTCCTTTTGTTGCCTATACAGGGCACAAAGATCAAAAAACCGTCTGTGAAGATCGCCGTAGGCTGGGCTTCCAACAGAGGGGGGACTGCTGGTGACAGGAGTCTGCTTGAGATATACGAAAACTTTGATGGCCACTTCAAATGTCTTTTCCTCGTTATTACGGGCAGCAGCATTCTTGGATGCAACCTTGGGATCGTTCAGATACTCGGCTACTGTACCCAGGCAGGGTGTCTAAAAAGAGTGGCAAACAATATTTAGTTAGTTAAAGGTCAAAGTCTAACTCTGTCACACACACCAATATAAAATACCTTTGTCTCGGATGGCTTTGATAACAGAGTAATTGGTAGCTGCACCAAGCGAGTAGATGCTCTTGCCGTAATCGTTGCCAGATACAACTGCAAGGGCTGTGAGTTGGGCCTCTGAGAAGTCGAGAGTGCGACGGGCGTCCTTCAGATTGTATACCAAGATCAAGTTCCTGGCGATAGGACGCCATAAGGTTGAGATACTGGGGTAGGCCATCATGTCGCTATCTGCAGAAACAACAATGTCGCCTGGTTCGCAGTCCCGAGCGATCGCGACGTCGGCCTCAGTCTCACAGGTCTGTATCTTCCATCCCGCTTGGGTCATATACTCCACAAAGGACGCTCGGATGGGCAGGGACCAGTAGAATGTTGATGCCATATTTGTCTTCACATCTGTGAAGTGTCGTTTCCGGACTTTTAAATTGCGGTTGATCCTGTCTTGAAGAAAGTCCAAGGCCTCTTTGCAACGGCTTGCCGCCTTCTCTCGGGTCTTCTGTCGAGCCTGTGCGGTGTGTTCTTTCTCTTGCGCCTGGGCTCCATCCACATAGACAACAACAGTATCCTTGGAACCGAACTGCTCAATATCCTTTTCCAGGATCGCATGGGCCTTTTCTACAGTTTTGTGTATAGGCGGTACGAATGACCGAGAACCGCGAGAGCAAATCGATCCTCTTAGCGGATGTGGTTGAGGTTGTTGTTGTTCCTGATTGCTGAATGACTGTGGGCTGGTATCCCTTCTTGCAAATGAAGGGGAACCAACCCTTCAAACCCATCCCGTGAAGTCGAGTGGTGCGAGGGAAGAGTCGTGGTCGATTGTGTAGTGTGTTTGCTGGAATGAAGTAATTGAATCAGGGCAGTGAAGAGTTGAAAGAGAAAGAGGGTTGAAAGTGGAAAATCACCAAAGTTTGAAATACAAAAAGAGGAGTTAAGGTTGATGTAAGCCTTTGTCCTATAAAATAAATTGAATGCGTCCTTTGGACAGAGAACGGTCATTTGGACCTGACCATAAATATTCCCAGAGTTTAATTTAGGGCTGAAAAGTGAGGAAAGCTAGGAATTATTCCCTTACCTGCTGAGCTGGGAGAAGTCAAGGAAGTGAAGGAAGTGAAGGAATTGAAAAAAGGTTTTTATGCTGGACGCGTCATGGTCAATTTGTCCAAACCGCCAGAGAGCAAAGACGTCTGAAATCAATTTAAAAAAATTAAGCTTGTTTTATTTCATTCCTCTCTCACTTTATTCTCTTCTCATGTCCGGTCTCAAAGTCAAGGACATCTTACTCGATCCTAGCGACTTCGATCCCACCACACTATACACGCCAAACATGATTTCACATGAGAACGAAATTAAGACCTTCTGGCATCGGGAGCGAACCGCGATTCAATTTGTGCATCGCACTGAAGGAGGGTGTAATCACGGTCTCTTGAAGGGTAGCCCTGACAGTCAACTCCCGACTTTTAGACCTGTGGGTTATGGAGGCTCAGTTGGCGCACCAAAACGGAATGATTGGAGCTTTCGCTTCAGTTGCAGAAGGCACAAAAGACCAACAAAATTGACTATCACCCGCGACTCTGTTGGTGCAGCCTGTCCTGTCGAGATCAGGATGACAAAATCAGTTGGTAAAGAGGTAGTGAATGTCTCGTACAAATGGAGGCATTCTCATGACGATTCTGGCTCAGCAAGATCGAGGATTCCTTTGGGCAGAAACAAACGAACTTGGACCGCAAAGCAGGCTCGCAGCGGTATGAAATGGGCAGCAATAAAGGCATTGCTGCGTCCCAACACAAAGTCAATTATGCATGTAAGAGGCACAGCTGCATTCTGTTACAATAATTTTCATTGTTCTTGGGTTCAAACGTTCAGTGCTGACAACTCTCTTCTTGCCTGAATTGTAGCAAAGATCCCGAAAAATTAAAGGCCCTGCTGCTCCTTTGTACTACATGAAGTACAATGATGTGCGTTCTGCTGTGTACCGCGCAAGGACAGGTGGGTTTCGTAAGTCAATCAACCCCACTACAAGCGTGAAGCTCTGGATGGGGCAAATCGAGAAGGAGGGTGGAAAAGGCCATTTTGTTGATAACGTGTGCGGGATTATAAACAATTACTTTTTTGCTTGGTCCACCGAGTTCCAGTTGGAAGTGAGTTCTTGGTTAAGTTTATGCTTTGTTGAAATTCCTCCGCGCCTTTCTACTAAGGACCAAGCTCTATTATCTTCATGTACCACCTTCAAGGTTATGTCAAGTCACCATGGCATCGTCTGTATGGATTCGACGCACAAGGCCGTCAGATCATTGCTCCCTGATCCAGATAACGAGAAAGTGTTCCCATCTGCATACCTTTTCACTCTCCTTGTCCGAGATCGAGCAGCGAATATTGGCATACCAATTGCCTTCATGGTTTGCAACTCTGAATCAATGTTAGTTGTCCTGT